ATCTGGGTAACACAAAACTACTCAAACACTGGGTTGTTACGTCTGACCCAGGATCTGGGTAACACAAAACTACTCAAACACTGGGTTGTTACGTCTGACCCAGGATCTGGGTAACACAAAACATCCCAAACACTGGGTTGTTACGTCTGACCCAGGATCTGGGTAACACAAAAACTACCCAAACACTGGGTTGTTACGTCTGACCTAGGATCTGGGTTACAAAAAAACTACCCAAACACTGGGTTGTTACGTCTGACCCAGGATCTGGGTAACACAAAAACTACCCAAACACTGGGTTGTTACGTCTGACCCAGGATCTAGGTAACACAAAAACTACCCAAACACTGGGTTGTTACGTCTGACCCAGGATCTGGGTAACACAAAAACTACCCAAACACTGGGTGGTTACGTCTGACCCAGGGTCTGGGTTACACAAAAACTACCCAAACACTGGGTTGTTACGTCTGACACAGGATCTGGGTAACACAAAAACTACCCAAACACTGGGTGGTTACGTCTGACCCAGGGTCTGGGTTACACAAAAACTACCCAAACACTGGGTTTTTACGTCTGACACAGGATCTGGGTAACACAAATACTACCAAAACACTGACAAAATAAACCCAAAATACTCAACCCAGGATTTAGGTAGAAAAAATAACCCAAGGTTTTTTAGAGTGTGTGAAAATTCCCTTAGAATGCTCTTGGTCACCAAGATGAAACAAGTGTTTGAAAAGCACTGAAAATCCCAATTGTCTTTGGTTAAATTACACTGTAGTGATTCGCCAAAATAAACAGTGTGTATAACAACAGGATATCCTTCGAAATTGGCTGAAAATATCTCAGCGCTGATGTGTAAAACCTCTGGCTTGGTTTGGTAAGGTAGACTGTTATTCTTTCCATAGAAACTCAGTAACTCTACACCATCTATTGAGCTGCGTCAAGTGCTCTGGAGCCCCGATTCTTGTTAAAACAATCACAGCTACACGTGTCAAAACACAAGACATCACAGTCATCTAGTTCTGTGGAAAATCTCATAATGGCCTGCAGATTTCACACTCTCCCGCTGTAGTGAGGAACAGGTTAGATGTGAACAGCGGAGCGAACGCTGAAGTGGCCTTTCATTAAATCTCACTGGAAAGAAAAACGCCAAGACAAACTGGAAAGACAAAAACAGCTCTGTATTTCCCAGGTGTCCTCACTCACCTCGTCTAGCCCGAATATCTCTGCTGCGATGCCATCCGTTCTCACACTCTAAAAAACACTGGGTTAATAACAACCCAATTTGGATTTTTTTAACCCAAGGGCTGGGTAAATATAGGACAACACACATGTTGGGTTAATGTTACCCAGCACATTGGGTTGTTTATTTAACCCAGCATAATGGGTTGATTTAACCCAGAATAGTTGATTCATATTTACTATAATACTATTTTTTTATTTTTTTTTTATTTCATACATTAATTAATGTCTACGGTTTAACTTAAATCCTCTAAACTTTTTTCAAATACTCGATACAACCACTAGCTTGCATGAAAATTCCTTTAAAAAAAATCATATTTACAGTATAGTATATTTTACATTGTTAAATAGATATTGCCAACATTTATGCTTGTTTAACAAATATTAGAAGTAAAAATTAAACATTTATAAGTAATTCAAGTGTAACCGACCATATGCTGTGACTCCATAACCTGTCCATTAACAGTTAGTGTACAGTTCTGAGGACATATTTTAACATCATACATATTTATATTCTGTTTCCTTTTGAATAAAATCATAAAATGTAATGCAACGCATCAGGCGTTTCCATCACGTGAAAAGATCGATGCGACACTCGTTTATGTGACTCACATCACGCCCCTGTATGTTTCTTTGCATAAAATTAAACAATATACAGCACAACAAAGAATTTTTAGATCAAATAAAATATACACAAACCCGTATTTTACCGAAGACATGCACCATTTTGATGGAGCTGCACTGCTCTCTCCTGAAGAGGTCGCAAAAATCCAGCGATAAATAACTCAACCTCTGGGTTGTTACGTCTGACCCAACATCTGGGTAACACAAGAAAACTACCCAACCAATGGGTTGTTACGTCTGACCCAGGATCTAGGTAACACAAAAACTACCCAAACACGGGGTTGTTACGTCTGACCCAGGATCTGTGTAACACAAAAACTACCCAAACACTGGGTGGTTACGTCTGACCCAGGGTCTGGGTAACACAAAACAACCCAAACACTGGGTTGTTACATCTGACCCAGGATCTGGGTAACACAAAAACTACCCAAACACTGGGTTGTTACGTCTGACCCAGGATCTGGGTAACACAAAACCTACCTAAACATTGGATTGTTACGTCTGACCCATGATCAGGGTAACACAAAAACTACCCAAACACTGGGTGGTTACGTCTGACCCATGATCAGGGTAACACAAAAACTACCCAAACACTGGGTTGTTACGTCTGACCCAGGTTCTGGGTAACACAAAAACTAACCAAACACTGGGTTGTTACGTCTGACCCAGGATCTGGGTAACACAAAACCTACCTAAACATTGGATTGTTACATCTGACCCATGATCAGGGTAACACAAAAACTACCCAAACACTGGGTGGTTACGTCTGACCCAGGGTCTGGGTAACACAAAAACTACCCAAACACTGGGTTGTTACGTCTGACCCAGGATCTGGGTAACACAAAAACTACCCAAATTCTGAAAAAATAACCCAAAAAAAGGCTCAACCCAGGATTTGGGTAGAAAAAATGACCCAAGATGTTTTAGAGTGCACATACAGAGTATGTACTTCAGTTTCCAGTATAGTTTGCTTTAGGCAGAACTTGAAAGCCTCAAGGAAGGGAATGGCTCGTCTGATGTCTGTCTTTACAGGTTACATTATTCAGCAGTGCATTTCCATCAGTGTTGAAGTAAAGTATAACCACATTCAGGCTGTAATTGCCGACTGTGCAACTTTCCTACAAGTAGTGCTTACTAAAGCACTGTTACTATTCATACTTGCGGTTATTAAAACCCCTTAATGTTTCGTCTTAAACTTTTAGTGCGGTCGTTTGTGGTACGGACATGATTGAAGGTATGTATCTTGTCGAGGAGAGTTGTGCTTTTACTTTTCTAAACAATCAGACTGTTTTCATCTGGTGGACTGAAAAGGCAACAAAAATTTTTTTTAACTGCCCTTATTATGCTATTTTTGGATGTAGTGTGTTATAGCTTTTTGTGAAAGTAAAGGTCAAAGTTTTAAAGATCAAAGCGCGTGACAAATAAAGTTATTGTCTCCTAAAAGAAAGAATCGATTTTGATCAGTAATTCCAGTCTCAATTCCTGTTACAAACAAATGTAGCTAATTTGCATAATGCACATCTCTGGTCTTGATTGGCTGAGCAGCGTCTCTTAGCTCCGCCCTCAAACACTGTAGTGTATCTGAGACTGGGAGAGTTCGGCTCGTGTTGTTCGTGTCGAGAAGACGCTGTTTTCTGAGATTGATACGGTGAAACCCACGCCATCGTTACTGTTCGTATCACTGTAATCAAGAGCTGAGATTCACATATGATAATGGGCGTTTGCTTTCTGACCAATCAGAGCAGAGGAAGCTCTCAGAGAGGCGGAGCTTAGAGAGACTGAATCCTTGATCTCACTGTTTCAGACACTGAGAGGAAAGAGCTGATGCTGTAATGTATGTTATGAGGAAATAAAAGTGTTTTTGACCTTGGATGCATGTAAACCTGTTATAGGAGACGCCAAAACAACATTAGGAGCCTAAAATAGCATAATGTGGCACTTTAAAACATGTCAAATGTAAAAGTTTGGCCCTAACAATTTTAGAGGTCTTTACAAACAGTCCCATTACTCTTTAACCAATTTTTTTTTTTTTTTTTTTTTGACAGTCCTGCCATGATTCGAATAGCTGGGCCTCCTTTACATTTTCCTAACTCTCGCAAAAGTTAAACACTCACACATGTGCTTATCTTGCTCTATACCTTTGCGCTGTTGGAAAGCCCGTCTTTGGGTGGCAACAATGTAAATTTCGCAATTAAATATTACAAGACTTTCTGCAACGCCTGTAAAGCTATTGTTATGACAACCGATGGATGGGTAGTTGACAAATACTGTTCATGGACGTTTTTAATTATTAACGTCATTACTTAAAAAAAAATGTCAGGTTTACACTTAAATGAACCTTAAATATGAGGTTTATTTTTAAGCTGAAGTTGGCTAATTTGTGAATGGAAACTGTATAGATTAGTTATTGGACTTTTGTGAAGAAAAGGTACAAGATTTCGAGTGTGACAAACATCATCATAGTCTATAACGGGCCGCTCTGTCGCTTAGTTATGTGTGCCGTCACGGTTTAAACTGCCCTGTCAATCATCTTTTCACATTAAAATCCTCCACATTAATTTAATTTCCTATTAATTACACTGGAAGTAATTTAGTAGCACGTGTGTCTTTCATATGAAGAACTCTCCTCGTGTGTTTGCATAACGATGCATTTAAAATATATCTTTATAAAAGTTCACAATGCAGATTAAATATAACATGGATAGCATTGAATAAATATCTTTAGTCAGTAGATACTGATTATTAAACCGCTCTGCTTAAACATCGGACTCACACATCCGCCATCTTGGTATTTTTTTTAACATTGTGTATTTCGTGTTTGTAGTTCTAATCGAATATTTACAATATGATTGTTATCAATGCTTGTGATCTGGGTATTTGTTCTTTTTTTTTTACTGACTTAAGGTGTGCTTTAACTAATAAATAGAACACAAAGTTTATTTAGTTTTTTTTTTTTTTTGCTGATCCGAAAACCGAACCACTACCATTTAAACACACTACAATGTGGGACACTTGTTCTAATTTCAAATACTATTTAGGATGGAAAGGATGTGAATTGGGGCTCTTTTAATGATCTGAACCAGCTTCAGCTTCAGTTTCTGTTTTCTTACTGTATTTCCCTCTCCATCCCACAGGACACACTGGGCGTTTCATCAAGGCTGTTTTCAGCACCAGTTTGGTTTTCCTCTTGGCACACGTGTGCTTTCAGATCTGCTTATACACCATCCCCAGCCTGGAGGATGCCCTGGGACACAACTGTAAGTCCAACTTATTTCAGTCGCATGTTCAATCATAGAGCGTTTTCTCTTTCATTAACCCTCATCCTTCCCTCTGGATTTTTTTTGTTTTGTTGAAAAGTAAGTGAAAACAAACAAAATGATTTTATAATGTCTACATGTGCATCTGAATGCATACTGAACTGGCTTTAGGACCCAGCGGAACAGCTCCTCTGCTCCATATAGAGCTATAAGCACATCTAGAGTTATGAAATATCATCTTATATTATGTGTTTTCCACAACAGGTCGGCAAAGACTCCCAATGTAAGATATTTAGAGCTGAATTAAAAGGGTTATGCATGGAATTGTGAGTTATTTTGAATTTAAGTTGAAAGAATGTGAGGAATTTGCTTAAAATACTATTTATTTATTATTTATTGATTAAATCTAGTAATTTACAGGTAAAAAAATTGCATTAAAAATAGAAAAAATATTATCAAAATGAAATAAAATAAGCTTTATGCACCAAAAAAAAAAAAAGTATAAATTTAGGGCTTCGGGTTATTTCAATTTGTAGAATATCTTAATGTCTTAGTGTTGCATTTAGCAGATTAGACCTGAATGATAATATATAGCATATAGATTATTTAATTTAGTTAAATTTAATAAAAAAATATATGTTCTGTTATTATTGTATGATACGGGTGAGGTTAGGACCGGTTTGGTGGTGTGTGTGTGTGTGTGTGTGTGTTTAATGTTGGGTTAAGTACAGTGTAAGAACACAATAAGTGAATCGTATAAAGTGATTAATTTAAATGTCAGTTCATAAAGACACTGAATATAAAGTGGGACAGAAGCCGGTTTCCCTCACTTAATCAGAGACGATCCCAACGGGGACGAATCCTTATTTTGTGGCCACTGGATGTCAGAATATATTGGATGTAAAATCGCTCGCTGGTGTCTCTTCCCACAATCAAAACTACATATACTTTTGCACATCTCTATGAAGTCTGGGAATGTGTTCGGTTCGGTTAGCTTGTCTTTCTCTCTTCTAAGCACTTGTAAACCTCTCTCACTCTCTCTCTCTCTCTCTCTCTCTCTCTCTCTCTCTCTCTCTCTCTCTCTCTCTCTCTCTCTCTCTCTCTCTCTCTCTCTCTCTCTCTCTCTCTCTCTCTCTCTCTCTCTCTCTCTCTCTCTCTCTCTCTCTCTCTCTCTCCTCAGGCAGCTCCTGGGAGACTCTATCGAGGCACGTCGGGGTGTCCAGGTATGTGCAGAATCTGGAGAACGAGTGTGTGTGTGTGTGTGTGTGTGTGTGTGTGTGTGTGCGTGTGTGTGTGTGTGCGAGGCGTCATGCTGAGTGATCGGTGTTAGATCACATGTTCAGGTCAAGGCCATGCGCTCTACACTTCATGCTAATAAAGTTTAAATCAATAAGAATACATTTATTTTATTTAGTTGAATAGCCACTTTCATATCTACTCTACAGAGAGTTTTACGGTAATGTTTATAATATATTAAATTCGAGCTGGGTGATATATATATATATATATATATATATATATATATATATATATTGCATTTAGCTTTTATTTTTTATTTATTTATTTTTTTACTATATGAAAGGATAATTGGCCATTTTTATTTTCTAACTCGAGTGCCCATCTCTGCTTTAAATCAAATGAATACATTGATTTCAAATCAACTTTACAGATCATTGCTAATTTTTATATTATCGCTCAGCTTTAATCTGTTAAATGCGACTATAAGGCATTAAGATATCAATATATTAAAACATTAACGTAATAATTTTTTTGTAAAGTTGATTTGAAACGATTCACTATTCAAAAACAAATATAACAAATATAATATTTTATTTAATTTTTTCCTTTTTCAATCCCTGCTTTTCATTAACTTGTAATACCCAATAATTTTATTTTATTTTATTTAAATTTTTTGTAGCCTTATCATGAACTTGTGATTCCCAATAATTTTTATTTAGTTTTTTTAATAGCGCAGTTTCAAATCAGCTTTTACAGAAAATCAGTGTTAATTTGTAGAATATCTTAATGTCTTATAGTTGCATTTAACAGATTAGACCTGGACGATAATATATATATATATATATATATATATATAGCATATATGTTTTTATGTTATTTGGTCCGTATGAAAGTTTTTTTTTTTTTTTTTTTTTTTACCATTTTCAAGCCCTGTTTTGTGCCCTAATCGTGAACTTCTGATACCCAATTATTTTATTTTATTTTTTGTACCCTTATCATGAACGTGTGATACCCAAGAATTTAATTTAATTTAATTCAATTTTTTTATATTTAATTTTTATATTTTTATTTTTTATACTAATTATGAACTTGATACTACATTTTTATTTATTTAATTTTTTATGAATTCTTTTTTTAATAGCGCATTGTTTCAAATCAACTTTATAGAAAATCAATAATGTTAATCTTTAGAACATGTTAATGTTTTATGGTTGCATTTAGCAGATTAGATATATAAAGCATACATACAGTATATATATATATTATTATTTAATATTTCCCCCTTCCCCATAAGGTGTGGTGTGTCCTCTAACAGCGCTCCGCTCTGGTGTGTGACGCTGGTGTGTGACGCTGGTGTGTGACGCTGGTGTGTGACGCTGGTGTGTAACGCTGGTGTGTGACGCTGGTGTGTGACGCTGGTGTGTAACGCTGGTGTGTAACGCTGGTGTGTGACGCTGGTGTGTAACGCTGGTGTGTGACGCTGGTGTGTGACGCTGGTGTGTAACGCTGGTGTGTAACGCTGGTGTGTGACGCTGGTGTGTAACGCTGGTGTGTGACGCTGGTGTGTGACGCTGGTGTGTAACGCTGGTGTGTAACGCTGGTGTGTGACGCTGGTGTGTAACGCTGGTGTGTGACGCTGGTGTGTGACGCTGGTGTGTAACGCTGGTGTGTGACGCTGGTGTGTAACGCTGGTGTGTGACGCTGGTGTGTAACGCTGGTGTGTAACGCTGGTGTGTGACGCTGGTGTGTGCTCTGTCTCCTCAGGCTCCCGCTGGAGGACCCCTGGGCCGTGGTGTGGCTCCTGACCCCAGATCTGGGCATCTTCATCATCTCTCTGATCACACTCGTCCTCTGCAACCGGCTGATGAAGAGGAGGGACGAGGCGCTCGTAACACACACGTCTGCACTTCTTCATGAGGTGAGCTGAGCGTCTGTTCTCGTGTGTGTTCCAGCCGCTCATTATGGGATAGTGTTGGGTCACGCTCACAGCAAAGGTCTCTTTCTTTCTTCGGTTTGGTTAAAATAAAAAGTTAGCTGGAATGTGTGTTAATGATGTAATGCTGAACACCTGTGCTGCTGTAGAGGAGGACACAGGTACGGTTTGGAGGTGTGGGTGGGTTTTTAAAACCATTTTCTAGCCCTGTTTTTTGCCCTAATAATGAACTTGTGATACCCAATAATTTTTATTTTATTTTATTTTATTTTATTTTATTTTATTTTATTTTATTTTATTTTATTTTATTTTATTTTATTTTATTTTATTTTATTTTATTTTATTTTATTTTATTTTATTTTATTTTATTTTATTTTATTATGTACCCTTACATACCCTTAACTTTTGATACCCAATAATTTTCATTTTATTTTTTATGACTTTTTTATGAATCAAATAAATAAATGGATTTCAAATCAGCTTTACAGAAAATCATTGTTAATTTTTAGAATATTTTAATGTCTTGTACATTTAGCAGATTAGACTTGGACGATAATATATATATTTTATTCACACACACCACCAAACCGGTCCTAACCTCACCCGTATCCTACATATATAGGTGTGCTATATATATATATATATAGCACACCTATATATGTAGTATACGGGTGAGGTTAGGGCCGGTTTGGTGGTGTGTGTGTGTGTGTGTGTGTGTGTGTGTGTGTTTAATGTTGGGTTAAGTACAGTGTAAGAACACAATAAGTGAATCGTATAAAGTGATTAATTTAAATGTCAGTTCATAAAGACACTGAATATAAAGTGGGACAGAAGCCGGTTTCCCTCACTTAATCAGAGACGATCCCAACGGGGACGAATCCTTATTTTGTGGCCACTGGATGTCAGAATATATTGGATGTAAAATCGCTCGCTGGTGTCTCTTCCCACAATCAAAACTACATATACTTTTGCACATAATGTTCACATAATTTTGGCCACACTTATGCAGTGGTTTATATTACTCCTTTTATTTTTCTTACTGAAGTTTTGCCATGTAAATGTGATATCATCAGGAACAACTGCATGTTCTGCTGTATTGCTGAGTTATACATCCATAAACTCTTCTGTAGGTTTTAGATGCAGGGATTATGGCCACAGAATGCATATGCGCTCTGATACACAACGATCTGCTATTGTGGGATCATCGATTGGAGAATTACCCGCCTCTTTATATCATGGACAAAACTCACTGTGGTCATCATTGTATAAGTTGGTCAGGTGGAGCTTCCTGTCTAAGGCATTATGTAACATTATGTAAAAAAGTGCCTAATACTAATGTAGCCGACAGCGCTGTGAGGATATACCTCAATAATGACCAGTCTTCTTGAGCTTTAATATTCAGATACTTGTCCATATTGATATTTGACTCATTGTACGGCCCTGCTTTTGATTCATTCATCCAAAAATTGCCAAATTATGTGACATTCGGCGTTCCAAATTCCATTTTTATGACTGAATTATGCAATTCCATTGGCTTTTTTGCGGATCATAGGGCCCAAAATGTATTTTGCGATCCCACTTTGAGAACCCCTGATGTAGACGTGCTTCAACATATTGTAAATATATATATATATATATATATATATATATATATATATATATATATATATATATATATATATATATATTTCATAGAGAATAAAACTTTTTGCGGATACAGAACTGAACAGCACGAAGAATCTCTTGATCAGACTAAATTAGTCTTTAGTTCAGTACAGTTTACAGAAACGTTTGACTCGAAGGCTTAAGTTTGCCTGAGAAATTGTACTTCACCAACCTAAAAATGTTATTTAAGTTATTAAGTTATTTAAATGGATGAGTTGGAGCAAATTTAAACTTCAGTTTTGAGAATCCCATGATGCACCTCATTCATTTGATTGGATTCTAAACAAAAAGGCATCAGACTTTAAAGAAGCTCGTGTTTAGATTTATTTCTTTAGTCTTTGTATTGTTTCAATACTTTACTTTTATGGTGAACATGTTTAATTCATCATATTCTTTGATTATCTTTAAACATTGTTCAGTTTTGATTCCTAAATCTCCACCCTGTGATATTTTATGGCATTTCTTTTCTTTTCTTTCCCCATTCGACTGAACAGCGGCCCAAATCTGACAACTTCCTGTTGCCGTTGCCAAGACAACAACATCAACAAACACTGGCTGGCTCGTTATATGTGTCAGCATAGAAAAATATGACTTTACAAGATCAATTAGCAATAGAGGCCGGAGTGCTTGACCAGGCGTGCGTGTCTGCTTTACTGGAATCTAACAATAGACATAGTTTCAACACTGTAATATATACATATTATTCCCAGATCCAAAGCTGACCTCTATTTACCCGTCTGACTTGTTTCTTACCAAGATACAAACTCATGATTTAACATGCTTGAACTATAGTCAACCTGGCCATCTGGAAAAGTAGTGGAGAAACTCTACAATTTATAAACCAAAGCAGCAAAAAATGTATAACCACAATGCATTTTTATTAATATTTTATACCAGATTGGTCACACTTTAGATTAGGGTCCAATTCTCACTATTTACTACGACTTTTGCCTCAATAAACTCCTTTTTACTGCTTATTAATATTAGCAAGATAGGATTAAGGGATGTAGAATATGGTCATGCTAAATAAGGCAATAATGTGCTTTATAAGTACTAATAAACAGCCAATATCCTAGTAATGTGCATGATAATAAATAGTTAGAATTTGACCCTAAACAAAAGTTTTACCACAAGATTTTTTGTAGTAGTTTTTGCAAAAATTACCCACCAGCCTTAGAAACCACCACATATAGTTATATAACTTATCTAAAACTATTATAGATTGTATTTACTACAGATTTATGGTTTAAAAAGACCAATCGGTTCATTGAAATGAGCCATCTTAGTGAATTAATTTGCTAAATGAATCAGAGCTGAGTAATGGGTCTTGAGTTATTTATTACACCCACATCAAATCATCATGTTGTTCGCAGAAAACTTGGTGTGTCGGGTTATTAAGAGTAGCACTTTTCATTTCCACACGACTTCTACAGCAGTGTGACTTCTGCTTTATGCCAACATTTAATGCATTGTAGCCTTTCAGCCAACTTGCAACCACCTGCCTTGTAAATTGGTGCAGCAACAACATAATATCTAAGCAACACATTCCTAAGTGTTTTGTGGCGGTATGAGACATAACGATTGGGAAACACAGTTTCTGATGCGATGCGTTTATACATGTCTCTGCACTCGCTGCTTTACTGAAGAGAAACGATCAACATCCATGCATCAAGTCCCACACTGCATTATAATGAATGCAATACTGTTGCTTTTATGTATGCAGATATAGAATTGACATGTAAATGTAAATAGTTTGTTAATTGCATGTGTTACTGTTTGATTTAACCCTCTGGGGTACTTAATTTTAAACTCACACTCAGGACCTTCGGGTCAAAAATGACCCGGAGGGCGGCATTAAGATACATTTTATTTGAGTAAAATCAATGAAATATATTTTTGTTCAATAATATTTTTTCTTTTCTTTTTTGGTGTTTTGAGATAATTTTATGATTTCTAATTAATATTTATGCAATAATTAAGACCCATTTTTTCCCATTGAATGTAATAGAAAATGTATATATATATATATATATATATATATATATATATATATATATAATTAAAAAAATATATATATTAAAGCTGTATTTCATTTTAGAGTCAAGTCTAGGCCTCATGAAAGCAATTTTTGAAATGAGATCGGAGCCATCTGGTGGACACACTGAGCATTTTTATCACGCAATAGCACATTTTTACCACTAGTGGATTTACAGCTCTCTGTAGAAACCTATGGTAGAAACACTTTAGTGATTTTTTCACATATTGTTTAATTTTTTTCAGGTTGTTGATTTGAATATATAATAACAGATTCTCAAAGACTATTTTTGCCATTTTTTTAAATAAAAAAAAATAAAAAAATTGGGGGTTGGTTTAAATGGTAATTTGAAGTGGCCGTTTTACTTTATAATACAGTCAAACCTGAACATTGCATTATAAAGAGAACAAATGGAAAACATTTTGTCACCCATTGTTTTAAGAGATTCACCCCTTCACTGTTGTGTGCTTTTTTTCTGGATCGTGGCTGATTTGTAGATTGTATGCACAAAAAAACTCTGTATTTTCACATTTTTGCCAATCTCCCATTCATTTCCTATGGGGGTCATTTTTGACCCGAAGGTCCTGAGTGTGACTATTTTTTTTACGACCACTTAGACTTTTCAAATCCTGTCCCCAATTTTTTTGGGTGTTCATATACCAAGTACCAAAAAAGTCACCAAGTTTCGGACCATTCCGATGAAGCTACAATTTTTAACATTTTTTTTAAAAACGCTTCGGGACATTTTTGTCCCGAAGTACCCCAGAGGGTTAAACTACGTAACCTGAAGGGTTAGTCCTGATTAGTTGGGTTGTTATGAAACTGGGTCTTGATTTGAATGCACTTTTAACACATGAAGTGGAAAGCTTGGAAATGCAATGGGAAAATAAAGAGAAGGAAGAAACTACTCGACATACAACAGGCATTTTCATAACAGCAAACACACACAACCTCCGGCATCTTTCCATCAGGAGACCGTGTTGTGTTTACAGCTTCCCAGAATGCTACAAAAAGTGCACCAGAGAATGAGATGGAAGTATGCAATGGTCATATGGCATCTAATCTTTTTGATATTTTGATTAGATAGCAGATGGAAGAAACTGCTTAAACCAATCTAATGTGGTTTTCTAGTTTAAGCTGGTTTAGTTGGTCGATCAGTGGTTTCCCAGTCTGACCTGACAAACCCCTCTAAAACCAGCAAAACAGACCAGCTTTGCCTGAATGTAAGGTAGTCCACTGGAGGCAAGTGTAGATGAGAACCCAAGTGCAGTTTATTTAGGATAACATGAACAAACATAAAACAAAAGCATGGTATGAACTCAAAAACATGAACATTGACGTGACGCTTACCAACAGAGGTTACAGTGCAACAAAACGTGACCAAGACAAACATGAGGGCTTAAATACACACAAGACTAATGACAAGACAAGGGACACTTGTGAACAATGAACCAATGACAACATGATACATCTTACAAGAGAAGGATCACATGACTTGAACAGGGGATCACATGACAGACATGAAACATAACCAAATCGTGACACTGATTTAAATTTCATTTCATTTATTTATAAAGCACAATTAAAACAACGTAATGTTGACCAATGTGCTGCACAATCACACAAATGAAATGTACTTTCAGACAAACAATGACTAATAACATCTGTAAATTGTTGTTTTCCAGAAGAATTATACAATATCTTTTATTCAAAATAAATAAAAGTACAAAAATAAGCATTTATGCATTTTAGCAGATGCTTTTATCCAAAGCAAAGATTGCACTTTTATACAAAACATTTGTAAGTTGTCACTGGGATCAGCACTCTTAAAGAGACAACTTTGTACCTTATTAACACATAATAGAGCTGGCGTGTTCAGACTAAATTATGCCAAAATGAAGTTTGTTTTGTGAGTTTGAAAGGTTTTTGCTGTAGTACTAAAGGTCAACATTTTTGCACTTTTATTTTCTTCCCCGGGAGTGTATATTCAACTCACTAATTAGGCTTTAGATTGGCCTGAAGATTCATTACATTGGATCCTCCCAAAGGGCAGCTGATGCCTTATTGAGGCTCAGTGTTTAGTGTTGGAGACGGTGTTGATAGAGGCACACGAGGCTGTGGAGTGAGGGACGACCCGACACCGATAGAAAACACTGGAATCCAACCTTCCCGTGCCCTTGAACGAGCCCAACACAGGTTTCACATTCAGGGTCAAGAGGTCAGCTAAACGAGCCGATGAACTACGACGGGGAAGCAAAGTTAGTCATGCAAAATTAGACTTTCTACATTCTGTGCATTTAACACGGCTTAGACTATTCTAATCTAATTATTTAACACTGGTCATCACTTTTTAAAGCCAGTTATGTAAAAAGATAGGTCTCATTTGAATCCAAAAAGTAAAACAGATTAGCCCTAACTAATTGCTTGTTGGTCAGACTATATCGGTTATGTTTATGCAACTGTCCCCAGTGTTTAAGGATGGACTAATACGGCACACGCACGGAAACCCGGAATAATATGGCAAGCTCAAATCTGATTGGCCGACTTTATATAACGCTCTTAAGACTCTTAAATGTAATGCATCTTTCCCTTTATGTTTATCGTCGGCTGCCTTTCACATCAAAACCTTTATTTTTACAGAGCTTTATACAATAGAAATGGTTTCAAAGCAGCTTCACAATAATAAACCGGAAAGTAACAAAAGTAATGATGCAAACTTCATCAAATATGAGTAGGGCTGGGTATCGTAACAAAATGTTCGGTACCGATACCGATACCGATACCTTGACTTCGATACCGGTTCCTGAACGATACTTTTTTCGATACCAATTTTATGTAACCAGGTTTAACAATATAACATTACCTAATTTTTTTTTTCAGTTTGTTGACTTTTTAACACTCATATTTTGAGTATGTAAAAAAGCACCAATGCTAAAGTTTTCTATGTTTCCTAATCATTTAACAACATGTATTCTTTACTTCAATGAGCTCATTGTTTCTGCTTTAACTTAATGCATTGTTTAACAATGAAACTGAATGAAAATTAATTGAAATCCATTACACTGTCACCTCTGATAACAGATCACTCTAAATTGTAATTTAGACATGCATTTTCTGTAAAGCTGCTTTGAAACGATATGTATTGTGAAAAATTCTATACAAATAAATGTGAATTAAATCAAATATAGGCTACTGGGGGGCGGGATATATACCTCGCGCTCAGCACGTGAAGCTTGCAGCAAAGCACTGGCAAAAGTAGCCTAATGATTATGGATGTGGAAACAATAGCAAGGAGATATTTTAATTGTTTATTAATGAACAAGTGTTTACTAATGGTGTGTTCACACCGAACGCGAATTTAATTATTTGTGCGAGTAGATTACATACATAGTCAATGCAAAGACGCGAATAGACGCATCATTCGCGCCGGGCGTCGCGAATGACGCGAATTGGGCGACGCGTTTGCCGCGAACGTCTTCCGCGCAAGTTGAAAAATTTGAACTTGAGCTGAAGATTCAAGCGTCGAACTAGACGCGATAGACGCGTATTTGACGCTCTATTCGCGTTCGGTGTGAACACCATTACTCTCAAGTGTATTTTGTGCGCTTCAGTGCCTTATCAAATTTACCGTGTTGCCGGTTTTGGCAGCAATGATCTTGTCGAAAATATTGCATCGCGTGCATCTGGCATCGAGTCTGGCACATGACATAGGTACACTTTGGATCATTTCCACATATTTTCTATCTATCTGGGTTGGGACGCACGCTTACACACACACACACACACACACACACTGCAGCCTCACGTGCGACGAGCCGCGTCTCTGGGCAGCCGCGTAAACTAGTGTTTTTCCGCCACAGCCAATCATGCTGCATGCTTATTGTTTCACTGACGTTGACGAGATTAACCACTTAGGTACCGAAATGTGGTACCGAAAAACAAGACATGTTTCGATACTCGGTAGTATCGAGGCAATTCGGTCGGTACCTAAAAAGTACCGAACTCGGTACCCAGCCCTAAATATGAGGCGAGTTCAAATTCAGCTGTAAACGGCAGGCGATAAACATAAAGCGAAATATATTACACTTGTTGCTTGCAGAATATGTCACGTTCTCACAATACAAAGCTACTTTTGAATGGGTCATTGCTTATTCAGCTCAATTCAGTTGTGAAGATTCAATTCAGTTCAGGTTTTGTTCTCATCCGATAGTGTCAGTGCAGTCAAATCAATAATATTTTAAGCTAAACAAGCTGAAGGCGACAGTGACGTTTTTCGATTTCGATTATGCGCTGCACACTTTCCTCTCAATAACAAAATAAACCCAGCGGTGAGAAAACAGCCGTTCAGAAAGCATCTGATCATAGAGATGTGAGATTCAGCACTACAGTAGTCACGTGACGTTTATTTATACAGACGTACAATAGATGGATTCAAAGCAGCAGCTTTACAGTATTAAACATGAAAAAACAGTATCAGTGTCTCTTTCAATTACAAATATAACTTCAGTTTCTAGTATATAAAGCGTCTCTCCGGTCTTTTCATGCTTTTACTGGCGTCTGACCTCGACGGACTGAACAGATGAAATGAACCAGAGAAGATTTACACATCAAAGAAGGCGGAGCCTCAGAGACACACCCACCTATTACATCATCACCACGAGCCAATGGGAGTTCAGAGGTGTTTCGCCACCTGAGCTAACTTTTTCAGAAACTTACTAACTCCTCCAAACGAACTTCGTTTTGGTCTGATTTTGACGTCACTCCAGTTCGTTTTTCGATTTCTCTTGAAGTATATGGGTGGAGCTAGACAGTCCAACCACACCCTAACCCATAAAACCTTACCACTAAACATAACTCCACCCATTATCCCCACCTTGCTTTACATCTAGAGAGGAGGAGCCGGACCTCATTTGGATCTGCAGTGCCTATTTTTCCCTCCTAATTGACCCTTCGCAGGGAGTTTGATTGACAGGCAAACTGACCAATCATAATCCGCCATTTTTGTCCGACAAAGCAGTCAGGAGAGTTAGTAGATTAACGTTGGAGGATTTGAACTTGAAAAACAGTGTCCTGACATATTTCCGAGATTAAAACAACATTCCTTCGTATGTTTATTCATGTTTATATGATGCTATAAATGAACTAGAAGGAAGAGATGATCGGTTCACGAGCGGCTTTAAGAGTCGCGACACATTAAAGAGCCACAAAATGGTATTTATTGTTTACATTTCTTTTAGAAATGACCAAATTTGAAAGGTGAGACTTTGTTTCATATCAAAAGTAAGCTGGTCTGTCCTGTCTGTGGGCGCGTTGTCATGTATTTGTCACTGCGTGAGAGAGGCGTGGCTTAGCAACAGTAACCAAAGGGGGCGGGTCTTTGCGAACGGTCAATTCCTGTGATAAAGTGTCTGTCCTCTTCTCTTCAGGAGGACGAAACAGAAGATGAGGATGAGGATGTGGAGCGAGAGGACGAGGGAATGTCCTGCAGTGAGACTGAGGATGAGGAGAGTCCTCACGCGAGTAGCGGAGCGGCTCAGCTAGCGGCGCGTCTGCGCGCCACGGCTCAGCGGTTCCTCAGGAACATGGGCCGAATCCTGGCCGTCACACTTCTGGCACTGGCAGGTACGAGCAGCAGAAAACACACTTACCATCAGCACTGCGATATAACACACGGCAAACGCGTGTGTGTTTCAGCAGTGGCGTGTAACAGTCACTTCTAGCCACTTTGTCAAGTTGAATTTTACATATAGTATATACATTTTCAATAGTAGTCTTTTACAAAGGCGTTTGAAATAATAAACTAAGTATAATATGCATATCAATACTCAAATATCAGAGAATAATAAATGCGATATAAACAGGGCTTGACATTAAAGGTGCTGTATGTAACTTTTTCACTCTAGTAAAGCATAAAAATACCATAATATGTTTGCAGATATTTAGGAAACATGTTTAGTTCACATACTCGTTTCTCTGAAAAACGCTTTCGACAGCCGGTTATTTTACTTTGAAATGTGCGTTTCTGTGTTTTTGTTTTGGTGTGTGTGACTCCGCCCACTTCCAGTTTACCCAGTAGCGTTTCCACACTCCGGGACACAGCGTATTGCAGCCAGCAAACAAACATATCCATTAAAAAATCTCTATGAACGAGAGAGATCTATGATATTTTGAATTTGGACTGCAGTACCTATTTTGACCACTAGCTGTCATTCTGACAGACTACACCTTTAACACCTGTGCTTTGTGTGCGTATTTCAGCAGTGGCGTGTAACGCAGTCACTCCTACTAGCCACTTTGGTGGGTTGAATTGTATATACAATATATTTTTCAATTGTAGTCTTTTTCAAAGGCATCTGAAATAATAAACTAAGATATTTCTATACATATCAATACTAAAATATCTGATACTCATTTCCCGCAGAATAGACACACGATACCAGCGTCTCTCTCTCTCTCTCTCTCTCTCTCTCTCTCTCTCTCTCTCTCCGACAGCGAGTGACACACACACCCGCCTCTCCTCACTCACTCCTTTCATTTGCTCCGGATGAATATTGTTGGTGTTGCAGTGCTTGTATTTCGGTGAGGGATTGCGCGTAATGCAAATAATTTTACTCATTGTGATTTTGCTCAAACTCAAAAGTGCGGCACTTTATCGATGTTTATTGCGCTTAAACTGGCAAATACACACAAAATAATGCCAAAATACTTGATGAGTATTCACGTAAACACAGTCAGTTCTGTTTTAAGTGAACATAAACAGTTGAGAAAGAAAACGCACGTGTAACAGTGTAATGGATCCGTGCGTCAGCTCTTAAAGTGACAGCAGCCTAATAACCCTGCCGAATTATGACATAATATTAAGAATATCTATATGGCAGTTTTTCCCCATGGTATCAATGTCAAAATTATAGCCAGTGAAAATGCAAGTGGCTGGTGAGGAAAAACGTTCATGTCGAGCCCTGAATATAAACAAGATATTAGAGATTAAATGGAAGCAACAAAACATAAGGAACAAATTGAGTCAATTTTTAAATAAAATTCTGAGTCTTGTGTTCAATCCATTCTAAATAGTATGTGTGACTAGATATATAATATATAATATTTTGAAAATAGCATGCCAAATGGTGGATTTTTTTATTTGCGTTATTTTTGGCTAATATTGCCCATAGATGATATCAAGCATGTTTAGGGCTTGAATTAGGGCTGTGAAACGATTAATCGCATCCAAAATAAAAGTTTGTGTTTACATAATATATGTGTGTGTGTGTGTGTGTGTACTGTGTATAATTATTTTGTAGAAATCCACACACATGCATGTATATATTTAAGAAATATTTGCATGTATATACTGTATATATCATTTATATTATATATAAATATAAATATTTTATATATAAATAACACATTTTTCTTAAATGTATACATGCGTGTGTGTGTGTATTTATATATACAAAATAATTATACAAAGTACACACACATATACAGGTGAAACTCGAAAAATTAGAATATCGTGCAAAAGTTCATGCATTTCAGTAATTCAAATTAAAAGGTGAAAATAATATATTTAGTATATATAACTATATACATATGCATGATTATACTTTTCAGAGGGCCGACATTTCTCTATTTAAAATCCTTTTTTTTTATTGATTTCATGTAATATTCTAATTTTCTGAGATTTTTCATTTTAAGCCATAATCATCAAAATTATAACTTTTGCACGATATTCTAATTTTTCGAGTTTCCCCTGTATTATGTAAACACAAACTTTTAATTTGGATGCGATTAATCGTTTCACAGCCCTAGTTTGACTTCATGCATCTTAAAGTGTACGTATTTAATGTCTTTCTCTCTGCAGGGATCACTTTACCCTCGGCCTTCTCGGCCTTCTACTTCCTGCTGTTCATCGGCGTGTGCACGTGGTGGGCTTGCCACTTTCCCATCAGCCATCTGGGGTTTAACACACTGTGTGTGATGGTGGCCTTCTTCACTGGCGGACACCTGGTGTGTCTTTACCTGTACCAGAGCTCGTTCGCACAGGAGATGTTCTCCCCGGCGGGCCTGTGGGCCAGGTACTGCTCTTCATCACTCTCTTCACATTCCCCGAACCTTCATAATCACTTTCAATGGCCTGTTATTGGTAGATTAATCTCATTTTGGCCAGTTAGAGGACCTAGTTGTGTACTCTTGTCTGGCTTATGCTACTCTAAGCAATGCCTGAACTGTGTATTTTGAGCACTTCTTGTGCTGTTTTTGTTATGAAAGTTCACCGTATACAAGGTTATTGTCTCTCAAAAGTAAGAGTTCAACATCCCTGTTTGTCCTGTTAGCGGATGTTACCGAGATTTTTAAAAAGTAGGAAAACATTGACATCATTTCCTGGATCAACAGCTTTTGTTGGTCCTGGGACAGTAGTGCTATTGACCGATATGGCTATAGGGCTGGTTAGGTTTGGGGTTTGGACTGTGTTTGTTTTCTTGACAGGAATCTTGTTCCAGGATCAACAAAAGACTGTTGATCCAGAAACATGTTCTACTTGTGGCACGGTACTTTGATTTGCACCGTGGTACTGTAAATTTACCATATTCATATACTGTGGCATTTACATTGTTCTCTAATGTGCTTTAATGAATAGGGTAAGATGAAACGCTATTGAAAGTGGATCGGACTGAGCAGCAAAACACTTGTAGCCAATCAGCAGTATGGGGCGTGTCCACTCATGAGGGGGGAGGGGCCTGTGCTGCATAGCGTGTTTGTGGATTTGGGGGCGGAGCTTTCAAGATAGGGGTGTGATCCTATTGGGTAGGGGTGTGTTTGTTTTGATGATTACAAATATCAACAGCGTTTCCCAGAAATCACTTACTGCACCTTTAAGAACATTTACGTTTTAATTGTAACATATTTAGATTAGCATGTTCAGGATGATGAACATATCATTCGTATTAATGTGTATAATTTTTTGTCATTAATGTAAAAATACTAAATACGCTATTCTATTAAAATTGTGTTTTGACAATTTTGTCCAACAGTAAAATGGTAATCTGAAAGATAAATACACTTATAAACATATTTATTGTGCATATTTTAGATGAAGATGTGTCATCATAAAACACTGAATTCAGTTGCTCTTAAATAGCCTATAGGTTTTAATGAATAGCGAAGAAATCTGAAATGTGCATAACTCATGGAAGTATTGAGTAATAGCACCGTGAACTATATGAAGTATTAAATAAAAAATAATAAGACTAGTAACAGCATGCCTCTCAGGTACTTCTGTGCAGTGTTATTTTAGTATCATTGAGATACTAATATTTTTTTATATTTTGAATGTTTTTATTTTGAAAATTAGATTTTTTCATATTAATTTTTGATTAACTTTGTTGTGTTATTTTGTCATTTTTAGTTTTAGTTTATTTTAGTACAACTTAAATACATTTTAAAGGTGCAGTAAGCGATTTCTGAGAAACACTATTGAAAGTGGATCGGACTGAGCGCCGAACACTTGTAGCCAATCAGCAGTAGGGGGCGTGTCCTATCATGAGGGGGGAGGGGCCTGTGCTTTATAGCATGTTTGTAAATTTGGGGGCGGAGCTAATACAATAGGGTTGTGATCCTATTGGGCACTGCACCTTTAAGAACATTTACGTTTTAATTGTAACATTTAGATTAGCATGTTCAGGATGATGAACATCATAACACTAGTAACAGCATGGCTCTCATGGACATCTGTGAAGTGTAATTTTAGTATAATTGAGATACTAATATTTTTTACAATTTTTATATTTTGAATTAGTTTTTATTTTGACATTTTTATTTTTTCATATACATTTTTGTAAAAGTTTTGTTGTGTTATTTTGTCATTTTTAGTTTTAGTTATTTTAGTACATCAAGTTTATGGAGGACCAAACCTGAAGATTCAAGAGTTTCTCACCTCACCTCACCGTACTGTTTTCAACGAGCAGCGTTAATCACACAAGGCTTGTGTTACAGCAGGGTGTGTGTGTGTGTGTGTGTGTGTGTGAGAGCCTCAGGCTGGGGAGGTGAAGGTGCTGTGTCCTTGCGTAACGCACTGAGACTCGATCCCTCGATGTGTATCTGGAGACTCGCTGAAACTGGGCTTGATGAGTTTCCAGCGCTGTGCTTTTCTCCTTACCCATAAATCCCTGCTGACCCAGAGACTGTCACAGCTGTCAGAGCCACTTAAAACATCGTACGTCTCATGCGCAGTGCTGTCAGATCAAGATTATCAGTGTTCGTTAAAGGTGCAGTGTGTAAGTTTTAGCGGCATCTAGTGGTGAGGTTGTGAACTGCACCCAACAGAAGTTACCCGACAGGAAGTGATGTCATCGTCTGAGACAGCAGAGAGTAGCCATGAGGTTCTTTACAAAGATAAATTAATAAATTATATTTACTTTATTATTCAGTAAAACAATGTTATTGTGATTATTATTGTTACTTGTTCATGATTGTGTCAGTGTTTTATTCGCTAGATCTTTACACGAAGAACAACATAGTGACGAAACGCGTTTGTCCGTTCAGGGCCACCGTAGAAACATGTCGGTGTGTGTGTGTAGAGAGAAATGCCTCATTCTAAGCTAATAAACACATAACGCTTCATTAGTAAGGTCTTTATACACCACTGAACATATAGTTATGTATATGATATTATTTATTTATTATTATTTTTGAGGTATTGCTCACTGAGGCTGCATTTATTTGAGCAAAAATAACAGTAACAATTGTGAAATATTATTACAATTTAAAACAGCTGTTTTCTATGTGAATGTATTATAAAGTGTAATTTATTCCTGCGATCTAAAGCTGATTTCCAGCATCATTACTCCAGTCTTCAGTGTCACATGATCCTTCAGAAATCACTCTAATATGAGGATTGATTTACTGTATTTTTGATCAAGTAAATGCAGCTTTGGTGAGCAGAAGAGACTTGCCCCGTATAGACGGATGGCTGATTCACGTTACTCTGAATGGGAGAAAGTGCAATATGACAGAATAGATATCTAAACCTAAAGCCGATCGCAAACTGGTGTTGTTTGGGTCTGCATATGCGCATTTGCTAAATACCAATTAATATTAATCTCATATTTTGTTGCTGCTCTGGAATTTGTTATTTGATAAGCTTTTTTTGAGATTCCAGTTTTCCCCCATTAAAATAGACAGGGCATTTCTTCAGAACATGGAGCATTTATGTGTGTTTTCGATGTGTTTTCTCCAGATTGTTTGGCCTGAAGGACGTGATAAAGCCTGGAAACTGCTCTTCTTTCGACCTGGTCCTCAACACTCATCACGACTGGCCGGTGTACGTCAATCCCGGGATCCTCCTGCTCCTGTACATCTCTGTGACGGTGGTGCTGAAGATCCACAGCCACACGGACAAGGTGCTTTCACACACTTATCTATCCAACCCAAGAGAGCATTCGCCCAAACAAATCATCTCGATCTCTCATCTAACGTCATATTTTGTATCTGATCCATAACATTTGTAAAGTTGTGAACGTTTACATGTTTTTACCTGGCTATTACCTATGGAGGGATTATTGGGTCAGATTGAAAACTAAAAGTCTAAAACTAAAAGTCTTAAACGAAACACAAAAGTCTAAGTCGAAAATGAATTTGGTATTTAGGATAGGGCATTTGGTCATTTAGCCATTTAGGATTGGGCATTTAGGGATTGAGGAGTGTATGCAAATAAGGAGGCGTGGCTGTATCTGATCCGTAACATTTGTAAAGTTGTGAACGTTTACATGTTTTTACCTGGTTATTACCGTACTGCCTTTTTGTTAATTAAAAAAAAAGAAATTATTTGATGTTTAAAATGTCATACAGCAAAAACAGCAAAAAACAGTGTGTTGCAAGAAAATATGTTTTTATTTATATATTTTTTTTATATAATATGGGAATTACCAGTATGAACTCAATTGACTTCAGTGGATTTAAGTAAATGTTTTTGAATTTATAATGCATGACTGCTCAAAACAGTCTAAATATATGAAAACTACAACAATTGTTCCGTTTTTAATCTAAATGTATTCATTTTACTTGCATAAAACGTTACTTTCAGATTTAAAAAAGTCATTACTTTAAGATATCATTTTATTTTGATTTAAGAATTATTGGGTGTGTTTATTAACAAACTGCAGCAAAAATGTGTCTGTGAGTGTGTGTGTGTGTGTGTGAAAGAGGCTGAATGTGTTTTTCAAGTAATTTGAGAAAAATCGAACTAATAGATAGAAAAATTAAACATAATTTAATGTGTGAAGCCACAGTTTAGTTTGGGGTCAAAGCGGACCCGGATCGCACAAGGTGAACCTTAATCAGGTGTAACAATGTTTATTTAGACGTTTCCAAAGTTTCATTGTCATACAAAAAAACCGAATGCATTAGATACAGTAAACCCAAACATCTTAATCCACTGATTACCGTGCGTCTCGGTGTTTGTGTGCAATACTGTGTGTGTGTGTGTGTGTGTGAACTGATGTGATGTGTGTGTTTGTGGAGACCCTCGAGGCGGGAGAAGACAAGACGGCTCAAGCTGATGAAGTGGAGCTCAGGCCGTGGGAGGAACGCAGTGAAGATGACACTAAAGTAAGATCACACACACACACACCAATATCAAGCTATAGGAGGAGCTTCACTGGTGTGTTTTCAGCGCCACTGAGACATTTACGTGTGTAATAATTGAAAATGGCCATATTGTCCCACCTAATATGTAATATTTCTTAATTCTGCTCTCCATTACGCACCCGTTTGTTGTAGGATGTAACGCTTATCAACAGTGTTGGGGAAAGTACTGTGAAAACTAATGCATTACAATATTGTGTTACTCCCTTTAAAAGTAACTAATTGCGTTACTTAGTTACTTTTTTAGAAAAGTAATGCGGTACGTTACTTTTGCGTTACTTTTTTTAACCTGGGCTGGGGTTGTTTTTTTTTCATAACAAAAATGTAAAGACCTTTTAACACCAAAAAAGTGAAATAATAAGCCTAAGGAAGAAGGAAATGCAAATTCGCGTGTGTACAGTAGAGGGCGCCGCTCAAACACACCTGATTCTGCATTTCTAATTTCAAATTATTTTGTTTTTGGGCAAGTGAGATGAGTAAATTCACACTCACATTTACTTTAGATTAGAACTACAATAACCATCATGTTCACACACACACACACACACACACACACACACGCTCTTGAAGCTCCGCCCTCTGTGCCGGGAGCAGCAGCTCATTTGCATTTAAAGGGACACACACACACACACACACAAACGGTGTGTTTTTGCTCACCCTCAAAAAGTGACAACTTTAACATGCTAGATATAAAAATATCTGTGGTGTATTTTGAGCTAAAACTTCACACACACACACACACACACACACACACACACACACACACACACACACACACACACACTCTGGGGACATCAGAGTCTTATTTTACCTCTTGTGAAAAGGGCATTATACCAGCGCTTTAAGTGAATGAATCATGTTTGCTGTTTGTCTGGTTTAGCAAACGCTTCTCGCCGCGGGAGAGTCTCCTCTGTCTGAAACACACTTCTCTAAAGAGCCCGTGACCGACGGCGCCGGCCAACACCACACGGGTACGGGAACACATGTACAGCACTTATGTGTTTACACACACAGAAGACAACATTTCACATTGAAGTGTGTTTATGAGCCTGATACTGTGATATGTGTGTGTGTGTGTGTGTGTGTTTATGAGCTTGACCCTGTGAAGTGTGTGTGTGTGTGTGTGTTTATGAGCTTGACCCTGTGATGTGTGTGTGTGTGTGTGTGTGTGTGTGTGTGTGTGTGTGTGTGTGTGTGTGTTTAAGAGCCTGAATCTGTAATGTGTGTGTGTTTATGAGCCTGACCCTGTGATGTGTGTGTGTGTGTGTGTGTGTGTGTGTGTGTGTGTGTGTGTGTGTGTGTGTGTGTGTGTGTGTGTGTGTGTGTGTGCGTGCGTTGGTGCTACCGGATTATGAGGACAAAAACCATGGATACATACCGACTCTATGAGGACATACCGTGTGTGTGTGTGTGTGCAGGACCTGCTGGAGAGTCTTCGGCTGATAATCCTCTTCGTCTGGTTGGACGGATGATCTTACAACAAAGTTACATTTGTGCCCTAATCGCCATGATGGTAAAACAAACATTCACAAATATCTATCAATCCATCCATCTATCTATCTATCCATCTATCTATCCATCTATCCAACTATCCATCCACCTATCCATCCATCCATCCATCCACCTATCCATCCATCCATCCATCCATCCATCCACCTATCCATCCATCCATCCATCCATCCATCCACCTATCCATCCATCCATCCACCTATCCATCCATCCATCCATCCACCTATCTATCCTATCCATCCACCTATCTATCCTATCTATCCATCCATCCATCCACCTATCCATCCATCCATCCATCCATCCACCTATCCATCCATCCATCCATCCACCTATCTATCCATCCATCCATCCATCCATCCATCCATCCATCCATCCATCCACCTATCCATCCATCCATCCACCTATCTATCCATCCACCCATCCATCCATCCATCCACCTATCTATCCATCCATCCATCCATCCATCCACCCATCCACCTATCTATCCATCCATCCATCCATCCACCTATCCATCCATCCATCCATCCATCCACCTATCTATCCATCCATCCATCCATCCACCTATCCATCCATCCATCCATCCACCTATCTATCCATCCATCCATCCATCCATCCACCCATCCACCTATCTATCCATTCATCCATCCATCTATCCATCCATCCATCCATCCACCTATCTATCCATCCATCCATCCATCCATCCACCCATCCACCTATCTATCCATCCATCCATCCATCCATCCAACCATCCACCTATCTATCCATCCATCCATCCATCCATCCATCCATCCACCTATCCATCCACCCATCCACCTATCTATCCATCCACCTATCCATCCATCCATCCACCTATCTATCCATCCATCCATCCATCCACCCATCCACCTATCCATCCATCCATCCATCCATCCATCCACCCATCCACCTATCCATCCACCCATCCATCCATCCATCCATCCATCCATCCACCTATCTATCCATCCACCTATCCATCCATCCATCCATCCATCCACCCATCCACCTATCCATCCATCCATCCATCCATCCACCCATCCACCTATCTATCCATCCATCCATCCACCCATCCATCCATCAATCCACCCGTCCATCCATCCATCCATCCACCCATCCACCCACCTATCTATCCATCCATCCACCTATCTATCCATCCACCTATCCATCCATCCATCCATCCATCCATCCATCATCCACTCATCCACCTATCCATCCATCCACCCACCCACCTATCTATCCATCCATCCATCCATCCACCCATCCACCCACCTATCTATCCATCCACCCATCCATCCATCCATCCATCCATCCACCCATCCACCCACCTATCTATCCATCCACCTATCCATCCATCCATCCATCCATCCATCCATCCATCCATCCACCCATCCACCTATCTATCCATCCATCCATCCACCTATCCATCAATTTTTGCCATGAGAATAGCTTTGAATGCTGGCATGGCATAAAATAAAAGAATCTGCATCTGCAGTGATGTAATGTGGTGTGGTGTTGCAGGTGTGGAGTATAATGTACCACAGTTGGCTGACGTTCGTGCTGCTGCTGTGGTCGTGTCTGATCTGGATGCTTCGGGCACGCCAGCGCTTCGCTGCTCTCTGCTCTCCCTTCATCCTCCTGTACGGCCTGGCTCTGTGTGGGCTTCAGTACGTGTGGGCCATGGACCTGGAGGCCGAACTCCCCCAGCACATCGGCACCATGAGCCTGCGCCAGCTGGGCCTGGACCGAGCGCATTACCCCTGTCTGCGGCTGGGAGCGCTGGTGAGGACACTGACGCGCTGGCTAATGTGCCTTAGTGTGACTGCCATTATCATAAAATACTGGCATATAAAGTTGATATATAAAAAAGAAAATCTGGGTTCAGTAGAAGCATTTGCGGCATAATGTTGATTACCAACAGGGCTTGACATGAACGTTACGAGCCACTCAGCATTTTCACTGGCCACAATTTTGACATCCATACCATGGGGAAAAACTGCCATATAGATATTCTTAATATTATCTCATAATTCGGCAGGGTTATTAGGCTGCTGTCACTTTAAGAGCTGACGCACAGATCCATTACACTGTTACACGTGTGTTTTCTTTCTCAACTGTTTATGTTCACTTAAAACAGAACTGACTGTGTTTACGTGAATACTCGTCAAGTATTTTGACATTATTTTGTGTGTATTTGCCAGTTTAAGCGCATTAAACAGCGATAAAGAGCTCAATTTAGTTCTGAGAGGCGCTTTATGTGCCGCACTTTTGAGTTTGAGCACAAAATCTCCAGCAATGAGTCAAATTATGTGCATTACGTGCAAATCCCTCGCCGAAATACAAGGCCTGTAACACCAACAATATTCATCCGGAGCAAATGAAAGGAGTGAGTGAGGAGAGGCGGGTGTGTGTGTCATTCTCTGTCGGAGAGAGAGAGAGAGAGAGAGAGAGAGAGAGAGAGAGAGAGAGAGAGAGAGAGAGAGAGAGAGAGAGAGAGAGAGAGAGAGAGAGAGAGAGACGCTGGTATCGTGTGTCTATTCTGCGGGAAATGAGTATTGGAAGCATTTTAGCATTTAGCATTTTTAAAAGACTACAATTGAAAAATAACTTTGCAGTTCAAATATTAAGCAACTTTTAATGGAAGAATTATTGTAAGAGATTTTATAAAATCATAAGCTTCGGATTTCTGAATTTTAAACCCTTCAAAAATTGGCCACATTCACTCCCATTGTAATTTTTCATTTAAGCGATCAGTCGAAGTTGTTTTTTGTGGATATTCAACAATATGCCGTAAATGCTGTCGAGGGTAACATGTATTGAGCCTGGAAGGGTCCTTTAAGATCCCGCTTCACTTACTATCCGTTCTAAATAGTATTTGAAATTAGAAATTTTCGAGGATTCGGTTAGAACTACAAACTTGAATAAAAAGTGTTAAAAACTACAAACATGGCGGATGTGCGAGGCCGACGGTTATGTAGAGAGGTTTAGATTAAGGGGTTTGAGTGATTAATAATCAGTATCTAACCGGATGAAAATATATTTATTCACTATTATCCATGTTATATTTCATCTGCAACAGCACTGCAAACTTGTGTAAAGATACATTTGGCCATTACCTTTTAAATGCATCATGCAAACACACGTGAGGAGAGACGAACTGGCAGATCAATGTGCTACTGATATTACATCGAAAAATAAATGATATTGAATGTGGAGGATTTTAACTCTTAAATATGATTGACTGTAATTTAAATGGTAACAGGATGCATGTACTGTAACTCCTTCCAGTTATGAAGTTTCTGTATGATAAATGGCTTTATGTGTTGGGAAACAGATGGCTGCAATAAACCTGGAAGAATCTGAGAAATGTAGGAAAACTTGTAGTCACTTGCTCCATTTTTACACAATCCAACCACATGATCAGTCATAATCCTCATGATGTTACTCAATACACTGTGAGGAATGTGTAAATATTGCTTCTCTCTCTCCCTCTCTCTCTCTCTCTCTCTCTCTCTCTCTCTCTCTCTCTCTCTCTCTTTTTATTCTCAGCTGCTGTTCACATTAACGTTTTGGCTTCTGCTGAGACAGTCGGTGAAAGACACGTTCAGCAGAAAGAAGAGGATGAGTGTCCCGTTGCAGGAGGTCACGACCGGAGGTGAGCGGGAACACGGGATCTCGACAGTGTCATCATCTGCGTTCGAGAGCTGCGCGATTCTGGAGAAATGGAGAATCATGATGGTTTTATTTCAAACAGAGATCATGATTATCCCACGAGTAGACAACTCAAAAAAAGCCAAATAACGTGTAGTTTACTAGAGGTTCTGCCAAAATGTGCATTGCTGCAGTCTATTAAAAAAATAATCATTAGAATTACTTATTTAAAAACAATCGGGTTGAATAAATGATTCAATGAATCACTTATAAAGACTCTTATTACTGAATGAATCAGAATTTTTTAATTAAACATTTAATGACTCACTTATAAAGACTCTCATTACTGGATGAATCAGAATTTTTGAACGAATGATTCAATGACTCACTTATAAAGACTCTCATTACTGGATGAATCAGAATTTTTGAACAAATCTCAAATGAATGATTCAATGACTCACTTATAAAGACTCTCATTACTGGATGAATCAGAATTTTTTAACAAATCTCAAATGAATGATTCAATGACTCACTTATAAAGACTCATTACTGGATGAATCAGAATTTTTTAACAAATCTCTTGAATGAATGATTCAATGACTCACTTATAAAGACTCTCATTACTGGATGAATCAGAATTTTTGAACAAATCTTTTGAATGAATGATTTAATGACTCACTTATAAAGACTCTCATTACTGGATGAATCAGAATTTTTTAACAAATCTTTTGAATGAATGATTTAATGACTCACTTATAAAGACTCTCATTACTGGATGAATCAGAATTTTTGAACGAATCTCTTGAATGAATGATTCAATGACTCACTTATAAAGACTCATAACTGGATGAATCAGAATTTTTGAACAAATCTCAAATGAATGATTCAATGACTCACTTATAAAGACTCTCATTACTGGATGAATCAGAATTTTTGAACGAATCTCGAATTAATGATTCAATGACTCACTTATAAAGACTCTCATTACTGGATGAATCAGAATTTTTGAACGAATCTCTTGAATGAATGATTCAATGACTCGCTTATAAAGACTCATTACTGGATGAATCAGAATTTTTTAACAAATCTCAAATGAACGATTCAATGACTCACTTATAAAGACTCTCATTACTGGATGAATCAGAATTTTTGAACGAATCTCTTGAATGAATGATTCAATGACAAACACCTTTTTTAACAGTCACGTGTCGCCACCTACTGGTGTAACGATGTAATTGATACAATCTTTATTCAAAGCATGTTACTTTCAAAAGGTGATTTGCTCTTATTTGATTTCGCTAGCGTAGACATCAGTGTTTATATCCGAACTATAAACCTTTATCCCAGAATTTCTATGATAATCTGAATGATTGTATGAGAAATAATGACACTGTGTGATTAAAAAGACTGTTTGTGAAGCTGTCTCATACCTAGACATGACAACACGACACGAACCGTACCCAAGTGTGCTAACCACAAAACCACGCTGTTTAAGAGCATAAGATTCATCTTTCTATTAGCCATTATTATTAAAGCATTCATAATTCCCAGCCTGCTCCACCTCACCTATTCTTCTCATGTCTTTCTCACACTCAATTCAACTAATGTCAAAGACATTTGCTTAAAGGCGTAGTTTAAACAAAAATGGAAATTCTGCCCTCATTTATTTAATGCTCAGGTACAAACATTTAAAAAAGTAAGCAAATGTAAAATAACACTGCCTCGTCTTCACTCTATAAATCAAACATCGTTATTAAAGTTTTCTTTGTCTTGTGTTGTTTGATTAGCATTAAAACACAGACAGCAGGAGGAATATTAGGCTACTGTCACTTTAAGAGCAAATGCACTGATCTAATATACTGACACACGTAACTGTTTACAGTCACTTAAGACATAACCGACTATGTTTACTAGGATACGTGCTATTTTTTGTCATAATTTTATGTGAATTTGGCTCAGTTTAGTATTCGTGCTCTGTCTTCTCTTCTTGTTTTGTTCATTGATCACGTGATTGAGTGTTTGACCACCGACGGGGGTGTTTGAGAGTGTGTGTGTGTGTCTTCCAGAGAGCGCCGGCCGGAACGAGTCGATCCTGAAGGTGTTGGGGGGGCAGGTGATGAGTCTGTACGCTAAATACTGGATCTACGTGTGTGGAGGGATGTTCATCATGGTCAGCTTCGCAGGAAAGCTCGTCGCCTACAAGATCGTCTACATGCTGCTCTTCCTGCTCTGCATGTGCCTGTATCAGGTGCACTTCACTTACACTTATTATCATTATCATTATCATTATTATCATCATTTACAGTATATACACTACCAGACAAACGTTTTGGATCGGTAAGATTTTTAATGTGTTTAAAAGAAGTCTCTTCTGCTCACCAAGGCTGCATTTATTTGATTAAAAAAATACAACAACAACAAAAAAGTAATATTGTGAAATATTATTACTATTTTTCTATGTGAATATATAGTAAAGTGTAATTTATTCCTGTGATCAAAGCTGAATATTCAGCATCATTACTCCAGTCTTCAGTGTCACATGATCCTTCAGAAATCACTCTAATATGATGATCTGATGCTCTAGAAACATTTATGATTATTATCAGTGTTGAAAACAGTTTTATTTCAGGATTCTTTGATGAATAGAAAGTTTAAAAGAACAGCATTTCTCTGAAATAGAAAGATTTCGTAACATTAAACACTGCCGTTCAAAAGTTTGGGGTCAGTAAGAATTTTTATAAATTTTTTGGGGGGGGGGGATTAATTTTCATCAATGATGAATTAAATTGATCAAAAGTGACTATAAAGATATTTATAATGTTACAAAATTATGTGTTCTTTTGAACTTTTGATTTTTATTTTTTGCACAAAAATGTTTTCAACACTGATAATAATCATAAATGTTTCTTGAGCATCAGATCCTCATATTAGAGTGATTTCTGAAGGATCATGTGACACTGAAGACTGGAGTAATGATGCTGAAAATTCAGCTTTGATCACAGGAATAAACTCACATAGAAAACAGCTGTTTTTAAATTGTCATGTCTCTCTCTCTCACACACACACACACACACACACACCCTCTCTCTCTCTCTCTCTCTCTCTCTCTCTCTCTCTCTTACACACACACCCTCTCTCTCTCTCTCTCTCTCTCTTACACACACACCCTCTCTCTCTCTCTCTCTCTCTCTTACACACACACCCTCTCTCTCTCTCTCTCTCTCTCTCTCTCTTACACACACACCCTCTCTCTCTCTCTCTCTCTCTCTTACACACACCCCCTCTCTCTCCCTCTCTCTCTCTCTCTCTCTTACACACACCCCCTCTCTCTCCCTCTCTCTCTCTCTCTCTCTTACACACACACCCTCTCTCTCCCTCTCTCTCTCTCTCTCTCTCTCCCCCTCTCTCTCTGCAGGTGTATTACTCTCTGTGGAGGAGGCTGCTGAAGGCCTTCTGGTGGATGGTGGTGGCGTACACGATGCTGGTGCTCATCTCTATATACACCTTTCAGTTCGAGGACTTCCCAGGATATTGGGGAAACTTCACTGGATTCACTGAACAGCAGTGCGTCTCCTGAGTACCTATTTACTATTGGCGTTTCGGATGATTAACCCGTTCCCCGCCAATGATTTTCCGGCAATCCATGTTTTCGCTGATATACAGTAGGGGGTAGGGCCGTCAAAATGGCTGAAAAGCTAAATTTGAGTTTCTTTCTTAAATATATGCACAATTCGAATTATATTCGAATTCTAAAGGCAATACTTAATGTTGAATGAGTGTGGAAAAAAGCTTCAAAAGAATGTGTGAAACTTTTATGTAACTTCTCTGTTTGTGTTCTACGGAGAGTCCAGTGGGTTTGAAATGGGGTGTGTGTGTGAGAAAATATCGATAAAATGATTATTTTCAGGTACATTTGTTAAAAAGGCTACATGTAGAATTCAGAAACCCTTGTTATTAGCGACACCGGTGGCCGTAAAGTGAACTGCAGCCAACAACTTATTATACAGGTGAAACTCGAAAAATTTGAATATGGTGCAAAAGTTCATTTATTTCAGTAATTCAACTTAAAAGGTGAAACTAATATATTATATAGACTCATTACATGCAAAGTGAGATATTTCAAGCCTTTAGTTGTTATAATTGTGATGATTATGTCTTACAGCTTATGAAAACCTTTTCACAATATTCTATTTTTGAATTTGTGGTTTTCATAAGCTGAAGCCATAATCATCACAATTATAACAAATAAATGCTTGAAATATCTCACTTTGCATGTAATGAGTCTATATAATATATTAGTTTCACCTTTTAAGTTGAATTACTGAAATAAATGAACTTTTGCACGATATTCTAATTTTTCGAGTTTCACCTGTACCTTTTCTTTGCAAGCGGTTTCGTTACAATCTGTTCACACATAGGCAATGAAAAAGTGAAAACACCTGAAAACTCTTGCATATAACCCCTTTAATGCTGATTGCATGTGTTCCTCCATCTGTAGGCTGTCGGACATGGGCCTGGAGACGTTCAAGCTGTCGGAGCTGTTCAGCAGTATCCTGATCCCAGGCTTCTTCCTCCTGGCCTGTATCCTCCAGCTGCACTACTTCCACAAGCCCTTCATGAGGATCACAGATCTGGAGAATGTCACTCCCATCCACAGGCATGAGCATCACCTCTGAACAATGCATACAGATATACTACACTAGTTTATTTGACCAAATTAAACACATTTTAGAAAAGGCATTAATTATTTAGAGCTGTCAGAGTTAGCATACAGGTGAAACTCGAAAAGTTAGAATATCATGCAAAAGTTCATTTATTTCAGTAATTCAACTTAAAAGGTGAAACTAATATATTATATAGACTCATTACATGCAAAGTGAGATATTTCAAGCCTTTATTTGTTATAATTTTCATGATTATGGCTTACAGTTTATGAAAACCTTTCGAATTTGGGGTTTTCATAAACTGTAAGCCATAGTCATCAAAATTATAACAAATAAAGGCTTGAAATATCTCACTTTGCATGTAATGAGTCTAAATAATATATTCGTTTCACCTGTTTAAGTGGACAGTTTTTTTTTCATGCATCTGTCAATTTTGAGATTGTGGGCTTTTCATAAAGTTTTTTTTTTTTCAGACTAGTGGGCAGAAAACATCCAAAATACACTTTTAACTGTATATTTTAGAGCACTTCTATCTATTCACTATCTATTTGCGTCTGTAGATTTCAATTACAGTGTATATCTTTAAAGGCCGTTTTCTCAAAATGAGTTTTTCCTCCTATATTGAGCCAGAAATCTCCACTTCAGTAGCTTTACATACACCAAACTTTAGAGTTTTATTCTTACGCACATTTCAGAGTGGCCTTTTATTGTGGACAGCCTAATGCACACCTGTGCAATAATCCTGCTGTCTAATCCGCATCTTGATACGCCACACCTGTGAGGTGGATGGATTATCTCGGCTCACTAACACAGATTTAGACAGATTTGTGAACAATGTTTGAGAGAAATAGGCCTTTTGTGTACATAGAAAAAGTCTTAGATCTTTGAGTTCAGCTCATGAAAAATGGCTAAAAATTGCGTTTATAATTTTGTTCAGTGTATATATTTGAAATAAAACTTATTTCTTAAGTTATTTCAGACTTACTGAAGATATTTGTTTAAATCTGACACATTCCCAGAGAATGTGTTGCTCTCCGTGAGAAACATTTGAATTCATATTCAAGAAATGTGATTTTTCTGACTATCACTGTTCATTTCCCTACAGGAAGAGAGGAATAGAGAATCCGGATTTGGTTCGATCCACAGAAGAAGTCAGACTTGAGGAGGAGGATCTGGTCACGGATCAGGGCGATGATCCATCAGAGGCGGACGGTGAGAGTAATAAACGCTGCTCAACGAAAGCAATTTTACACTTAAAGGAATACTTCACCGATTAGCATTAAGCTTTGTATCAGTAGAAACCCCGTAGTATTTCCGAATGACCGTGCTTCCCTCCCTCATGTCCGGAAAAAAATCAGATTACGCAAAAATCAACGTTTAGCGTCATCGGAGGCTCTTTTTTGGAGATTAAAGCCAGTAGTAGGAGTGCAAGTGCATTCTGGGAGTTGTTGTCTTTCATCCACATGAGCCAAAAATACATTTTCTGGCTTTTCTCAGTCTAGAAGGCACCAACTTCTAAAATAACTTCAAATTTCTTCTACATAAATGACAAAATTTAAATACACATTCATCTTTCCAGCGATGTATCCCTTTAATATTGGTAAATACTAGAGATGGAAGGAGAAAATACTCAGCAATGCTGTCGACTTATGAACTTACACATGGTTTGTCTTAAAGTAGATTAAAGACACCATATAGACATTAACATTAAAGCTGGATTTTCACCACTGGGGGACTTTAAAAACAATCAGCGACGGGAAATAATTGCTTTTATCGCTTTTATTTAATTTTCCTGTGCACTCTTGCTCCGTTCTCAGAGGCGATACCCAGCAAGTGGGGACTGGTGATGGACAGACTAATGGTGTTGTCTACGAAGTTCTCCGACACCTTGACCCACATCCAGAGTTTCATTTGGAGAGTATTGGAGCTGCACATCGTCAAAATCGTGGCTTTTTTTGTGGTCTGGGTCGCACTACTGGAGGTCTGCACACTCTCGTATTCAGGCCATGTCATCATGTGGTTTCATAACCTGCAGTTATTTACAGTCAAACCAACATTTATTCAGACACCTTCAACATTTCTCACATTATCGCAGTTTACTCGCTATGGTTAGAAAATGGTAATAAAGTAAAGATAATTTGACTGGTTTTGTTCATCCTTCTGTTAGACTCTCACACATGAATTATGTTGAATATCTGTCAGATGTTAAATTTAACTACACAATTAGATAATACCAGTTTAGCTCAACCAGTGACCAAGCAATGCTTCATGTTGTTCAGTCTGTGTGTAAAAAGAGCATTAGCAATTACAGAAAACACACTTCAGCAAAACATGATCAGCTCAAAGTGTCTGGATAATATTTGATCCCAAATTTATATACATTTTACTGGTAGTCACTGTATGAAGAATTATTGGGTATAATATGTCACAGTTTACTTTATTTTGCTCTCCTCACTTACATAAATGAACTATAGTGTCCTGCACACACTAGTAAAAAAAATAGTGGTGGGCCGTTATCGGCGTTAACGTGAGACTCTTATCGGGCGATTAAAAAAATATCGTCATTAATCTATTCTCAAAGTTGGGTTGGGAGCTGGGTCTATAACGTTACTACGCAAGCTATGAAGACTTTCACTTTGATATTTTGGCGCAGATGTATACCTAGCCGAATTGCACTGTAGGGGGCATTTAATACCAATATATTGAAACGTCTGTTTATCCATACTCCCTTAATAAAAGAGTCCAGACATTAGAAAAATATCAGTCTATGCGTTTTATATTTAATATGAGGGAAATACACATCCGTAACAGACGTGACACAAAAAAACTTTAACTTTTAGGTGGCAAAAGTACAAAAAGTAATACTACCCACCGGATGAAGAAGGGTTGGCTCTCCACAGAACATAAAATATTCATTTTGTCTTATTTTTCGTGACGCATTTATGAGTGAAAAACAATGTTACGTGTCAGTTCCCCGTTACGGACGTGAGCGCTCTGAAAGCGGCACTGAAAGACTGCTTTAAAACTTTCACAGAGACATCAAACATAAAGCCTTTCATTAAGGTGAATTTCGTTTTGTATTAATTGTATCTTAATTTTAACCAATGTTTCATCAACCAATTACCTGGATTTAATAAATAAGAAGTAAATATAGCAGACAATAGATAATCACAACACGGAGGCGCCGGCGCGTGAACTGGAGCTCGTCTTGTGAGTCATAAATGAACCGAAACACAGCGTATAAGGCCGTCTTGCCTCAGGAGTACAGTGGGTGGCGTGAGGTGCGAATGTATGTAGAGAATAGTTACGAAAATGGAGAGAAAATATAAATTGGGCGCATTAAAAAGAAAAGAACGAGATAGTCTTTGTGTTTTATTTAACATAAGCTTACTTGGCTCAACAAGTGACACATTATTACATATGCATTCATCAGATATTTTACTTTTTTTTTAATGGTTTTAATTTTAAAACGACTTGATAGCAGAGGGCCCCATGATAAAGCTCCGCCCCCACTGTACTGAGAGTCTAGCTCCACCCCCACTCTACTGAGAGTCTAGCTCCGCCCCCACTCTACTGAGAGTCTAGCTCCGCCGCCACTGTACTGCTGTACTGAGAGTCTAGCTCCACCCCCACTGTACTGAGAGTCTAGCTCCGCCCCCACTGTACTGAGAGTCTAGCTCCACCCCCCTGTACTGAGAGTCTAGCTCCACCCCCACTGTACTGAGAGTCTAGCTCCGCCCCCACTGTACTGAGAGTCTAGCTCCACCCCCCTGTACTGAGAGTCTAGCTCCACCCCCACTGTACTGAGAGTCTAGCTCCACCCCCACTGTACTGAGAGTCTAGCTCCACCCCCACTGTACTGAGAGTCTAGCTCCACCCCCACTGTACTGAGAGTCTAGCTCCACCCCCACTGTACTGAGAGTCTAGCTCCGCCCCCACTCTACTGAGAGTCTAGCTCCGCCCCCACTGTACTGAGAGTCTAGCTCCGCCCCCACTGTACTGAGAGTATAGCTCCGCCCCCACTGTACTGAGAGTCTAGCTCCACCCCCACTGTACTGAGAGTCTAGCTCCACCCCCACTGTACTGAGAGTCTAGCTCCACCCCCACTGTACTGAGAGTATAGCTCCGCCCCCACTGTACTGAGAGTCTAGCTCCGCCCTCACTGTACTGAGAGTCTAGCTCCGCCCCCACTGTACTGAGAGTCTAGCTCCGCCCCCACTGTACTGAGAGTCTAGCTCCACCCCCCTGTACTGAGAGTCTAGCTCCACCCCCACTGTACTGAGAGTCTAGCTCCGCCCCCACTGTACTGAGAGTCTAGCTCCACCCCCCTGTACTGAGAGTCTAGCTCCACCCCCACTGTACTGAGAGTCTAGCTCCACCCCCACTGTACTGAGAGTCTAGCTCCGCCCCCACTGTACTGAGAGTCTAGCTCCACCCCCACTGTACTGAGAGTCTAGCTCCACCCCCCCTGTACTGAGAGTCTAGCTCCACCCCCACTGTACTGAGAGTCTAGCTCCACCCCCCCTGTACTGAGAGTCTAGCTCCACCCCCACTGTACTGAGAGTCTAGCTCCACCCCCACTGTACTGAGAGTCTAGCTCCACCCCCACTGTACTGAGAGTCTAGCTCCACCCCCCCTGTACTGAGAGTCTAGCTCCACCCCCACTGTACTGAGAGTCTAGCTCCGCCCCCACTGTACTGAGAGTCTAGCTCCGCCCCTGCCCATCTTACTACCTGCGGGATTATTTATTTGGGTAGCACACATATTCTGAATGCTTTAGGCAGAATTCAAATGAGCCATTTTAATCTAGATTAATTCCAAGATTACAGTGAGAATAATCTAGATAAAAAAAATGTATATATGCCCACCACAAAAAAAAAAAAAATGTTATGATTAATTTTTGGTTTGACTGTATGTAGTCACACCAGAGAAACACACGTCTGCTGTTATGAGGTGATAATATGTCAGTGTTTCACAGTTGTGTTTACTCTGGTGTGTCCCGCTTGATTGGCAGCCGTCTGCGATGAACCTGGTGCTGGTGGTGCTGTGGAGCTTCGCCGTCCCGTACGGCCGCTTCCGGCCCATGGCCTCCTGCATCTCCACCGTCTGGGTGTGTGTCATCATCGTCTGCAAGATGCTGTACCAGCTCAGCGTCGTCAACCCGGCGGAGTACTCCAACAACTGCAGCGCGGTGAGACACACACACACACACACACACTTTAAGCATTGTTGGTTAGAAGTGTTTAGGGAGGACCTCTGATGTGCTTTTTGGGCTCTACTAGAATAGGTTTTCATGCTTGAATGTTCAAAAAACAAAAATTAAGGGCCCTATTTTAACGATCGAAGCGCATGGTCCAAAGCGTCCGAATCTACTTTTGCTAGTTTAACGACGGGGAAAATGGTCTGTGCTCCCGGCGCTGGTCTAAAAGGGTCGTCTCTATTCTCTTAATGAGTAATGTGTGTGTTTTATCTCTATTCTCTTAATGAGTAATGGGTGTGTTTTATCTCTATTCTCTTAATGAGTAATGGGTGTGTTTTATCTCTATTCTCTTAATGAGTAATGTGTGTGTTTTGAGCGTAACGTGCAATTAACCAATCAGAGTCTCATCTCCAATTCCCTTTAAAAGCCAGTTGGCGGATTTATCGCGCCATGGCGGATTCACTATTTAAATGGAGGAATGGTGTGTGTGTGTGTGAGTGTGTGTGAGGTTAAAGCGGGACCATCTACGGGACAAGCCGGATTCACCATATCTTTATATAACCAATAATAATCTTTTACATTGTAATCCTTATAATTTTAAAAATTTGACATGTTTGTGTGCGTGCCTGTGTGTGTAATAAGCAGTGTGTGTAATGAACATTTTTAAAACAAAAACAATAATACAAAATTTTGATAATGTGTCCTGTGCCATTTCTCAAACACGTGTGTTCTCTCACATCATGTGTGTTATTATGTGAGGTGTTATTAGTTTTCAGACGAGAAATTACAGAACCAGACGTATAATTTGTAGCTTGTAGATGATAAAAAGGACATATGTTTTTTTTTATCTTGGGATCTGAATATCATACAGACTTTAAGTGTGGACACAAACTACCCAGAACACCCTATTATCAGGACTTTTGCACATTTTCTTCATAAAATGTAAAAATCTTTTACACAGGCACTTTTACACACATTTAGGCACCAGTGTTTCTTCCTCACACACACATGCCAAGATTAACAACAGGAACACCGTCTAATAAACAAATGCCCTCAAGCGTGGATAAAGCTGATGTGTTTATTGTGGATGTTTTTAGGGAAAGAAGTGGATTGTTTCTCTCAGGTGATTTCCAAATGCTCACTTGTGTTTGTCGCCGTATAAATGCTCAAACTTTTCCTAATTCGTCTATTCTGCTGACAGGGTTCTGCCTATTCTTGCCTGTTTCTTTCCATTGAGGGATTGTGACGTGTCCTAAACAGATGCAAAATGTATTTTTGTAGTAAATGTGTTGTTTCACCCTTTAAAACCTAAATATTTTTCTTAGGGATGCTCATTTCGGTTAATTTTCCCGACCGACAACCGCCACTCTTATCCGAGTATTAACCGTTAACTGATAAGATTATAATAGCCTATTGAATAAAAAAAAAAAAAAATTGATGAGCGTCTGTGACCCGTTAAAAATACCAACAAAAAAAAATGTCACAAGTTTATTTTAACGTGCAAACAGCAGAACGGATCAACAACAGAACCCGGATTCACATCAAATGTTCACACACTTGACAGTGACAACAGAAAAAAAACAGAATAAAATAATATAAATAAAAAATATTAAATAACCCTACACTAAATATTTTTTTTAACTTAAATAATTAACAAATTAAGACGACAAAAAGAAATCACTGAATCCGTTTGAAGCTTTGAAAAAACGGCATTTTTTTCCTTAATCCACACATTGTTTAGTTCTTATTTAACAAAAGTGACGTGTCTACATGATGTGGGGTTAGTCCGGAGCGCAGCCGGTTGAGTTTTTACTTCCGGTTAACGGTTAAACGGTCAATATGAGCATCCCTTCTAAATGCAACATTTCCCTTTCGGTGAGGACAGAGAAACTGGTGGACGCAGTGTTCACTCTTTCTCTCTTTATCGCATCTGCAGCCGATGATGAACGAGACGAGTCTAGAGACGGATGAAGTGCTGAACTCCACCCTGTACCGAGCGCCCGTGGACCCGGCCAACTGGTTCGGTGTTCGGAAAGATGCGACTCCCCTGGGATACAGCAAGGTGAGGTTCAGTTTAGTCTTTTCTGTCCAATTGGGCTGTATATCCGAGTGAAACACGTCTGGAACGGGAAGAAATGTGGGCGTGGCTTGATTGTGTCTGTGGGGAATTGATTGGATGGTTGTGGTTTGCTATTGGTGGATCTCATGTGATTGACAGGTTGCCCCGCCCTCATCATACAATACAATACAATACATTGTTTATTTATAAAGCACAATTTAGACACAACCGAAGTTGACCAAAGTGCTGTACAAAAAAAAAAAAAAATTCTAACAATAAAACACAAGCTGTAAAATAGGTGTAACACACGAAAGTAAAATCATAAAACAGCAAATCAAGATATGTTAAACGCCAAAGAAAATAAATGAGTCTTAAGAGAAGACTTAAAAGTAGATCATCAGGAGGGGAAGTTATTCTGATTTTAATATTACCAGGAACATGAATTTAAAACCGTAATAATGAGCACTGATAAATCATGGATAAATACTGCAATATTCCATGAAGAATTGTCAGTATTTGATTTCATGGTGACTAATAGTGCCGTATGTTTATCTAGTTATGCTCAACTCTAAAATATGCTATTTCAATCTCTAAATGTTATATTTAATAGAAAAAAAGTCAGGCAAATTCTTTGGTCAAAAAGTTGACCTTAAGTCTAGACACTGATCAAATGTGTGTTTTGTTTTTTACACAAAAGTAGTTAAAAATAATAAAAATGCAAGGTCGAAAGACAATGTCACATACTACAGTTCGAGTGTAGTACTATACATAGTACTTCCTGTTTACTTTATAGCTGTATGCTAATATTCATCACTAAATATATCCTTTAAATTACCAGTTTTCATTTTGATTTAGTTTTAGTTAGTCTTTTGACTAAAAGGGCATTTAGTTTTACTCATATTTTAGTTTTGGTCGACTAAAGGCCAGTCCACACTACACAAGCGCGCAGTTTCGTCGCCTGTCGCTTTAAACGCTCGAGCTCTTAAAGCAGGGTGGATTCTGATTGGCTGTCGATGTTTTATCAACTGGAAAAAAAATCGTTCTAAAAGTGATTCCAAAGACATTGTTTCTCTGTGCGTTATCAGTATAGTTGAGACTGCTATTCTAACGTTTTTTATCGTTAGTTGTCGACATCGGTGTGAACGGGCCTTAAATCTACAATAAATATAGTCGACTAAAATCTAACAGTGAAAAAAAAAATCCAAAATATGAGCAAATAAATACCTAAAAGGGGGGGTTCAGAATTTTGGACATCGGACCTCATTTCCAAGTGAGCCTTAGTGTTATTTATCAGTGGAGACAGCTTTCGAAAAAATGTCATCCAGTCGTTCCAGTTGCATAGTTCGCCGGTGCTAGGCTAGCGCGAGTCAGCGGTTACTGCTAGCCTGCCATTAAAAACAGTTGTACCCACTCCACAGTACACCAAAAGCAAATAAATTATAACGCCAGGCTATCGATGTAAATGTCTGTTGAGAGAATAATGTTAGAAATAGTGGGTAAAACTGTTTTTAATGGCAGGCTAGCAGTAACCGTTGACTCGTGCTAGCCTTGCACCGGCGAACTATGCAACTGGAACGACTGGATGACATTTTTTGAAAACTGATAAATAACACTAAGGCTCACTTGGAAATGAGGTCCGATGTCCAAAATTTTGAACCCCCCCCCCCCTTTTAATACAACAAAGAAGTAAACATTGTTTTAAGTTTGTCAGGCGGGTCTAACAGTAGTATTCAGGTAGTCAAACGTAAAATAGTCCTTATTAATGCTACTAAAGTTACTCAGGCAAGAGCAGTGAGTGATTTTGTCTTTCTTTTGTTGTTTAAATTAACATTATTGACTCGACATTTACAGAAGTATTGCTACTTTGGTCATATTGTGTGCAGTGTGTGACACATCATCATTAGTTTCCGTCACACTAGCTCTGTGTGTGTGTGTGTGTGTGGTTAGGATCATCTGCTGGTCCTGATGCTGCTGGTGTTCGAGGCGACTGTGTACCGGCACCAGATTCATCATTACAGACAACAGCAGCGCTCGCCTCCTGCCATCCCGGTCATGTTTCCCCAGGCCACACGGGACACGCTGGACCAGAGTCTCCTGCACTGCCTCCAGTACCTGCTCAACTACAGCTTCTACAAGTTTGGCCTCGAAGTACGAGTTCCTCTTGCTATTGGAAATCAGTCCAGTTACACTTTAATTTACAGTGTCCTTGTGTTACACGTTACGTGGAGTTACTGTTGTAATACCTATACATTGTGCATAATTACATGCAACTAACTCTAATCCTAACCTTATAGTATGTATGTTTCTTAATATCACTATATGTATAATTACACTGTAACAAGGACACCTTATAATAAAGGGTTACACTTTATTTTACAGTGTCCTTGTTACACATGTTACATGGAGTTACTGTAGTAATAACTATATGCATAATTACATAATCAAAACTCTCCATCACAGCAATCACAAATTGGTTGGTAATCTAGCAGGATCTGTGCATGTTATGCATTGATTTTCTCAATAATAGTTGCTATCAACACACAATTAATTAAATCTGATGATAATGTGCTTCATCACCTCTAGATCTGCTTCCTCATGACGGTGAATGTCATTGGCCAGCGGATGAACTTCCTGGTGATCATCCACGGCTGTTGGCTGGTGGCCATCGTGGTGCGGCGGCGCCGGGCTGCCATTGCCCAGATCTGGTCCCAGTACTGCCTGTTTCTGGTGGTCTTCATGATATACCAGTACGTTCTGTGTGTGGGCATCCCTCCTGCGCTCTGCATAGGTGAGCGTTTCTGGATGAATATATCAATATCACCATAATGACAGCAATCCTTTAAAGTCATATATGGGTTGTTTTATATTGATTTTAAAAGAATCAGTACTAGAGCTGCACGATTCTGAATAAGTTGAGTCACATTTTTTTGTTTTTTTACAATAGGGATCATTATTCTCCCATGATTCTGAATAGACAATAGCATATAATTTACTAGAGGTTCTGACAAAATGTTAATTGCTGCAGTCTATTTGAAAAGATTTAATTTATTAGAATCCTTTTTATTCAGGTTGAGTGAATGATTCAAAGACTCGCTCATAAATACATAACTTGTTTCATTACTGGATGAATCTGTGTTTTTAAACGAATCTCTTGAATGAATGATTCAATGACAAAAACATTTTTTAACAGTCACGTGTCGCCACCTACTGGTGTAACGATGTAATTGATACGATCTTTATTCAAAGAGTCAAGTTTCTTTCAAAAGGTGATTTACTCTTATTTTTTTAAATCGCTACTGTAGACATCAGTGTTTATATCTGAACTATATTCTTTTATTACAGTACTTCTGTGATAATTTGAATTATTGTAACAGAAATAATGATACTGTCATATCTATACATGACAAACACTCTCTTTGGGACAGCGCCAACGCAGATCTGAATGTTCGCTGTAATCGTACTTGTCAGGTTTATTAGACTGAGCTGAATTACTGTCATTTAGGAATAAGATCAGTGACTACTGTCGCTGCTTAGAAACTGTGTATTTTGAAGAGCGCTATACAAAATTAATTTGATTTGACTTAAAACCATCGAAAATACACCAGTGCAAATCATCTCAGTTGTCAGGTAAAAGCCAGTTTAGGCGAGTTTAAGCTAATCCTACATCAGAGTCACCGTGCTGATGTACGTGTACAGTGATTACTGGAGCACACCCTGCGTCTCTTGAGTTTTCTCGGCGAGTGACTTGCCTCTGGTAACCTGAGCTTTCTCACATGGCTCTAGATTACCCTTGGAGATGGAGAACCTCAGTGACTATCCACTCAGCTCTGGTGAAATGGATCTACTTACCTGACTTCTACACCATTCCCAACTCCAGGAACCTCATATGTAAGTGACACCTTCGACTGAACACCCAACAGAACCACGATGTATTTACTCACCAGTTATACAACCTACAGTGACCCCAAAAAGTGTTCGGACACTTAAGCCACTTTAAAAAATGAACGACTGAATGAATACCAAACCCAAGTGGCTTCTGCAAACTAATGATTCTAGACTTTTTCTAAGAACAATGACTTTTCAACCAACTGATATAGTGTAGGGGTGGGAATTGGCAAAAATGTGACGATTCGATAGTATTGCGATATTTGGGCCACGATTCAATATTATTGCGATTCTTTACATATTGCGATACAGCAAGTATTGCGATTCGATTCTGCGATATATTGTGATTCATGTCCCCCATATTATTCAAAGGCATTACAAAAAATGACCCCAAAAAGTGTTGGGACACTTAAGCCACTTTAAAAAAATGAACGTCTGAATGAATACCAAACAAAGTGGCTTCTGCAAATAAATGATTCTAGACTTTTTCTAAGAACAATGACTTTTCAATCAACTGATATCAATGCCATTTATTTTGTGTCCATGTACAGTATGAAGTCAGTTCTCCTCAAGTTCACCACATTCATTACATTAACTATGGATTTGTGCCGGCCCAGATCCGGCCCACATCCGGTACACATGGATTCCACTCGGACCGGATCTGGGCCGACACTATGTGGTTGTCTGGGACTATTAGCCTTAATTTTGAACAGTATATCTATTGTTTTATCATATAAAACCCAAAGACCATCAACACCTAGTTTGTTATCTAATGCAGTGACTTGAATACATTTTTAAGTGAGGCTTAAGTGTAAAAATGCTTTTAGAAATACTTAAAATACTCACCTTATTTTTAATAACAGCAGGCCGTTGTTTACCTTGAATATGTAAAGCTTCTGGTGTCGGCTACTTGCAAATGTTTGAGCAAAAACAGTTGTTTAATGCTAGTATTTGTTATAGTTATTGTCATAATCATAAACTCACTGGTTTGTAGTTTGTGGCCACACTTATATTCTTCTAGTTATTTACCAGAACGAGAATCTCACAAATGCACAAGAGATCATTTGCGTCTGCATTGAAAGAAAAGTATAGTGAAATCTGAGGCCAAAATGCATAAAATGTCTGCGATCGATGTGTTGCAGCGGACTTCGTTCTGCTGATGTGTGCGTCGCAGCAGTGGGCGGTGTTCGAAAATGAGAGAAAGGAAGAGTGGATGGTCATGGGAGGAGAGAACAAAGACAACCCGGATCCCATGGAGGAGATGCCCTTCAACCCGGCCCCAAACTTCATCAACTGCAGGTACATTATTACTAATGAATGAGACATAAACACAGCTTTACTGGTCTGAGATCTGGTGCGAAAGGAGTTTTAACACGGCTTATTGCTCTCATGAACAGCAGTGTGAAACCATTCTATCGATAATGAAATTAAACTATTACAAATAGATCTGTTTTAATGAATTTCTTGTATTAAAATTAGGGTTGTTGATTCAATGCATTAATTTGGTGTGATTCATTATGGGGGGAAAAACACATTAAAATGAACACTTTTAACACAGACCTGTACGTCATCTTACATTCATGCAGTTTAGTTATGAAACATGATGCAAGGCAACAAATGCCGCTTAAATTCAAGATATGATGGCATAAAATTTCCCTGTATGGGTTTTCGTCTTTTATTAGTATCATATGATATAGTTTAGCAATATCACGCGAGCAAGAGTGCTATTTTTCCCAAATATCAGCACGATTGCAAATGTGATATTGATTTATAGAACAGTTCAATAAACCAGACGTTAATAGTGCGTTAGATTTTAGACTCAATATTGTCTGTTTTTGCTCATTTTTGTTCCAAGCGACACACAGCCGTGTTTCATTACCGAATGAATCGACAGTTTTTAACGAATCAAGTGAGTCATTGATTCAGTGACTCGTTCATAAAGACAGTCACTTGCTTCGTTCCCGAATGAATCAGCTGTTTGAATGAGTTGGTTGAGTGAATGATTCAACGACTCACTCATTAAGACATACTTGCCGCCACCTACTGGTGGTTTTAGTTTCATATTTCAAGAATCATTCCATTTTTCATTCATATTCATGTCACCTGTGAGCTGCATTAAACGGTCTGTGTAAGTATTCCTAAATGCCACTTCAGATGCAGTTTCTATGGAAAAAAAAGTAATTGCCTTAAAGTCCCCCTGTAAAGTCAATCATTTTATCCATTAAAACTCATCTTTGATCACCAAAATGACATATTTAAACATTTTTTCCTTGCCTTAAAATATCTTGAATGTAACTCGACACCCTTGCCTCATTTAGTATGCGTGCTTCTATGAATATGCAAATGAGCCCCGCCTCCACTCACTCACTCAGCTCAGAGATCCACTGGTTGACGATCACACGTTGATCTGATTGGTTACAAGGTCGTTTGTGACGTCAGAAACACCAGCGATTTCAAACCGTGTTTTTGAGACTGTCTTTGGTTCACTGCAGTTTTAAGCAGAAAATACTTAGCAATGCTGTCGACTTATGAACTTACACATGGTGTGTCTTAAAGCATATTAAAAACACCACATAGACATGTAAACAACATTAAACGCTGGAGTTTCACCACAGGGGGACTTTAAAGGTTTATGTGTAATAAATTCAATGTTGAATCAAAATATTTCTATATATTTCCATAAATAATTACTTTAAATGATCTTTTAGCGGGTCAAAATTGATGTAATAAATTTGAGATTAATTTGATTGATTTATTAATTGGCACATCCTGTGATTAATTAAATTAAAAAAAAGAATTGCTTGACGGCCCTAATTAAAATATAACATCTCTCTCTCTCTCTCTCTCTCTCTCTCTCTCTCTCTCTCTCTCTCTCTCTCTCTCTCTCTCTCTCTCTCTCTCTCTCTCTCTCTCTCTCTCTCTCTCTCTCTCTCTCTCTCTCTCTCTAATGAGCTTTATTGGCATGACAAATTGTACATTGTATTGCCAAAGCATTTATATGAGCATGAATATAAAAAAAAAAAAAAAAAAAAAAAAAAGAACAACTTAGAACAAATTCTGGTAACACTTTACTTGAAGGGGTGTGCATAAGACTAACATGACACCTTCATAATCATGACATGACACATGTTATGAATATGAAGTAGGGTTTATGCATGTTTATGACAACTGTCATTAAGTGTCATTCGCTCAATTATGACATTTTTAATGCAAATATGACATTGTTTGAGATGTCTTTATGACACCTTTACATAAACCAATACATCATAACCTGTCAGTGTCTTTGCCATGACAACTTGACATTACTAAGACAACACAACCTGTCATAAACATGACATAGCAGATTAATTATCAAACTTGAGAAACCACTTAGCTTTATTGGTTAACATTACATTAAACTGTCATGTGGTTGGTTGTGACATTGGCTGTCATGAGGCATTATAACATTTTAATGACAAATTCAATGTGTACCACTGTAGTTGAGGTCAAGAAAAATATTCATGACACAGTTATAATGGCCTTATGACAGCCAATGTCAAAACCAACCACATGACAGTTTAACTTAATTTAATGTCAAGTTGTCATGACAAAGACACTGACAGGTTATGATGTTATGGTTTATGTCAAGGTGTCATAACAAAGACATCTCAAACAATGTCATATTTGCATTCAAAATGTCATTATTGAGCGAATGACACTTAATGACAGTTGTCATAAACATGCATAAACCCTACTTCATATTCATAACATGTGTCATGTCATGGTTATGAAGGTGTCATGTCAGTCTTATGTACACCCCTTCAAGTAAAGTGTGACCCAAATTCTGTATTAAACAAGTGTGTGTGTGTGTGTGTGTGTGTGTGTGTGTGTGTGTGTGTGTGTGTGTGTGTGTAAATTGGCGCATCATTGTTTGGTCGACTCTTTGTGTGTCAGGAATGGATGTAATTTGCTGCTAGTGAAATGCAGTCTCTTTTTTCACCAAGTCAACACTGAACTTGTGCTTCATTCTTCAGCTTTCTGAAGTTGTGAAACTCTAGTTTCTAGAACCTCTGGACGTAGTTTTCCCTCTCTCTCTCTCTCTCTCTCTCCAGGTCGTATCTGGACATGGCGAAGGTGCTGGTGTTCCGGTACATGTTCTGGTTTGTGCTGACGGTGGTGTTTGTGACCGGAGCGACGCGGATCAGTGTGTTCGGCCTGGGTTATCTCACGGCCTGCTTCTTCTTCCTCCTCTACGGCACGCGGCTCCTGATCAAGCCGTCGCGCACACGCCTGGTCATGTGGGACTGTCTCATCATGTACAACGTGGCCGTCATCATCTCGAAAAACATCCTTTCTGTGAGTGAGCAGCGTTTCACCACGCAGATAACTAATAACTGATGGCTCATGACAAAATCTTCAATTATACAGGCTATCTTTTATTTAATTTTCAACAGTTTCAACAAAAAAAATATTATAATAAAAGTGTTTTTACTGTCTTCAATTCACGGCATTTTTTTATCTTTCTTCTACCAGACTTAATGATTTGAATCAGTGTGTGCTTACATCCAAATGCTATTGTCCACAGTATCTGGAAAGCTTAGGTTATATTAGTCCACTAATCATATTAGTCTATATACTATTTAATAAAATGTGTTAATGTAAAGATGTGGCATTATGATTATATCTGTCAGTCCGTATCATTAATACTAGGGATGCACCGATACTGAGCTCATGTACTCATAAAAATGCCCCGCTACGAGGCTGTGTGTGTGTGTGTGTGTGTGTGTGTGTGTGTGTGTGTGTGTGTGTGTGTGTGTGTTTGTGTCCAGACAAAGACACATTGACAACAGAGAGTATAATGGGGATAAAAAAGAAGTAAATGTATCTAATTAGTGGAATATTAAATGAAATATGTGACCCTGGATCACAAAACCACATATATACACGTCACACGGGTGTGTCTGTGGCAATAGCCAACTATACATTGCATGGGTCAAAATTATCGATTTTTCTTTTATGGCAAAAATCATTAGGATATTAAGTAAAGATCATGTTCCATGAAGATATTTAGTAAATTTCCTACCATGAATGTATAAAAAATGTATTTTGTGAGTGGATGCAGCACAATCGTGAACATAAATGCACAACTTTAAAGGAGATTTTCTCAATGTTTCAATTTTTTTACACCCTCAGATTCCAGATTTGCAAATAGTCATATCTCGGCTAAATATTGTCCTATGCTAATAAACCATACATCAATGGAAAGCCATAAATGTACCCATGTGACTGGTTTTGTGGTCCAGGGTCACATACAGTAACACATAGCTGTGGTAAAACGAGGATCCATACAATGCATTTTAGCAGACTTAATTAAGCATGAAAATAACTGAAGGAAATATATAGTTGATGAACAAATTAAGCCAACTAATATGATTCATATTCTTTTGGTTTCACAACTGCAGTGAAAATACAGGTATCGGTGAGTACAAAAAATATGAAAATATCGGTATCAGACTCGTTCTGGAAAAAGTGGTATCGGTGCATCCCTACACTCTAACAAATGCTGGGTTGTTTAAACCCAACTTTGGATCAAATACGGACAAACCCAAACGTTGGGTTAAAAATTTAACCCAATGGCTGGGTTTGTCTATATTTGACCCAAAGTTGACGTTGGGTTAAAAATGTAACCCAATGGCTGGGTTTGTCCGTATTTGACCCAAAGTTGACGTTGGGTTAAAAATGTATCCCAATGGCTGGGTTTGTCCGTATTTGACCCAAAGTTGACGTTGGGTTAAAAATGTAACCCAATAGCTGGGTTTGTCCGTATTTGACCCAAAGTTGACGTTGGGTTAAAAATTTAACCCAATGGCTGGGTTTGTCCATATTTGACCCAAAGTTGACGTTGGGTTAAAAATTTAACCCAATGGCTGGGTTTGTCCGTATTTGACCCAAAGTTGACGTAGGGTTAAAATTGAACCCAATGGCTGGGTTTGTCCGTATTTGACCCAAAGTTGACGTTGGGTTAAAAATTTAACCCAATGGCTGGGTTTGTCCATATTTGACCCAAAGTTGACGTTGGGTTAAAAATTTAACCTAATGGCTGGGTTTGACCATATTTGACCCAAAGTTGACGTTGGGTTAAAAATTTAATCTAATGGCTGGGTTTGTCCGTATTTGACCCAAAGTTGACGTTGGGTTAAAAATGTAACCCAATGGCTCGGTTTGTCCATATTTGACCCAAAGTTGGGTTTAAACGACCCAGCATTTTTTTTAGTTTATTAGCAACTACTAAGAGCAGAGTTTTGTCACAACAGCGCTGTGTCTTGTGTTAGATCCTGGCATGTGTGTTTGTGCTGGAGATGCAGAAGAACTTCTGCTGGGTCATTCAGCTCTTCAGTCTGGTGTGCACCGTCAAAGGCTACTATGATCGTAAGTCACTTTTCCCTTCTTATCTGTAGCCGCATTTCCATTACAGATACGCGCAACACTTTTGCGATATTTTCTAAATGTCGATAAAAAACTATTGTGAAATTGCGGCATTTCGATTTCCTCTCGCGATAAGTCATTCCAACAATCATGGCGACGGATGTTAGTTGGTTTATGTGTATCTCAGCCGCTGCACTAGCTATTATTATTAATCAAAGGAGCCGTAGGCGTGTTTTCCCAGCATTAATGGCAAGGAAAGCGCCATATACTCATGAGTGGTACATATGAGGTGTTTCTTGTTTCAAATATCAAACATTTCTTAAATCAAGATGCATTTACTAAAGTAGTAAAATGACATAAGATATTAAGTCTTGTTTTCTGGAGAAATAATACAAATTCACTTAATTTTGATTAATTCTCCCGGAAAACAGGACAAAATATATTATGTCATTTTACTCATCTAGTAAATGCATCTTGATTTAAGAAATTTTAGATATATGGACTGGAAACAAGACAAAAATACTAAGAAAAGCGTTTTTTGCAATGTATAATATATTATGTGGATTACATTGTAGTTTATCAGCGCGAGCACAGAGTTTTTAGATGAGACTGAAACATTTTGACATTGTTTCCCAATCAAAACTGTGATCCTGAAATTGTATTTAGCTACATTATAACTATTATTCAGCCGTTTTGTCTTTAAGCGCTTCACTGTTTATCCCCTGTCTCTAAGAGTCAGTTTATTTTTCTTACTACATTGTAAAGTTGTTAAAATAATTCTTGCATTAAGTCGTTTTTTTTTCCGTTTCCTAAAGAAGCAGTTCCTAAACTGTGTTCCTCGCACACTCTTCCATCTAACACTTTTAAATCAATCCGATTAAAGCTTAGCTACTGTATACAATTTAACCGTCAGCTCATTTAAATTATGAAATTATACTTGATGACAGAAGTGTTTGTACTGTAGTAACGAGATGGCCAATGCTCGTAATATTTGTAAAATATATTGTATTTGTATTTATTTTCTTCATTTCCCTATTTTTGCACAACAGATTTTAAATCTCAGATCCACAGCACAGTCAGATGTAATGGTTTTGTGTGTGTGTGTGTGTGTCTTCCTCAGCTAAGTCAGTGTGTAGTAAGGATTGCTCTCTGCCTGTGGAAGAGGCCGGCATTATCTGGGACAGTATCTGTTTCTTCTTCCTCCTGCTTCAGAGGAGAGTCTTCCTCAGCTTTTATTTTCTGCATGTCACTTCAGATCTTCAAGCTTCAGCGCGACAGGCCTCTCGGTAAGAGGACAGTTCGTTCATGCAACCCATTCAAAGTTAGATGTGAAAAGTTCCCACTTGATATATCTGACTTATGACCCTGAGTCTGATGCTTAAAAGTTGATGTATAAAGAACCAAAATAGAAGTTGTTTCATTTTTTTTGTGTGAGTGACTATCAACAGCGAAGAGGATTTTACATTATGGATTTTACATTAGGATTTTAAATTATGAAGTTTAGAATTTGGTCTTTCAAAGTCGAATGGAGTTCAAGGAAAACCGTGAATAAGTGCTTCAGGTAATAAGTTGGGGTTTGTATAATAAAAAGTTTATTTTCTGTGTCTGTGCATTAGGGGTTTCGAGCTTTTCCGCGCCAGCATTATAAAGAACATGCATTTCCATCAGCAAGCAGAGAAGAAGTCAATTCAACAGCTCAAGGAATCGTGAGTTAACACTTTGCCCTTTTATTTGCCATAATAAAAATAAATGAATGAATAAAAAAGAATGTCCTACATATGAAAGCTTATTTTTGCATAATATAAAAAGAAAGGTAATTGCAACTTTTCTGACTTTTTCCCCCTCAGAATTCACAATTACGAGATATGAACTCGCAATATTGAGGAAAAAGTCACAATAACGAGATATAAACTCGCAATTCTGAGGGAAAAAAAACACAATTATAAGATATAAACTCACAATTCTGAGGAAAAAAAACAATTATAAGATATAAACTCACAATACTGAGGAAAAAGAACAATTATAAGATATAAACTCACAATACTGAGGAAAAAGTCACAATAACGAGATATAAACTCGCAATACTGAGGAAAAAGTCACAATAACGAGATATAAACTCACAATACTGAGGAAAAAGTCACAATAACGAGATATAAACTCGCAATTCTGAGGGAAAAAAAACACAATTATAAGATATAAACTCGCAATTCTGAGGAAAAAAAACAATTATAAGATATAAATTCGCAATTCTGAGGAAAAAGTCACAATTTAAAATATAAACTCAATTCTGAGAAAAAGTCTCAATTATAAGATATAAACTCACAATACTGAGGAAAAAGTCACAATAACGAGATATAAACTCGCAATACTGAGGAAAAAGTCACAATAACGAGATATAAACTCGCAATACTGAGGAAAAAGTCACAATAACGAGATATAAACTCGCAATACTGAGGAAAAAGTCACAATAACGAGATATAAACTCACAATACTGAGGAAAAAGTCACAATAACGAGATATAAACTCGCAATTCTGAGGGAAAAAAAAACACAATTATAAGATATAAACTCACAATTCTGAGGAAAAAAAACAATTATAAGATATAAATTCGCAATTCTGAGGAAAAAGTCACAATAATAAGATATAAACTCACAATACTGAGGAAAAAGTCACAATAACGAGATATAAACTCACAATACTGAGGAAAAAGTCACAATAATGAGATATAAACTCGCAATACTGAGGAAAAAGTCACAATAATGAGATATAAACTCACAATTCTGATTTTATTTCTCGCAATTCTAATGTTCATAATTTGCATAAACACACATTTGTGAGAAATAAAGTCCAAATTGAAAGTTGCAATTACTTTTTTTATTTTTTTATTCCATATTGGACACAAGTAACTTATTGAGCTCTAGTCACTCTATATAATCAATCCTCATGTTTCCTCAGGATGAATCGCATCCGTGACAAACAGCAGAAGTACAAGGAAGGACGCAAACCGTCTGATGTGGAGGAGCAGCCCGATGGTACAAATGCGTTAACATTTAAACTAGTCTAACATTGATCAGCCATACATCCCTAATATATGTGTGTGTGTGTGTGTAGACGCCAAGGAACAGAAGAAACAGAGACAGTTGTCAAAGTCCAAACGATGGGAGTTTCCTTGGATGGATCATGCGACTGGTATATGTCAAGCTTAATAAAATTAATGTATTTTCAGGGAAGCAAACAAGGGAAAAAGGCTGCAGGAGTTTAAATATGCGTGATTGTCTTTGCTTTAGTGTTGCATTCTGGGGAATATTACATGTTTGAGTCTGACAGCGGAGAGGAAGATGAATCCTTTCAGGAGGAACAGAAACCTCGCAAACAAACGGCCTTTCAGGTGAAACACGCTTGTATTAAGTTTGCTCTCTGTTGTATGTTTGGTAAGGCGGTTATTGCAGGGATACGTGTGTAAAGTGTGTGTGTGTGTTAAATGTTTCCCACAGCTGGCGTACCAGGCTTGGGTCACCAGTGCAAAAGAAGCGCTGAAAGAGCGCCAGCAGAGGCAGAGAGAGCAGAGAGCCGAAGCAAAGAAACAACAAACCTCTCAGGCTTCAGGTTAAACGCTGACATTTGAAACATACAGCGATATATTTCCCAGACAACAACAGTGTCGGCCCAGATCCGGTACCAAGCGTGCCGCACAAGTCCTGAACAGTGAAGCCAAAGCGCCTCGATCACCCAGTATAGCTCATTAACCCAGAGTCTCGATCGCCCCCCCGGTGGCTGGTCCCAGTATAGCTCATAAACCCAGAGTCTCGATCGCCCCCCAATGGCTGGTCCCAGTATAGCTCATAAACCCAGAGTCTCGATCGCCCCCCAATGGCTGGTCCCAGTATAGCTCATAAACCCAGAGTCTCGATCGCCCCCCGGTGGCTGGTCCCAGTATAGCTCATAAACCCAGAGTCTCGATCGCCCCCCAATGGCTGGTCCCAGTATAGCTCATAAACCCAGAGTCTCGATCGCCCCCCAATGGCTGGTCCCAGTATAGCTCATAAACCCAGAGTCTCGATCGCCCCCCCAGTGGCTGGTCCCAGTATAGCTCATAAACCCAGAGTCTCGATCGCCCCCCCGGTGGCTGGTCCCAGTATAGCTCATAAACCCAGAGTCTCGATCGCCCCCCGGTGGCTGGTCCCAGTATAGCTCATAAACCCAGAGTCTCGATCGCCCCCCCGGTGGCTGGTCCCAGTATAGCTCATAAACCCAGAGTCTCGATCGCCCCCCAATGGCTGGTCCCAGTATAGCTCATAAACCCAGAGTCTCGATCGCCCCCGGTGGCTGCTCCCAGTATAGCTCATAAACCCAGAGTCTCGATCGCCCCCCGGTGGCTGCTCCCAGTATAGCTCATAAACCCAGAGTCTCGATCGCCCCCCGGTGGCTGGTCCCAGTATAGCTCATAAACCCAGAGTCTCGATCGCCCCCCGGTGGCTGGTCCCAGTATAGCTCATAAACCCAGAGTCTAGATCGCCCCCCCGGTGGCTGGTCCCAGTATAGCTCATAAACCCAGTCTCGATCGCCCCCCGGTGGCTGGTCCCAGTATAGCTCATAAACCCAGAGTCTTGATCGCCCCCCAATGGCTGGTCCCAGTATAGCTCATAAACCCAGAGTCTCGATCGCCCCCCGGTGGCTGGTCCCAGTATAGCTTATAAACCCGGAGTCTCGATCGCCCCCCCGGTGGCTGGTCCCAGTATAGCTCATAAACCCAGAGTCTCGATCGCCCCCCGGTGGCTGGTCCCAGTATAGCTCATAAACCCAGAGTCTCGATCGCCCCCCGGTGGTTGGTCCCAGTATAGCTCATAAACCCAGAGTCTCGATCGCCCCCCGGTGGCTGGTCCCAGTATAGCTCATAAACCCAGAGTCTCGATCGCCCCCCCGGTGGCTGGTCCCAGTATAGCTCATAAACCCAGAGTCTCGATCGCCCCCCCGGTGGCTGGTCCCAGTATAGCTCATAAACCCAGAGTCTCGATCGCCCCCCCGGTGGCTGGTCCCAGTATAGCTCATAAACCCAGAGTCTCGATCGCCCCCCGGTGGCTGGTCCCAGTATAGCTCATAAACCCAGAGTCTCGATCGCCCCCCGGTGGCTGGTCCCAGTATAGCTCATAAACCCAGAGTCTCGATCGCCCCCCGGTGGCTGGTCCCAGTATAGCTCATAAACCCAGAGTCTCGATCGCCCCCCCGGTGGCTGGTCCCAGTATAGCTCATAAACCCAGAGTCTCGATCGCCCCCCAATGGCTGGTCCCAGTATAGCTCATAAACCCAGAGTCTCGATCGCCCCCGGTGGCTGCTCCCAGTATAGCTCATAAACCCAGAGTCTCGATCGCCCCCCGGTGGCTGCTCCCAGTATAGCTCATAAACCCAGAGTCTCGATCGCCCCCCGGTGGCTGGTCCCAGTATAGCTCATAAACCCAGAGTCTCGATCGCCCCCCGGTGGCTGGTCCCAGTATAGCTCATAAACCCAGAGTCTAGATCGCCCCCCCGGTGGCTGGTCCCAGTATAGCTCATAAACCCAGTCTCGATCGCCCCCCGGTGGCTGGTCCCAGTATAGCTCATAAACCCAGAGTCTTGATCGCCCCCCAATGGCTGGTCCCAGTATAGCTCATAAACCCAGAGTCTCGATCGCCCCCCGGTGGCTGGTCCCAGTATAGCTTATAAACCCGGAGTCTCGATCGCCCCCCCGGTGGCTGGTCCCAGTATAGCTCATAAACCCAGAGTCTCGATCGCCCCCCGGTGGCTGGTCCCAGTATAGCTCATAAACCCAGAGTCTCGATCGCCCCCCGGTGGTTGGTCCCAGTATAGCTCATAAACCCAGAGTCTCGATCGCCCCCCGGTGGCTGGTCCCAGTATAGCTCATAAACCCAGAGTCTCGATCGCCCCCCCGGTGGCTGGTCCCAGTATAGCTCATAAACCCAGAGTCTCGATCGCCCCCCCGGTGGCTGGTCCCAGTATAGCTCATAAACCCAGAGTCTCGATCGCCCCCCCGGTGGCTGGTCCCAGTATAGCTCATAAACCCAGAGTCTCGATCGCCCCCCGGTGGCTGGTCCCAGTATAGCTCATAAACCCAGAGTCTCGATCGCCCCCCGGTGGCTGGAGAGGTGCCCGTGCAGTCAGCGGAGACTCGCGCTCGTGCGGACGCGTCGAGTATAAACAAGGCTTTACGAGACGCGAGGGAAACTAAACAATCAAATTACACTTCAAACACAGTTTTTCCAAAGATGTTTTATGTCATTTAGGTAGTTTTTTTCACGCTGATGTTAGTTTAAGCGCTTATTTTTTTAAAATAAGTTTGGTCTTATATGTTATTTGACGCTATAAAAACGGGAAAGTGACGTCATGATTGACAGCTTCTCTAAACGAAGTCACTGAAGCACCAACAGACTTTTTGGGGGATTTTTGGGAGGAGATTGGAGCTTCAACTTTAATTTCTACATTTCCATAACGATTTATTTCACACCGACATGAGTTTTTCAGCAGTAAACTGTACTAACCGTTTCTGCGAGAGTGTGTGTGAGAGAGTGTGCGCGGGACCTTGATATCGCGGCTCCACTTCATGTTCACTACTGCGCAGAATCAGCTCCCAAATCCATATAGCGACATTGGCGGATTTACTTTTCACCAATGGAAGAGAGTGAAGGGCCATCGTCCTTCTTTTGTTAGTCTATGTCCGGTACACACGGATTCCACGGATTTCGGCCGGATCTGGGCCGACACTTTGTTGCTGTCTGGGTTTACAAGTAGACAAATAAACCAGTTCCACATTTCATCTTATTACAGTGGTATATTGAGTTGTTTGTTTCTCTCAATGGGTATCAGGTGATGCTGAGGAGGATGGGGATGTTTTTGATGTTGGGAATTCCCAGGAAGTGGAAGAAATGCAAGAGGAAGGAGAAGATGTGGGTAAGTTAGCAATTTAATTTGCTTAGATATTCCGCGTGCAGCTATTATTGGAAAGTGGAAGCATTTATGAACAACCGCCATGAAGTGAAATAACGCTCTGCTGATTCCAATGCTAAAGCGTTCCAAACTTCCACTGGCATTAATATCAGCACAGAAACTGTGCGGCGGGAGCTTCGTGGAGTGGGTTTCCTCACATCAACAAGTACAATGCCAAGCGCCACTGGACCGTAGAGCCGTGGAAACCTGTTCTGTTCTGGCGAACACGCTTCTCTGTCGGGCAGTCTGATGCACTGCGTCCGAAATCCAATACTTCCCTACTATATAGAATGCAAAATACGCCGACAGATTAGTATGTCCGAATAATATAGTATTTGGAAAACAGTAGCCGAAAAGTTCCCGGATGACCTAATATTTCCGGGAAGAAAATGCTTGGGAAAATTTGGGTCAAAAATGGACAAACCCAGCCGTTGGATTACATTTTTAAATTTTATTTTTAAACCCAACATTTGGGTTTGTCCATGTTTGACCCAAAATTGGGTTAAAACAACCCAGCATTTTTTAGAGTAATTTCATTTATAAAACACTTTTTTCACGGTTCAATTTCAAATGTAGTACCTACTCGGACAGTATGGACTATTTCGGATGAATTTTCGGTTTGGCGGATGCCTGGAGAACGTTCCCTGCCGGACTGTGGAGTTGGCTGGAGGAGGGATAGTGGTGTGGGGTTGTTTTTCAGGGGTTGGGCTCTTTACTTCCAGTGAATCCTTGCTGAAATGCTTCAGCAAACCAAGACAACGCTCTGCTTCCAACTGTGTGGTGAATAGGGGTGTCGACATTAATCGTTTCTACGATGCATCGCGATGCAGACGAGGACGATTCGGTATCGGTTCAGTAATAGACCATAACCGATTATAATGTACTGACGCTTTTCTGACGCCATTTGTCGTGCGTGTGCTTTGTCGCGGTGGCATACAATGGCAGAGGGAGGCGAGACGCGAGTGCGAGTAATTTAAAAATGCTCCAACTACTTTAAAAGCATAAGGTTACATCTGGGCACATTTCGGCTTTCATGTACAACCTGGTAAGAGCTGGAGAAGACTGTGTGTGCGCTCATGTCACTCATGCTCATGTCACGCACACATAGAATAAGCAGGAGGTAATGCCACTAACTTGATAAAACACGTTTTCACCTCGAGCTGTTAACGCCTGGCAGAGTCTGACTGAACATACACTGATGAATGAGCGCTGCTTTTAAATGAACATTTCTTTATAACAAAATTGATTTGACAGAATTTAATTTTCTTAATGGCATCAACAGGCTTTACTCCCTTGAAACTTAAACTGGAATGTCACTGTTTCTGTCACTGCGACTTACAGGCGAACACACACACACACACACACACTCGCGGGCTTGCACACAACGCTTTTGAAGTAAAATTGAAAATTGAGGATGCGGTGCTTCGTAATGCACCGTGATATCGAATTGAACTGAATCGATGACATGATAATCGTAATCGAACCGAACTGTGAGACCAGTGTAGGTTCACACCCCTAGTGGTGAAGACCCTTTTCTATCCCAGCATGACTGTGTTCGTCTTAGGTTTAACAACCTATGAAACTAATAATGAACAATATGAAACTAAAACGACATAAGCTTAATTTAAAATGTCTTAGGAACTACAGGATATTTAGAGGTGGATAAACGCACTTTGGAGGTGGGTAAACGCTATTTCCGAATATTGGGAGGTGCGTAAACGTGTTTACGTGCGTTTAGCCTCCACTACATCCCTGAAGACACGGCTGGATGAGTTTGGTGTGGAAGGACCTGACTGGCCCTGATCTCAAGATCTTTGAGATGAACTGGAACGAACCAGATCTTCTCATTCAACACCAGTGCCTGACCACACAAGCCCTCTACTGGATTAATCCCCACAGAAACACTCCAAGATCTCATGGAAAGCCTTCCCAGAGGAGCGGAAGCTGTTGTAGCCATTTAATGCATTTATTAATTATTTAGTGCTCAGGTGTCCCAATACTTTTGTCCATTTATTGGACCTAAATAACACATCCGGTTTAATGACACAAACATTTGAGCTTAAAGGATTAGTTCACTTCAGAATTAAAACTTCCTGATAATTTACTCACACACACGTCTTTCTTCAGTCGAAAAGAAATTAAAAATGGTGATAAAAAGTGGTTAAAAAGTATATAAATGTTTATTTTCTTATAAAATGGCGGATGGTTTGTCTAGATCAGACTCTTATTCCTCGGCTGGATCGTGTCGAGACTTTGAAGCTGCACTGAAACTCACATCTGGACCTTCGACCCGTTGGACCCCATTGAAGTCACTATATGGAGAAACACCTGGAGTGTGTTCCTCAAAAACCTTCATTTCTTTTCGACTGAAGAAAGAAAGACATGAACATCTTGGATGACATTAGTAAATTATCCTAACTAAACTAATCCTTTAATCCCCCTTTTAAAATGGAGATTTATTACCGCCTAACCATAAGCAAGGGAAAACAAGCTGAGTTTCATGTGACGACCTCGTGCATCTTTCTGATTTACAGTATCTCAAGGCACTGGCAGTGATGTAGTTCAGAGGATTCTGGACATATTGAAGTTCCTTTGGGTGCTTTTCCTAGCAATGGTGGACGGATTCACCACGTGGCTCAACTTGCTCACCAAACAGTATGTAGACACTTCGATGGTCCTCTGTGAGGAGCGCTACCTCTTCATCCACAACATCAGCCAGGTGCGTCCATCACATCATTTACACAGCGCTTTCAACAACACAGATCGTTTCACAGCAGCTTTACAGTGATAACAGGAGATTACAGTAACAGAGATTGTTTTGGCTTTACAGCCGCTCTAAAATTAAAGTTATCGTCCAGCTAAAGTTAGTTTCACTTCTGTTGTAAAGATCATTACCCAGCAAGCAATTTTGTGTTTAAAAGACGTCTATTAGGCGTCCAAACAGCCTAAACCATAGTCTGTAAAACACTGTAAATTAAACACAGTTTAAACCAGAGCCCAAGAATAGACTTTGCTTTGTTTACTTTGCTTACATGATGGAGTATCACACATCTCGCAAGTTATTTTGGCAAAAACAACATGTAACCAAATTCAAGTTTTTTTTGGCTAGAAGTGTGTTACTCATAGCCGGAGTATATCGGGTCTATAGTACGCAGGGTTTGATATTATCTTTTTCACTCACTGGCCAATTTGTTAAAAAGTATTTAAATAAGTTACCGGCCATTCAGAACTTCTACTAGCCAACAAAAAATAACCAAGATTAACTACGAGCTGTATGTATTATAAAATTTGGATTTCATACATTAATTTCTTTTTCAAACAAAGTCCTGTCATCCAGCATATCCTCTTCCTCTTTCATCCTCATCACCACACATGTCATCGAAACAATGTAGGATGTTGGAAAATGACAGTCTTTTCTGTTCGCCAAATGCTTTTTAATCTTCGCTATTGCATTAATGCAAATGAGCCGTTATTTGTAGTGTAGTGACTTGCATGTTCAAGTACACCAGATATGAGCAGATTCTGTGCAATACACTGTATTTAAAGGGATAGTTCACTTTGAAATTAATTTTTGATATGTTTTAGCTTACCTCCAGTGCATCCAAGATGTAGGTGTCTTTGTTTCCACAGTATCTTCAATTTTGATAATTTTAGGTAAAACCGTTGTTGTCTGTCAGTCATATAATGGAGGTGAAGGGGGTCCTCCTCAAAGAGCAGTCAAAATTAAACATTATTTAATGACTCGTAAATGTAAGTACACATTGATGCCCTAAGACACGAAACGAGTGGTTTTTGTGAGAAAACGAACAGTATTTATATTGTTTTTACCTCTTGTAACCACAGCCATGTCCAAGTTATCTGAGGGCGCGGACGCTTCCGTGTGTGACGTGTACGCAGACTGGTGCAAAGATATATATACCCTAGATGTCGCCTTGGCTAAGGTTTCGTTCCAATGAACTGCCGTCGCCAAGGCGACATCTAGTTTATCTATGCACCAGTCTGCGTACACGTCACACACGGAAGCGTCCGCGCCCTCAGATAACTTGGACATGGCTGTGGTTACAAGAGGTAAAAACAATATAAATACTGTTCGTTTTCTCACAAAAACCACTCGTTTCGTGTCTTAGGGCATCAATGTGTACTTACATTTACGAGTCATTAAATAATGTTTAATTTTGACTGCTCTTTGAGGAGGACCCCCTTCACCTCCATTGTATGACTGACAAGACAACAACGGTTTTACCTAAAATTATCAAAATTGAAGATACTGTGGAAACAAAGACACCTACATCTTGGATGCACTGGAGGTAAGCTAAAACATATCAAAAATTAATTTCAAAGTGAACTATCCCTTTAATATATCATGATGACTCACGAGTCGAGTATTTGTGCTAAATCTGTGCAGATTTGTCTTACACACAAACTTCCCTAGCAATGTGAGTAAATATAATAAGTAACGCCAAATTGGCTCGTGATTTTTACCCGCATTTGGCGAGTGTTAAAGGATTAGTTCACCTCAAAATGAAAATTTCCTAATAATTTACTCACGCCAATGCCATCCAAGATATCCATGTCTTTCTTTCCTCAGTGGAAGAGAAAATACGTTTTTTGAGGAAAACATTTCTGGATTTTTCTTGAAATAATGGACTTCAATGGACACCAACGTTTTGAAGTCCAAATCAATGCAGTTTCAAAGGTGTTTAAAGTGCTTTAACCGGCTGTGCACGATCACCTGAGGAAGAGTCTTATCTAGCGAAACGATAGGTCATTTAAAAATATATATATATATACTTTTTAACTCCAATTGTTCGGATTGAGCTGATCTGCAACGCGCCGGGAACTACGTCATCACGTTGAAAGGTCACGCTCGATGAGATTTAAACACCCAGGATACGCACACGTTATGACCATTTTAAACAATAGTATGACACAAAGACATAAATATGTCATTCAACATGACCTTTCAACGTGATGACGTAGTTCCCGGCGCGTTGCTGATCAGCTCAATCCGAACAATTGTAGTTAAAAAGTATATATATATATATTTTTTTTTTAAATGGCCTATCGTTTCGCTAGATAAGACTCTTCCTCAGGTGATCGTGCACAGCCGGTTAAAGCATTTTAAACACCTTTGAAACTGCATTGATTTGGACTTCAAAACGTTGGTGTCCATTGAAGTCCATTATTCGAAGAAAAATCCAGAAATGTTTCCTCAAAAAACGTATTTTCTCTTCCACTGAGGAAAGAAAGACATGGATATCTTGGATGGCATTGTAAATATTAGGAAATTTTCATTTTGAGGTGAACTAATCCTTTAATTTCAAACCCTGGTAGTTAACCTAGACGGTGAAATGTGAAATGACGGCTATTAAGCCATGAGACGGGACCCCAAATTTGGGATACCGGTACCATTTTGAGGGATTAAATTTCTTTTTGATTTTCATGAAGGTACACATCTCTCTAGTGTTGGAAAATGTGTGATAGCATCCGATCCATGGTAGCTTTCATTAGAAATCAACACTTATATCATCCTACCTCAAGGTAAGGTGTTCAGTGACTACAAGAGAGAAAAATGTATCCTTTTATAATTTTAAAAATTTATTAAAAAATGTATAATTTTTTTAAATTTATAAAAAAAAAATTATACATTTTGTATAAAATTTAAAAATGTAAAATTTATTTAAAGATAAATTCATTTATCCTTTTTCTTGACATATGTTTGAAAATCGTCCTCCGTAACCAAAAACTACCTTGAATCTAATGCTATCACACATTTTTCAAATACAGGTTCATATACCTACACAAAAATCACCATGTGGTTTAATCCCTCAAAATGGTACCAATCAACCCTCTGTCTCACGGCCTATATTGCTTGCTCTGGGTAGTTATTACATTTTAAAGTTTTAACTATAAACAAAGAAAACTTTGAATGTGTTCTGGCCGCTCATTCGCCCGACAGCAGTGCTCACTCACCCAAACACACCTGACCCGTCGTTGTGATCGTTCTCATGAAGTGTGTGTGTCCACAGACCCTGTCCCGAGAGCCCACGGAGGACCAGCTGTCGCAGGACAGTGAGAATCTCACTCTGGAGACCTGTCTCGACGAAACCGACACCGACAACACTCGCTTCAGCGGCAACAAGTGAGTCCGAGCGCTTCACTTCCCTGCTCCTACACTGCAAAAAATGCTGTTCTTACTCAGTGTTTTTGTCTTGCTTCCAGTCCAAATATCTAAAAACTCTTAAATCAAGATGCATTTACGAAAGTAGTAAAAGGCTGTAAGATATTGGGCCCTATCTTGCACTCGGCGCAAATGACTTTGTACACTGACGCATGTATCATTCCTATTTTCCCTCCACAGACGCACGGCGGTAAACTAGGGAATGAACTTGCGCTCCCTGGGCGGGTCGGCGCAAAGAGCTTCGGTGCAAACAATCCCTTTTGCTATTTTGCAGTTCCAGAAAACAATTCCGCCACTGACCAGAACAAACCTAGTCTAAAGTCAGTGGCGCGTTGCACGTTGTTCATAATGCTATTTTAAGCGTGCATGCTTGGCCATGATGTAGCGGGTGCCCAAAAAAAAGGGAAAACACACTTTGATTCTCTCATCAACAGATGCAGCAGTTTTTATTTTTGCAAATCATACATTATAACAAGGACAAATATTAACACATGAGGGAAATCATTGTGGTGTCCATGAAGATGTGAAAATATGTAGGCCTAAATCTAGCTTACACATTTACCCACATTTTTCAGGCTAATTGTAGTGATGACGGATCAGACCTGTTTGCCCAATAGTGGCAAGACACATATGTATATAAGGACATCTGACAACGTAGTTTGTCCGTCAAGAACCAGGAAAAAAACGACGTTCTTTCACTGAACGCCGGTCTCCTCGGCTGTGAACTGCTCCTGGCGCGCGCCTGGTAAATCCGCCATAATAATAGCAATCCGCCATGCAACATGCGCACCTGCTCTTAAAGGGTATGTTGGATGACGCTCTGATTGGTTTATTTCACGTTACGCCCAAACCACACCTATGAATAATGACGCTATTTCAGACCAACCCCTTTTAAACTTGCGTCGGGCGCAAGAGTCATTTATCCCGCCGGTAAAATAGCAACAGCGCCCGAGACCCGCCCACAAAGTTACTTGCGCTTCGCGCTTGATACTTGCGTTTCAGATCATTAAAATAGGGCCCATTAAGTCTTGTTCTCTGGGGAAATAAATCAAATTTAGTGAGTTGTTGCTTAAAGGGTAACTAAACCCCTGGTCAGAGCCTGACTCCACCCACTGGCAATATTTGAAAAATGCTGGAAAAGTGGGCGGAGCCCAGCGGAGATAGAGGGGATGAACGGATACTCTATCCTGATCGTTTTCAATACTCGCAATTCCAACTCCTGACTCGCTACAGTGGTTTTGACGAAACAAGATGGTTTTTATACTGCCATGGGCGTGGTAGCTCGTACCAAGGGCGTGGTGAGCTGGAACCTGCTTACGTCAGCTCTCACCGCTACCGTCACGAACTACCGCAAACATCCAATAGGAAAACTCAACTGCAGTAGCCACCGTTCAACCTGAAGAGGGCAGCACTCAGACGTTTTTACACCATATATTGTAGAATTAAAACACTTTATACCCAAATGTCAAAAAAGTTACTCTAATCAATGAACAGCACTAATAAAGCCCCAGTCTTAAAGATCATTCATTTAAAAAAGTTGGTTTAGTGTTTAGTTACCCTTTAAAAAAAGCAAAATTATCTGCAAATTGGGTAAGAAAAATAATCTTAATTTAAACGGAAACAAGATTTTTCCCCACAAAACAAGACATAATATCTAATGGGATTGTACTCATCTAGTAAATGCATCTTGATTTAAGAATTTTTAGATATTTGGACTGGAAACAAGACAAAAATACTAAGTAAGAATTTGGATTTTGGACCAATGATGTTTCAGTGTGGGTTTTTATCCCGCGGGATAGATTCCAGGAGTCCAACAACATGCCTGTATCGTTCTGTGATTATGACCAAATGTCCCCTTTCTTTGCAGCGTGGTCGAGTTGGAGACACTGGGGGGTTTCGCGAAGACCCGTGACTTTAGCAGCGAGACTCTGTCTTCTGCACTCACACTAGATCTCGACACAGAACCGTTCTTCAGCCAACACCCGCGACGCTCCAGAACCGCCAGCGAGCTGCTCTCCGACAGGTGATATACGACATCACTCTACGGTCCTCTGCGCTCATTAAAGGGTTCATCTCAGGAAAACATGCCTGGATCAGTTAGAGATTATATTAATAGTTTTCTTAATTAGCTTCTTTTTATTGTATAGCAGTTTGAGCTAACACTTTATTTTGATGATCCACTTTAGACATCCTACTAACTACAAGTAACTTTGCAACTACATGTCAACTAGCAGTCATTATAGTATAAGTAGACTAAGCTTAATATCTGCTAACAATTTATTTTGATGATCCACTTTAGACATAAACTATAAGTTTTATGGACATAAAACTGTCATGTTAGACATAAAACTATGTTTTGTTAGACATAAAACTACTACTAACTACAAGTAACTGCAACTACGCCAACTTTTTCTACTAACCTGAACATCAAAATAAAGTGTTAGCATATATTAAGCTCAGTCTACTGATACTCTAATGACTGCTAGTTGACATGTAGTTGCAGTTACTTGTAGTTAGTAAAATGTCCAAAGTGGACCACATGAACCCAGTTTGGTATACTACCGGTACTTAAATAAATGTATAAATTCAGCATTAAAAAGCAGAGCAACACTACCGTGATGCATAAATAATAACAAAAATTGTCATATTACAGTAATGAGAATTTGGGAGAAAATGTGTATTAATGGTGTTAAAGGTGCAGTGTGTAATATTTAGGAGGATCTGTAGACAGAAATGCAATATCATATCATAACTATTAGTGCTGTCAAACGATTAAAATATTTAATCGCATTAATGTCATAGTTAACTCGCGATTAATCGCTCATTTTTATCTATTCTAAATGTCTCTTGATTTCTTTTTGTCCCATCATTTTTCTCATTTTAATGCTCTTATCAACATGGAAAAGTGGATCGGCTTGCTTTGTGCAAATGTTTTTTATTGAAAACAACATTGGCATATACTGTGTTCAATTTCACACTAACATTCTCACTTGGAGCAAATAATCTCTCAATGTAACACTGTCCATCAATAAAAGGGTGAAAGAAATACTGACGAGGTCCTGATATTGCCGAGGGGGCGGAGAATTCGCATCAGCTGTGTGTGTGTGTGTGTGTGTGTGTGCGTGTGTGTGTGTGTGTTTGGCCATCATCAAGTGGTGTTTCAGACTGGACGCGCTGCGATGATGATAGCTCAGTTCACAACGACAAAACACACAGATCACTTTGGTCTCGTCAATGGAACCATTTGGCAACTTTTTAAAAGTAAACTTTCCATTCAGAATCTTATTGGCATCCATTTCGGCGTCTCGCGCTCGTCATCCACTCAAAACGTAACGTTAACCAACTATTTGCACCGGCTCACAAGCCCAAACGAGTGTGTGTGGCGTGCCTGTTGTTTTGTTTCCGGTCTAGCTAGATCCGGTTGCGCTTTGGTCGACGAAGCAACAAAACGTCCTCGCGCGGCGCAAGCCATTGAAATGAATGGGTTTCATAGCTGCCGCGTCCTGTCGCAAAAGCATGTGAAAAAAACTACAGTTTGCTGGGCCAAGAAGACCGTTAATCGCGCGATAAAAAAATTGACGCCGCTAAAATGGGTTTGTCTTAACGCCGTTAATAACGCGTTTAACTGACAGCCCTAATAACTATATTTTCAGTGGTGTATAAAGACCTCAGATAATGAAGCATTATGTGTTTATTAGCTTAGAATGAGGCATTTCTCTCTACACACACACATCCACATGTTTCTACGGTGGCCCTGAACAGACAAACGCGTTTCGTCACTATGTTGTTATTCATGTAAAGATCTAGCGAATAAAACACTGACACAATGATGAACAAGTAACAATAATAATCACAATAACATCGTTTTACTGAATAATAAAGTAAACCTAATTTCTTAATTTATCTTTGTAAAGAAACCTCAGTGTTTAACTACTCTCTGCTGTCTCAGACGACGACATCACTTCCTGTCTCCACCGTAACTTCTGTTGGGTGCAGTTCACAACCTCACCACTAGATGCCGCTAAAACTTACACACTGCACCTTTAAAAGGTACTGAATAGGCTTAATTATCTTGATGTAAAATGAATAATGTCGTGTCTCTGTGCTCTGCTTCAGGCCCTTCAGTGTCGAGGAGCTGATTCAGTCTCGTGAGTTTTACTCGACTCAGAACCGCCTGCTGAAGCTGGTGTTCGCGCTCTATAACGTCCTGGCGGCTCACTCCGAGCTGGTGTGCTATTTCATCATCGTGCTCAATAACCTGGTGACGGCCTCGGTCGTGTCGCTGGTTCTGCCGGTTCTGGTGTTTCTGTGGGCGATGCTGTCGGTGCCGCGGCCTTCCAAGAGGTTCTGGATGACGGCCATCGTCTACACTGAGGTAGGTGGGGGGGGGGGGGTCTGGTGATTTAATGCTTCAGATAGTAAAAAAAATAAAACTTTTTTTTTTTTTTTTTTTTCATACTTCATAATAATCAACACTTCATAATAATGCTCATTAGTTAACTACCTTAGTTAACATGAACTAAGAATGAACAATACTTATACAGCATTAATTCATCTTGATTAATAAAGCGCACAACATTTCTAAAACTGGCTTGGTGATTTAATGCTTCAGATATAATAAAAAAATTACTTTTTCCCATTTTATTATTGCGATTAGGGCTGGGTAAAAAATATCGATTTCTCGATATTAATCGATTCTCATTTTTACGAACCGATATCGATTCTTAAATCTCAAGAATCGATTAGTCATCCTGTTCTCATTTGATGAATGATTGGAACATTGTAGCGCACATACCATCCAATAAATCGCAATAATCTTTGTGCTTTGTTACTATTGATACTAAATAAAGTCTCAAATTTCAAATTACGTTCATTTTCTTACGAAATTCAAAAACATAAATAGCGTTTTGACGCTGTGGCGTGAGATTGCTCTGGCTCAGCTCAGCTCAAGAGAAGCAGCAGCGCGGAGCGCACATGATCTCCTCTTCCGCCTTAATAACACCAGTTACAGCGCCAAATAAACATGAATGAACGTTAAAAGATAGAGTACAACTTATCGAAATCCGTATCATGTCACATGGAATCAATCAGTGTTTCAACCGTGGAAAGACGTCAGTACAACAACTTGTAAACAATGTCATGTAACGTCACATTTACCTCAGAAAAACCATATGTGACCATAAACTCGTTAGTCAGCTTGAAAAATTAACTCTAAAGAGGAGCATTTTGCTAAATATAAGCACCATATTACATATTCAATATAATTTTTAATGTTCTTCGATATTTAATGCATGTTTGAATAAATCTGGCAAGTTTTTATGACAGCCACCATTTAAATGTTTATATTTCAGATAACTTTATTATTATAAAAATAAATAAAAGTGTAATTTAAGTGTTTGTATAGCTACAAATCAGTTAATTTTTACCTTCAATATTATAGTATGCTAATGAAGCCTAGTAGGCTACAACTGACTCCCATAGTTTACAGCATTAGTTAAGAGATTTGTTTTCCTTGAGAAAATTGGCCATGTATTGTACCTGATATCCAAAATAATCAATATTGAATCGAATCTGAATCGGAATCGAATCGAATTGCAAGCTTGTGAATCGAAATCGAATCGAATTGTGAAATTTGTGTCAATACCCAGCCCTAATTGCGATACTCTAAGACAAATGGCAAAAGGTTAACAAAAAATGTACTGTTGATTAAAATGCTAAATTTGGTATAATTTTTATTTTGGGTGAACTATCCACAATACATATTGTTGCATTTTTGTATTGCAATATATTATGACACGATATATTATTACACCCCTAATATTTAATGCTTTTTTGACATTTTATTTTATATGGTATATAGAAAACACGATTTTAACTACTTTTTAAAAGTAAAAACACTTTTACAGTTCATTGAACCTTTAGACAAAATCTTAAAAATATATATATTTTTTTAGTTTTGTAAAGTTAACTTGGTGTTAATGTTTTAGATATTAAAAAAAATCCCCTTTTTTATTTTTATTTTTTAATATTTTTAGATTTGTTTTTATTTTAATATTTCGATTTTGGTGTAACATTAATTTTTGTTAGATTGAATGCTTTTTTACATTTAATGTAACAGTATATAGAAAACACCATTTTAACTAATTTTTTAAAAGTAATAATTTTTACAGTTAAATACTGTAAAATACAGTTAAATTTTGAATAATCAAATGTAAAAATAAAACACTGCTTAGTTTTCACTGTATGAATTAAATATACACTGATTCTTATTAAAGCTATAAAGTTATTCAGCGAGTGATTTTCTCTTCGCCGTTACGATATGCGTATACATTTGCGAAATATTTCGATAAAGCGTGTGTGTCTGGCCGGGTGTTTCCCACAGGTCATGGTGGTGGTCAAATACCTGTTCCAGTTTGGCTTCTTCCCGTGGAACGGTGTGTACGAGCTGCAGTTAAACGAGGACAAGCCCTTCTTCCCTCCGCGGATCCTGGGCCTGGAGAAAACCGACAACTACATCCGCTACGATCTGCTGCAGCTTCTGGCGCTCTTCTTTCACCGCTCGCTTCTCCAGGTATGCAGACTCGCTGAACGCTCACCATCGCAACGGCACGGCTAAAAGCTATTGGAGGAAAGTATGTTTTAGGTATTTTGGGACCCATTAGAGGGCAAAACCAATGTAATGTTAACCCATTAAGCTAAGTGGTTTCTTAAGTTTGATAAGACATATATATGACAGGTTGTGTTGTCTTGGTAATGTCAAGTTGTCATTACCAAGACACTGACAGGTTATAATGTATTGGTTTATGTCAAGTTGTCATTACAAAGACATCTCAAACAATGTCATATTTGCATTAAAAATGTCATAATTGAGCGAATGACACTTGTTGTCATAAACATGCATAAACCCTCCTTCATATTCATAACATGTGTCGTGTCATGATTATGAAAGTGTCATGTCAGTCTTATGCACACCCCTTCAAGTAAAGTGTTACCGTTATTTTTAACGATAGATTGAAAGGTTGTTAATCGATTATTTGCTTCTGCTGAAACATTATTTCACTTTAGTTTTAAAGTACGGTAATCGTGTTTAACAGCGGGAATAGTAGTGAAAAACTACATTACCCATGATGCTGTACAGAAAATTCCACCAATATAGATTGTTTCGAAGCAGTTTTACAGTGATAATAGGAGATTAAAGTGACAGATTGTTAGTAAAGTGTTCCCCATTTGTGTCTTCTCTCTCAGCGTTATGGGCTCTGGGACCGAGAGGGCCCTCTGGAAGACAAGAGCAATCGTTCATCAGCGGAGAAGAGCAAGAACGAACGAGATGAGAAAGTCTTTCAGCTCTCGGATGAAGAGGAGGTTATGTCAACGACGCCTACCGATGCTGAGATACACACCGACCCCGACACACACACCACAGAAACACTCTGCCTGGACCCCAACACACACACAGAGACACTCGAGGCCGCGAAGGAGGAGGGAAAGAAGAAGAGTCGCTTCCTTCGCTTCCGCAAGAAAAAATCCCCAGAAATAGGTCTGTGGAAAACTGGTTTATATATGGGGTTGGGAATCGAAAACCGATTCTTTACTCTGGGATCGGATGTGGAAGCTTGTTTCCGGCGCAGAATAAAACGTTTTAAAAGATAAATGCGACTTTTTTATCTCACAATCTCAGAATTGCGAGATATAAAGTCAGAATTGTGACTTTTTTCCAAGTTAATTGCGAGTTAATATCTCAAAATTCTGACTTTATATCGCAATTCTGAGATAAAATGTCAAAATTGTGATATTTAAACTCGCAATTGTGAGACAAAAAGTCAGAATTGTGAGATAAAAAGTCAGAATTGTGAGATAAAAAGTCAGAATTGTGAGATAAAAAGTCAGAATTGTGAGATAAAAAAATCGCAATTACCTTTTTTATTTATTATTCTGTGGAGTAAACAAGCTTCCATTGAAATCAGATACTTATTATAAAATTAAAATCTCGATTCCGCTTATCGATTCCTGTGTTCGCATTTTAATGTGATTCTAAGCAATTCAATCACATCTTTTCTCATATGGTGTGTGAATACTGAATTGAGTTCTCTTCTGCGCTTGAACGAACAAATACACAAAAAAATTGTCAAAATATCCTCGCAAGTGAACATAAAAAGTTGCGAAACAAATCAGATGTGTAACAGTACATTAGATCCGTGCGTTCAGTCTTAAAGTGACAGTACCCTAATAACCCTGCAGCCGTCTGGGTCGTTAATGTTGATCAAACAGCAAAAGATACAGAGAAAATCACTCACTGCTCTTTACTAAATAACTTTAGTAACTTTATTTGTACAAAAATCTGTTTTATTTATAAAAAGAACACTATAGTGTTATTTTACAGCTGATTTCAATTTCGGTACCTTAACTTAATGTGCTATTGCTAATTTATTTATTTGTTCTTATTTTATTCCTGACTGTTTACTGGTCTTAAACAGTGTTGCCAACTATTTTGAAAGTCGCTAAAAAGTCGCTTAATGTCGCTAGATGACGTAATGCAATATACAATATAATATATAGCTGAATGTCCCATAAAGCTGTTCTCATTTGCATATTTTCTGTCAGATAATGGAGCGAGTATGATATAGTGACTGACTACATGTTAATCAGAAGTCGCTAGATTTGTTGCAATCACTTTTTTTAAAGATTTTTATTTTTTCCGCTAAATGGGTCTAAAGAAGTCGTTAATATAACGACAGTCACTATTGGCAACACTGGTCGTTTACATTTTTTTTTTAAAAATTGTGTATTTCAGTAATTCAAATTAAAAGGTGAAACTAATATATTTAGTATATACAGTATAACTATATACATATGCATGATTATACTTTTCAGAGGGCCGACATTTCTGTATTTAAAATTTTTTTTTTTTTTTTTTCATGTAATATTCTAATTTTCAGAGATTTTGAATTTGGGGTTTTCATAATCTGTAAGCCATAATCATCAAAATTATAACTTTTGCACGATATTCTAATTTCCCCTGTATGTTTGATATCGAAATGTTTTTTTGTTTTTTTACTGTAATGGAAACTTGCTATCGATAAGCAGAATCGAAATCACTGAAATGAACCCTATTTATCCATGATTAATACCTAAATGATGTCTATAATATTGTGCTGAGCCTGATCTGTGGATCTGTGAGTTATTCTGAACAATCCTGTCACAGACACTAAACAGAAAGAACCCAAGAAGAAGAAGAAGAAGAAGTCAAAGACGAAGCACGGCGAGGACACCAGTAAAAAACTCCTGAATGCTGTTGAAGGAAAACTCAAAGGCCTTTTCTTATCCATGTAAGATAAGTTTGTTGTTGTCCGGCTAGAGTCAGAAATTAACATTTCCATTAAAGGGATAGTTCAGCCAAACATGTAAACTCTGTCAGTAATTACTCTCCCTCATGTTGTTCAACCCCGTCAGACTTTCGTTCATCTTCGGGACACAAATGAAGATATTTGTGATTAAATCTGAGAGCTGGATCACTCCTCCATAGGCTTCTATTGTAATTGAAACTTGCCGGCCCAGAAAGTTATTAAAGACATCGTTAAAATAGTCCGAGTGACTACAGTGGCTCAACCTTAAGTTTATCTGTACGTCACACGCAGGCTCACTATTGGCCGACGCTGGTCATGTGTGTGTCGTGTGTGATGCTGGCCAATAGTGAGCCTGTGTGTGACGTACACCAGAAGCGCTGCGCTGTTACACTACGTGAACTCACTCGAGGCCCAGATAGTAGAAGATGAAGAGTTGAATAAAGTCGTTATTTTTTGTTGTTTTTTGCGCACAGAAAGTATTCTCGTCGCTTGATAAACTTAAGATTGAGCCACTGTCGTCACTCGGACTATTTTAACCCCTTAAGTTGCACTGGCTCATAGCTATGACATATTTAAAACAGTAATATCCTATACTAAACCTAAACTAATATTGACAAACAATCTATCAATTTGCAACAAGAATATGTTCATACTCCTAAGACCTTTATTTTGAAATAGTGATGAACATGAAAATCATAAAACAATGGTAGAAACCTCAGTTTGTTTTCATGCCAAGAGATCAAAAGATAACATCCATTATATTTTATTTAGAAAAAAAGGTCTGAAAATGTTTTAAATATAAAGAAAAAAAAATGTAGATTCACCATTTGTGATATGGCAGCGAGCTATAACGCACATACATGTTATTTTTATGTGATTATTGAGGTTGAATTCATATCAAAATCTGCCAAACTTCTCATATTACTTCTGATTAGGATGCCTACTTCATAAATTGTATGAAAATTGTGGAAATAATGGTTCAGATCACATATATGGAAATGGCGGCGCCCTTATATGGGCAGTGATGGAGTCTGTGCCCTAGTGGAAGCGTTCGGTACTGCGCACAAACACACTCACTGAAAGCTCATCTTTTGAGATATCAACCTAAAATTTGAAACACAACTTGTTCAGAGTGTTGGCTTTGATTTCTTGCAGTTTTAGAGTCCACCAGGCTTTGAAAAAAATATATTTTATATTTTATATAAATAATTAAATGTTTACATTTTCATAAATTCAAACTTCTATAACATTTTTTTCTGTTTCACTTTCTTAATTTATTTAACTTCTACAAAAATCTGCCAAATGTCTTCTTTAAAACAATCTATATACATATATATTCCAAAGCTTTCTTGAATTACAACCATTTAAGTTCGGATTGTGCATTTTCATGTTTATTCAAAAAAGGGGGCGCGACACTTAAGAAGTTAACAGTGTTTTTAATAACTTTCTGGTTCGGCAAGTTTCAATTACAATAGAAGCCTATGGGGGAGTGATCCAGCTCTCAGATTTAATCACAAATATCTTAATGTGTGTCCCGAAGATGAACAAAAGTCTTACGGGGTTGAACAACATGAGGGAGAGTAAATACTGACAGAGTTTACAGTTTTGGGTGAACTATCCCTTTAATGGGGCAATATTTTCCTCCTCAAATTGATTTGTTTTTCTTTTTGGCATTGAATTGGCAATTTCTTTCAATTTTTCTAAAGGCATTTACTAGTGATTGGACATTTTGAAACTCTTCGTGAAGCTTCGAAACGTCTGCGATTCATGTTTCTAACCAGTGATTTCGGAGTCAAAGTCATGTGACTTCAGTGAACGAGGCTTCGTTACGTCATCACCGCTTAGAAACGTTAGAAAGGTCGATGTTTCGCCACTAGAGGGCGATGATCTCCGTGAACCCATGAGCCAGGGTCTAGTTATGATATTTACCTGATCTTGGATCAGTTTTATACATTTGTAAACAGTTGTAGTTAAAAGTCTCTTACTGGTCTGATTAACCAAACTCTCCAATAAACTAAAGCTCTTTAATATAATAAAATAACACGCATTATAGAGACACTAATATTTAGGACTATTATAATTTGTATGATTTAATTGCATTTATTGCATATAGTTGTTGTTTTTTTGCTGTATTTCCACTGTTTAAAAACAATATGTATTTTGAATACTGATAAACTGATGATTGTGATTGATATATATCATGATCCAGTTGAATATGATGTCTCTGCTGATCTCGTTGTGAAGTGTCATATTTCGTTCATGTGTTCCTCCACGCAGAGTGATGAACGTGTACAAGCCGAGCTGTAGATTCTTCCAGAACATCTTGCATGCGGAGTATCAGACGGCCGCCGATGTGTACGCGCTCATGTTCCTCACGGATGTGGTGGACTTCATCATCGTCATCTTCGGCTTCTGGGCTTTCGGAGTGAGTAGTGTCACTCTGACTGTGATGTCCATAGGCGAAGAATCCTACAGGATTGCCATTTTGAAATGGCATAATTTAGTATTTTCAATATGTGACCCTGGACCACAAAACCAGTCAAAAGGGTCCATTTTTTAAATTGAGATGTATACATCATATGAAAGCTGTATAAATAAGCTTTCCATTAATGTAAGGTTTGTTAGGATTGGACAATATTTAGCCGAGATATTTGCAAACAAATGGAAACATTTAGAAAATCTCCTTTAAAGTTGTGCATTTATGTTCACAATTTTGCTGCATTCACTCACAAAAAATATATTTTTTATATATTTACGGTAGGAAATTTATTAAATATCTTCATTGAACATGATTTTTGGCATGAAAGAAAAATCTATAATTTTGACCCATGCAATGTATTATTGGCTATTGCCACAGACACACCCGTGTGACATATGACTGGTTTTGTGGTCCAGGGTCACATATGAGTTAAGAATGATAAATGCAAATAATATAATCAAGGGTGCACATGAGTTTTCCCTCTGGTTCTCTGTAGTGACGGACTGGTGATGGTTTGACTGGTGCAGATATGCCCATAGACTGTGTAAAGCGTGCACTGCAAAACATTTTTATCTTGTTTCCAGTCCAAATATCCAAAAATAACTTACGGGGTTGGAATAACATGAGGGAGAGTAATTACTAGAGTTTACATTTTTGGGTGAAATAACCCATTAAAGGAGTAGTTCACTTTTGAAAAAACTTTTGCTGATAATTTACTCACCCCCATGTCATCCAAGATGCCCATGTCTTTCTTTCCTCAGTCGAAAAGAAATTACGGTTTTTGATGAAAACATTCCAGGATTTTTCTCCATATAATGGACTTCAATGGGAACCATACGGTCCAAGGTCCAAAATACAGTTAATAACAGTTTCAGATGCAGCTTAAAATGTCTTTAAACGACACCAGACGATGAATAACGGTCTTATCATGCGAAACGATCGTTCATTTAAAAAATAAATAACAACGTTTAAGTTTTATAAGCTCACATGCTCGCCTTGCTCTGTTCTGTGTGACTCTCCTGTTCGAACTTGTTCATCAAAATGAACAAATCTTTTTTCGAGTCATTTGATTCATTTAACGACCGAAATGAACGAATTGACTCGGAAAAAGATTTGTTCATTTTGATGAACGAGTTCGAACAGGAGAGTTACACAGAACAGAGAAAGGCGAGCATGTGAGCTTATAAAACTTAAACGTTGTTATTTATTTTTTAAATGAACGATCGTTTCGCTTGATAAGACCCTTATTCATCGTCTGGAATCGTTTAAAGCCCTTTGAACAGTTTGCAGGTTGCACTGAAACTGTCTTTTGGACCTTGAACCGTTTGGCTACCATTGAAGTCCATTATATGGAGAAAAATCCTGGAATGTTTTCATCAAAAACCTTAATTTCTTTTCGACTGAGGAAAGAAAGACATGGACATCTTGGATGACATGGGGGTGAGTAAATTATCAGCAAAGGTTTTTTTAAAAGTGAACTAATCCTTTAAGTGGCAATATTTTCCTCCTCAAATTTTTATTTTTTTATTTTTGGCATTTAATTGGCAATTTTTTAAAATTAAAAATTTTTCTAAAGGCATTTACTAGTGATTGGACATTTTGAAACTCTTGGTGAAGCTTCGAAACGTCTGCGATTCATGTTTCTAACCAGTGATTCGGAGCGCGTATCAAACTGTCAAAGTCATGTGACGTCAGTGAACGAGGCTTCGTTACGTCATCACCGTTTAGAAACGTTAGAAACGCCAACGTTTCGCATTGCATTTACTAGATGAGTAAAATGCCATAAGATATCATGTCCTGTTTTCCGGGGGAATTAATTAAAATTAAGTGAGTTGATGCTTAAAAAATGCAAACTTGTTATTAGTAACAAGATTATTTTTCTCACCCCATTGGCAGATAATTTTGCTTGTCTTACACAAAAACTCACTTAAATTCCCCAGAAAACAAGACTTAACATCTAATGTAATTTTACTACTTTAGTAAATGCATCTTGATTTAAGAAATGTGATATTTGGACTGGAAACGAGACTGAAACACTGAGTTTGCGGTGTGAATATGACTGTGGTCTCTGTGGCAGAAACACTCGGCGGCCGCAGACATCGCCTCGTCTCTGTCCGAGGATCAGGTCCCCGAGGCGTTCCTGGTCATGCTCCTCATCCAGTTCAGCACCATGATCATCGATCGGGCCATCTACCTGCGGAAGAGCATCCTGGGAAAGCTCATCTTCCAGGTGATCCTGGTGTTCGGGATCCACCTGTGGATGTTCTTCATCCTCCCCGCCGTCACCGAGAGGTGAGCGAGGCTTGTGTTCGAGTGCACTATCATCCCACGGACAGCACAATATATCGAAATTATCGAAATATCGCAAATGTATATATCGTGATATGCATATCTTGCAATAACTGGGATCATGAGCAAAAGACGAAGAGAGAATCACTCACTGCTCTCGGCTGAATAACTTTTGTAGCTTTAATAAGATTCAGTGTATACAGGTGAGAATATCGTGAAAAGGTTTTCATAAGTTGTAAGCCATAATCATCACAATTATAACAAATAAAGGCTTGAAATTTCTCACTTTGCATGTAATGAGTCTATATAATATATTAGTTTCACCTTTTAAGTTGAATTACTGAAAGAAATGAACTTTTGCACAAATATTTTCGAGTTTCACCTGTATATATTTAATATCGTGCAGCCCTAGACAGCATCATAGTGTCGGCCCAGAGTAAAATTATATAAAAAATTACATCTGGTGTCTGAATAATTATTGGTTTGACTATGTATTTATTTTCAGGATGTTCAATCATAACTCCGTGGCCCAGCTCTGGTATTTCTTCAAGTGCATCTACTTCACTCTGTCGGCGTATCAGATCCGGTGTGGATATCCGTCACGCATCCTGGGAAACTTCCTCACCAAGAAATTCAATCATCTCAACCTCTTCCTCTTCCAAGGGTAGGCATTCATTATTCCTCATTTCTTAAGCCTCCGCTGCTCTTCGGGCAATTCTGACCGGAAAATGTTACATTTGTTTAGTTTTTTTCTTCGTCGGAATGGTACGAAACTTGGCACTTGCTGTGCGAAGAAACAAAAAAAGTCTTCAAACAGGTTAAACAGTCACACTTGTGCTCCTCGCGGTCAAACACGAGCGCACTGGAAATGAGCGTGAGACGAGTTTCCTCTAGTGGAAGCGTTTGGTACTGCAGCCGAACACACTCTCACTGAACGCTCGTTTACTGAGATATCAGACTCAACTGTGCAACACAACTTGTTTAGATTTGTGTCTTTGATTTTCTCACAGTTTTAGGCCGTGTGTCCACCAAAGCGTTTTTAGCCAGCTGCAAACGCTAGACTCTCTGCTGAAGACGCCTAGCTGTGGGCGCTTGAGAGCGTTTTGGCTTTGGTTTTTCCGTTGAGGCGTTTCGTTGCTATGATACAGAATATCCGCAGCACAGTTTTACTTGTAACTGATTTCGCAGATAATTTGTTTCATACTAAAAATTTATTTTTCATCCATTTTGTTCGGTTAGCTCTGCTGGTTGATGTCTTTGTACAGAAAGAATGTTGTGTCAGTTGGTCGGTGTGGTGTTAGCCCCGCCCCTCCTCCACTGTGATTGGACGGCTGGGTAAAAAGTGACAGTGATGAGCGCTGCGATGTGATGAACATTTTTCAACTCTCGGCGACCAGTAAAAACACAGAGCTCTCAGCGTGAAATAACCGCTCAGCGCCTCGTTACGCTCATGGCGTTCTAAAAACACGGCGCTCCCATTGAAAACAATGGAAAACATACGCCAGGCGCGTGGAAAAACGCTTTGGTGGACACACGGCCTTAGAGTAAATCATAATATTTCATATAAAAATTGAAAATGGTATTTTTTGCACATTTTTCATAACACGTAAAGTTCACTTTTTAAAACTTTTTTCACTTCAGCAATAATCTGCCAAGTGTCGTCTTTGAAAAGAGATCAAACTTCAGTCTGTCGCTCTAAAGCATTCAAGATTTACCACAGTTTAAGTTAGAAATTAAATTTTCAGGTCTATGCTCAAAAAGTGAACAAATGGATTATAAATACAGAATAAATATAATTAAGTATCATAAAATCCCCTAAAAATACAAAATATCAAATAAAATCATTATCGAACTAAAATATAGTACATTAATTTCATTGAAAAAAACAATTTCGGCAATTTTTGACCGACACGTGAAGAGTTAAAAGGACACCCAGACAGAAACAGTGTCGGCCCACATGCGGGCCGTGTGGAATCCATGTGCACCGGATCTCTGTCTCTGTCTGTGTAAGAGGAGAGTGAAATGAATTACCCATGTTTCCTCAGGTTCCGGCTGGTGCCGTTTCTAGTCGAGCTTCGGGCCGTGATGGACTGGGTTTGGACCGACACGACACTGTCTCTCTCCAACTGGATGTGTGTCGAGGACATCTACGCTAACATCTTCATCATCAAGTGCAGCCGTGAAACCGAAAAGGTAGCAGGTCCTGTTTAGCATGCGCACAAATATATATTTATTATTCCTCAAATGATGGATCAGATAAACTACGGCACTCTCCACATGTAGGATACACTTCATGTCCCATAATACTGACTATAAAGATATGTTTGATACACTATTATATAACATACAATTAACCTAGCAACAAATATCAGTATTTTGTATTATATTTGTAATTTTTAATTACCATGAATGTAAAATGTAAAAGCCCTGTTACTACTATATATGTATATCAGTTTTAGATTGGTAAGATTTTTTTTTTTTTTATAAAAAAGAACAGCATTTATGTGAAATTGAAAGCTTTTGAAAACATTATACACTACTGTTCAAAAGTTTGGGGTCAGTGAGATTTTTCTTTTTCTTTGTGAAATTAAAAAAAAAAAATTTAAAACTTTTATTCAGCAAGGATGCATTAAATGGATTGAAAAAGTGTCAGTTAAGACATTTATAATGTTATATTTCAGATAAATGCTGTTCTTTTGAACTTTCTATTCATCAAAGAATCCTGCAATAAAAATTACACAACTGTTTTCAACACTGATAATAATCATAAATGTTTCTTGAGCATCAGATCATCATATTAGAGTGATTTCTGATGGATCATGTGACACTGAAGACTGGAGTAATGATGCTGAACATCAATTTTATAATACATTCATTCACATAGAAAGCAGTTATTTTAAATATTTCACAATATTACTCTTTTTGCTGTATTTTGCTGTACATTCAAATAAATGCAGCCTTGGTGAGCAGAAGAGACGTCTTTCAAAAACATAAACAAAATATTACCGATCTAAAACAAAATTGCCCAAATAAGGCTTTTAAATTCTATTCAAAAGTGTCCCATATTTTGGAAACAATGGCAAATCTCATTTTTATGTTTATATAACATTTTATTTTTGAGTACATTAGCCCTCTTTTGTACCTTATTCGTCTAAAGTGTTGAATCTTCATCATTTGATTCTACTGTGTAAAACTATAATATAATATGTATAATAATCATGATTTTTGGGCTTCATTAAACAGAAATATCCCCAGCCCAAAGGACAGAAGAAGAAGAAGATCGTGAAGTACGGGATGGGCGGCATCATCATCCTCTTCCTCATCTGCATCATCTGGTTCCCGCTGCTCTTCATCTCATTGGTTAAGTCTGTAGTGGGCGTGGTCAACCATCCCGTTGATGTCACCGTCACAGTCAAGCTCGGCGGTTATGAGGTTAAACACTATTTAAATTAATTTTTGGATTGTTATCTTTTTGGATGGCATGTTATTGTTGTATGTTATTGTATAATGTCTAATAAAAAATAAAAAAATATATATATTTCTGTAATGGTTTAGGACTGATCTGAGATCTGATTGTTTGTCCCGCAGCCTTTGTTCACGATGAGCGTCCAGCAACAGTCCATCCAGCCGTTCACCGAGCGCGAATACACTCGCCTCAACAATCAGTTCGGGAAAAATGCTGTAAGTGCTCATCCATATCTCTCAATATCCATATCTCTCAATATCAATATCTCTCATTCACACTGTAACGCTGGCATAGGAGATTATAGTCAGGAAAAATCTTCTTTTTTTTTTTTTTTTTAATCGAACAGTTTGTTGAACAATCAGTTCGGGAAAAATACTGTAAGTGCACATCAATATCTTGAATTTTTTATATATATATATTTTAAAAATCAAATTAGAGGATTTTATATAAAATGATTTAGTGAACATGGAAGTTGAAAGAGAAAATTCAATGGTTGAAAATTGCTAAAACAACTTTTACTAAATGCAAATCTGAACAAATGATAAATAAATTCTGTGACCAGAGAAACATAGGCCATCGTGTATCATATACAAACTTTAAAACATTTAAAATCCCCAGTAGTCAATCATTTTATCCCTTAAAACTCAGCTTTGATCAGCAACATGACATACAAATGCCCTTAAATGCCTTAAAATATCTTGAATGTAACTCGACACCCTTGCCTCATTCAGTATTCGCGGGTCTATGAATATGCAAATGAGCCCCGCCTCCACTCACTCACTCAGCTCAGAGATCCACTGGTTGACGATCACACGTTGATCTGATTGGTTACAAGGTCGTTTGTGACGTCAGAAACACCAGCGATTTCAAACCGTGTTTTTGAGACTGTCTTTGGTTCACTGCAGTTTTAAGGAGGAAATACTCAGCAATGCTGTCGACTTATGAACTTACACATGGTGTGTCTTAAAGCATATTAAACATAAGACATATAAACAACATTAAAAGCTGGAGTTTCACCACAGGCGGACTTTAAATAGACAGATCAAATAGCGTATGATTCAGTATTTTTCTTGATACGCAGATGTTTGATTCTGCTAGATTTAACTAGAAATGTGTCCACTTGATTCAAAGCTCTGGTTTCTGAGAGACGCAGCTCTCTGAGTTCATCAGCGTGGGGTTTGATGTGTCCGTCCACAGGTGGCCATGCAGTTCATCACCATGTACAGTTATGAAGACATCGTGACGGCCCGGATCGAGGGCAGCTCGGGGTCGGTGTGGCAGATCAGTCCTCCCAGCCGGCACGAGCTGGTCAAGGAGCTGCTCGACAGCCCCGGGGACATGACGCTCCGGCTCGACTGGATCTTACAGCGGTCAGTGTCGCGGAGAGAGCTTTAACCCTCGCCGGCCGGGCAAAAAATCATTTTTTTTTAGAGCTGTGACACGATTAATCGCATCCAAAATAAAAGTTTGTGTTTGTATAATATCAATCAGTCAATCAATTTTATTTATATATAGCACACTTAAAGGTGCAAAACGCAAGTCTCTGAGTTTTTGCAGAACCCCCTCTGGCGACAAGCGAAACTGCAACCAATTCTGATTGTACATGTATCTAGCTTACGCTAAAGCATTACACATTTTACGGATCGTCATTTGTTGTCATACATAGATTGGCCATATCAAATATTAGAGACTGGGCTATATCTTACCGTTTTATCAAGAAAAAAGCCAACTGAGGATCCCGTTTGAGCCCTAGAGCAGACCGGAGATCTCGCCATTTGTTGAATGCCTTCCCAAGGTTGACTCCAATTTGGCCCTTTTGGTGGCACTAGACAAAATGTTTCTTTTCTTTACTTTACTTGGAGTTTGCGTTGGGGTTTGGAATGGACTACAAGCCGGTCTCTTTGAATCCATCTTCTACCTTTGACGCACGAGTTGTCTTCGCTGATGCTGAGAATGGCGGCGCCGGCGAATACACAAACCTGCGAGACACAACCTGGTGAGCGTGAACGCGCATGACGTCACGCCCAGTCTCAAATTCGAGCCCGAATCCCTCTTATATATTTTACTGTACAGGATTATAGAGGCAATCTCAGTGCGCAGAGAAGGGCTCATTCAGCCCATCAGGCAGTTCTTTAAGCATGTATAGGATAGAAAAACAGGTATTTATAACATGAAAAGTTGCGCAATGCACCTTTAAAACAACCAAAGTTGACCAAGGTGCTTCACAGGTTAAATGCAACAACAATGATATATGTGTGTGTAGTGTACTGTGTATAATTGTTTTGTATATATAAATACACACACATGCATGTATACATTTAAGAAAACTTTGTTATTTATATATAAAATATTTCTATTTCTATATAATATAAATATATATGCAGTATATACATGCAAATATTTCTCAAATAAATGCATATGTGTGTATTTATATATACAAAGTAATTATACACAGTACACACACATATAATATGTAAATACACTTTTATTTTGGATGCGATTAATCACGATTAATCGTTGCACAGCCCTAATTATTTTTTTTGTTTTTCAATGAAATTAATGTTCTTTTTTAAGTTTTAGAATGTTTTTAATATTTTGTATTTTTAGGTGATTTTTTTTATAGTAAATTATATTTACGCTGTATTTATAATCCATTTATTCACTTTTTGAGCATAGACCTGAAAATTAAATTTCCAGCTTAAACTGTGGTAAATCTTGAATGCTTTAGATCAGCCTTTCTCAAACTTTTTTCAGTCGGGGCACCTTTCAAAAGTGCATAAAATCTCAAGGCACCCCAGTGTAAAATATAAATTAAAAACACTGCATAACCCAAATGTAAATGCAAATGTCCTGTTTATTTAGACAGAACAGTAATGAACAGAGCATAATACGAACTGTAAATAACAATAATAATAACAACTTTACTGGGCTATCACTTTTGTGAAAAAATCCTGATCGATTTTTGAGACATAAACGTTCATTGAATCGATTGTAAAATCGATTTTCCATGTCTAAAGACGTTTCCATTTTCAGCGCCAAATATAGGCAAATCCACGGACAACTAACAGGCATTAGCACGAGCGTAATAAAGAGTGCGCTTGAGACGCGCACAAGTCAGCAATATTTCTGATGATTTATTGGCATGAAGTTTCGTGCACAATGACAAACAGGAGTGCAAGATTCTCAAAAAACAATAAGCAGAGTGGACTGCCATAACATCAATGAAAAAGATTACTGCAGGCTTCAACATGGCTGTGTTTACGATTAGAAATGTCAAACAAATTTCGCGATTGTAGGCCGGATCTGTATCTGTATGCATGGGACTGTCTGAATACCGGCAGAATTCACATTTTTGTTGTAAAAAGAGACACGTTATGCAGAAGTATAGTATAGTTTGTATGTGTGTTTGTCAGAGCCTGCAGTTGCTGTGTGACGCGCGTTCGGTGTTGTTGCTATAACGCGGTGCTATGGGTTGCGTCACTTGCGTCAAGTTGTGTGTGTGTCTTGCTTCGGTCTTGTGAGACGGATTTTTATGGTTAATTTTATATATATATATTTATCTAAAATGAATTTTCAATTTTATTAATACGTTCATATGTTTAAAAAGAAGAAGAATGTATTTATGTAAATTCAAATATATATATATATATATTTTTAGCCTACGTAATTTTTTGGCGGCACCCCTGACAAAGTCAGGGGGCACCCCAGTGTGCCGCGGCACCCACTTTGAGAAAGGCTGCTTTAGATCACAGACTGAAGTTTGATCTCTTTACAAAGACGACACTTGGCAGATTATTGCTGAAGTGAAAAAAGTTTTAATAAGTGAACTTAAAAAAAAGTTACCGAATTTTACGTGTATTGTTATGAAAAATTGTTAGTCACACAGCAAGTCCCCAAACCTTTACCAAGCGAAGAAAAGAATAAAAAAAAAAACCATAACATTTTCTGGTGTAGCCCAGGAGCCCATGTTCATAATGTGTTTTGTGTCTGAAGGGACCTTGGGAAGGGCGGGACAGTGGAACACACGTTCGACCGGCACTCCATCAGTCTGGCGCAGGAGAACCCGGTTAGAGCCGACCTGGCCTCGCTTCTGCTGGGGAACCGGACGGAACCGGTGTACGTCTGATACACTTCTCATGGCACAAATCACAATACACTCTCCCACCATTCATAACATGTCATTTACTAGAGGCTCTGATGAAATGTTAATTGCTCCAGTCTATTTAAAATTCATTTGACAAAAAAAAAAAAAAAAAGAGTCAAGTTGTGTGAATGATTCAATGACTCACTCATGAATACATCACTAGTTTCATGCTGGATGAATCAGCGTTTTTGAACGAATCTCTTGAATGATTTAATGACAAATACACTTTTAACAGTCTCGTGTCGCCACCTACTGGTGTAACGATGTAATGACACAATCGTTATTTGAAGTGTCAACTTTTAAAAGTTAATTCCCTCTATTTTGATCTCTACTGTAGACATCAGTTTATATCCGAACTATAAACTTATATCCCAGTTCTTCTGTGATCATTTGAATTATTGTTAGACAGAAATAATGACGCTGTGTGGTTGAACGGACTGTCATATAGGAATAAGATCGCGTTATTTTAACAAAGTGATACTATTTCAGTCTTTCTTCTTCAAAATTTCACATTTATTCAATGTGTCTTTTAAATGTTTGTGAAATGTACTAGCAATTTCCAAGTGAAAGTAAATCCTACACCATTTTTTGTCACTCATATTTGGCAAGCATCTATCGTTCAGATTTTGATCATCTCTGTAATTGTCTCCTAGGCTTGTGTCGCACATGTTCCCGAACTACATCCGAGCGCCTAATGGAGCTGAAGCCAAACCCGTCAGCCAGCTGTATGAGGGTAAAGGAGTCAGACGTCTCTTTCGTGTTGTAGTCAGGCACAGTTCTATGGAAGCTTGTTTCCGCCACTGAATACAATTTTTTTTTTTTTTTTAAATTGCGACTTTTTATCTCACAATAAAAAGAGATATAAAGTCGCTATTGTGAGAAATAAAGTCGCAATTGCGAGATATAAAGTCGCAATTCTGAGAAATAAAGTCGCAATTCTGAGAAATAAAGTCGCAATTGCGAGATATAAAGTCACAATTCTGAGAAATAGTCGCAATTCTGAGAAATAAAGTCGCAATTGCGAGATATAGTCGCAATTATGAGAAATAAAGTCGCAATTGCGAGATATAGTCGCAATTATGAGAAATAAAGTCGCAATTGCGAGATATAAAGTCGCAATTCTGAGAAATAGTCGCAATTCTGAGAAATAAAGTCGCAATTGCGAGATAGTCGCAATTCTGAGAAAGTCGCAATTCTGAGAAATAAAGTCGCAATTGCGAGATATAGTCGCAATTATGAGAAATAAAGTCGCAATTGCGAGATATAAAGTCGCAATTCTGAGAAATAAAGTCGCAATTCTGAGAAATAAAGTCGCAATTGCGAGATATCTAGTCGCAATAATGAGAAATAAAGTCGCAATTGTGAGATATAAAGTTGCATTTCTGAGAAATAAAGTTGCAATTGCGATATATAAAGTCGCAATTCTGAGAAATAAAGTCGCAATTGCGAGATATAAAGTCGCAATTCTGAGAAATAAAGTCGCAATTGCGAGATATAGTCGCAATTATGAGAAATAAAGTCGCAATTGCGAGATATAAAGTCGCAATTCTGAGAAATAAAGTCGCAATTGCGAGATATAATGTCGCAATTCTGAGAAATAAAGTCGCAATTGCAAGATATAGTCGCAATTATGAGAAATAAAGTCGCAATTGCGAGATATAAAGTCGCAATTCTGAGAAATAAAGTCGACTTTTTTCTCGCAATTCTGACTTTATAACACATAATTGCGAGTTTATATCTCGAAATTCTGACATCTTTTCTCAGAATTGTGAGATATAAACTCGCAATTGTGAGATATCAGGCCAATTCTAAGGAAAAAAAAGACTCAGAATAGTTTATATCTAACAATTCTGACTTTACAACACGCAATTTCGACTTTATATCATGTATTTCTGACTTTATAACACGCAATTGGGACTTTATATCAATCAATTCTGACTTTATATCAATCGATTCTGACTTTATATCTCGCAATTGTGAGAAAAAAAAGTCAGAATTGTGAGAAGTCACAATTACCTTTTTTATTTTTCATTCTGTGGCGGAAACAAGCTTCCATACTCTTGTGACTTCCCCCTTAATATGTTTCTAGTGAACTGAGGGATTTGCACCCTGTTGTAATCAAAACTATTCAACCCCCATTGCAAATCTGGTTTATTGGCAAAATTCAGACTTTCAGCTGTTTGCAATGAACAACTCAAACAAAAGTCATTTAAATAGCTCAACACAATAAATGTTTCAAGTGGTTTCCCCAAATTTTAATGACTTCTGCAGTCTCAAAAATGGATCATGTGACACTGAAGACTGAAGTAACTTCTAGACTAAATGTGAACGTGCATTTACTCGTCTTACTTGCACGAAAACCTTCAGTATTCCTCAAAATGAATTAAAACTGTAAAATGCAATCTCAGAATTTTACGCAAAATTTTATAATTAACTATATTAAATTACACAAATATACTTTATGTATTTAATCTCACTTTATTAAGCAATGTATTTGCTGCTGACCTTCAATGATCTAATTCAACCATACTAATAAGCAAAAATGGCTTTAGATTAGATTTATAAATAAGAGTGTTGAACTATTGTTCTTTAACAGCAGCTGAAAGGTTTGCTTGAGCTTCTACTGCACAAGTGTAAATATGCATGTCCTTCATCCTGAGGTTTATTCATTTCACTTTTGGTGTGAACAGGCCTTTAACATTTGCCAAAATATAACTTTTTTTGCTGTTATTAAAAAAAAAAACAAGCAAGCCCAGCCCAGGTGAGAAAAAGTAACGCAAAAGTAATTCAAACGCATTACGTTTCATAAAAAGTAACGCAATTAGTTAAAATTTTTTGTGAGTAACGCAATATTGTAATGCATTACTTTTAAAAGTAACTTCCCCCGCCCTGCTGGTGACGAGTGTGTGACGGTAACGCTGGTGTTGTGTTTCTCCTGCAGGAGGAGAGGAGGGATACCAGGACGTGACTCTGTCTCTGATGAGAGAAGCTTCGGTGAACATCACTGGAGCTCAGGAGTGGTGGGACATCAGCATCGCCGGCTGCCGCGAGTCCTGCGACGTCTTACCGATGGTCATCTTTAACGATAAAGTCAGCCCTCCGAGTCTGGGCTTCCTCGCGGGATACGGGTAACCCATTCCTTTCATGAGATTCAGTGCAGGCTTTTTATTAGGGATGCACCGATGTGAACATTTTGGCCGATACCGATAACCGATAATTCTTTATATTTGAAAGCCGATAACCGATATATTGGCCGATAAATTCAAATTTTTATATCATTTTTGAGAGCCTGATTACAAAAACAAAAGTCATTCAAATCCATGTCCCAAACACACAATTACAATGTTCTCATTATAATTTTATGTAGCCAATATGACAGACTTGCACTTTACAGTATTTTCCTTTTTTTCCTTATTTCAAGCAACTCAAAACCATCATGTTGAACAGTGCGCATCTGAAGAGTCTCAGCTGAAGGAAATAATACATTATTTATCAGCTTTAATATATTGGACAAATTTTCTTATCAGGCCGATAACATTAAAAATGAACATATGAAGAGTTTGGTTCCAAAACGCGATAAACGCCATTTAAAAAAAAAATTAGTTACTGCACAAATCAGTATTGTATCTGGTTGGTATTGAAAAGTCAATGTTTAATTTTAAGTAAAATGCGATATCCGCCGTGTTATTCTGTCATGTTTTCTCCCTTTCTTTCCAAACGCCAGTCTCCCTTCTCTGCAGATTGTGATATATCCGCTCTCAACCAATCACAACGCACCATTCCACGCAATGTAAACAGTAACGGCAGCGCCTTAAATACACCCGGCTTCCTAGTTCTTCTTATCTATTTTGTACTTTTCGATCAACAAACAAACAAAAAAATGAATAATTTTGACGGGATTGATGAACCTGTGGTTGTTTCTGCGGTGGGTAAGAAACGCAAGGCATCGAAATCGAATCATTTACGTGAGGAGATTAAGAAGATGAGGCACTCGGGAGGAGGAAAAATGTTTTCAATCTTCTTTACAGTTCTTAATAAAAATATTATACTAATAAAATTACGTTGTTGTGTATTTTCAACAGTTTCAATATGAAAAAAAAAACTTTATATTGATTAAATGGATTAATTGCATTTTGATTTTTTTTTAAAATGGATTTATTGCATTTTGGGGAAAAAAATAATCCGTTTTTATAATAAATCTTTGAAAATCAAAACCTGGATTTTAATTTTTTTGTTATTATGACCTACAAATGCTATGTGAAAGTTTGAAACAGAAAATAGTGGTTTTCATCTTTCCACTTTCTTGGTAAAGAAAACACATTTTTACTCAAATTAATCTAAATGGATTTATTGCGTTTTGGAACCAAACTCTTCATATATCGGCCGATACCGATAACATAAAAAAATGAACATATATCGGCAGATACCGATAAAAATGAACATATATCAGCCGATAACATTAAATATGAACATATATCGGCCGATACCGATAACATTAAAAAAATGAACATATATCGGCAGATACCGATAAAAATGAACATATATATAGCCCGATACCGATAAAAATTAACATATATCCACCGATAACATTAAATATGAACATATATAGGCCGATACCGATAACATAAAAAAAATTACATATATCGGCAGATACCGATAAAAATTAACATATATCTGCCGATAACATTAAATATCAACATACATCGGCCGATACCGATAACATTAAAAAATGAACATATATCGGCAGATACCGATAAAAATGAACATATAACGGCCGATAACATTAAAAATGAACATATAACGGCCGATAACATTAAAAATGAACATATATCGGCTGATAACATTAAAAATGAACATATATCGGCTGATACCGAAAACATTAAAAATGAACATATATCGGCCGATAACATTAAAAATTAACATATATCGGCTGATACCGAAAACATTAAAAATGAACATATATCAGCCGATACCGAAAACATTAAAAATGAACATATATCGGCCGATAACGTTAAAAATGAACATATAATGGCCGATAACATTAAAAATGAACATATAACGGCCGATAACATTAAAAATGAACATATATCAGCCGATACCGAAAACATTAAAAATGAACATATATCGGCCGATAACGTTAAAAATGAACATATAATGGCCGATAACATTAAAAATGAACATATAACGGCCGATAACATTAAAAATGAACATATATCGGCCGATACCGAAAACATTAAAAATGAACATATATCAGCCGATACCGAAAACATTAAAAATGAACATATATCAGCCGATACCGAAAACATTAAAAATGAACATATATCGGCCGATACCGAAAATAGGGCTGTGTATCACCAACAATGTCACGATACGATACGTATCACGATACTAAAGCCACGATACGATATGTATCACGATATGGATCAATTTGGAATTTAAATTTCTTTTGAGCTGAGTTTAGTAACAGTAATATCTGCTTATTGAATAACCAGTGTTATAACAGTTGTGATAACTGAAAAACAATGAGTTAAATGAATAAAAAAGCTTAGAATGGCTCTTCCTTCATGCTTTTAAAGTCAGCCTCAATAACTGAAATGACAATTATAGTGACACTGAAGCATGTCTACACGGCTCAATGACTAAACAAAACTTAAAACATTCCATAAAAGCAAAAACGGTAACAACTTAAATTTAACTTAGTTTTCTCAAACTCTTTTAAACACCTAGTATTTAACAGGTCTTAAGTGTTGGAATGTGCACCAAACAAAGTAATTTCTTCTACGTTGAAATCATTTTAAATGATTACATTTTCAAATTTTTATGCAGAAACAACAATTGACTGACATGCTCAGGGTTAAGAGAGTGACAGCAGAATATCTCGCTTAACTTCATCATACAACCGGGGAATTGCCGTTTCTGTAAAAACCTTTATGCTTATTTAAGACATAACCAACTGTGTTTAGAGGATACTTACCAAGAACGACATTTTTGACATCATTTTGCGTGTTTTAGTCTGTTAAAGCGATATAATCTCGCGAGCTGTATGTGAGGCGGCTTTACTCTAGTCTATGTATGCACGCAGAGAAAACCAACTCTCAGAGAGCGCGCAAGTACTGAATAGTTTAAAATTGTTTGAATGTTTAAACTGGTAAGACTTAAAGACATGCAAATGGTAAACTTTAGTCACGATAGCCCGATTGTGCAAGTGAATATTCCGTCATGTCCCGACTCCTAACCGTGAGCGTGTAGTTTCACCGGCTGCAGCGCTGGACGCTTGCCCGAGACGAGAGCGAGAGAGACGCAGCACTGCATTGAACTCATGCTGATTGTGAAATTGCGTCTCACAGAAAGTTTTAAAATGACTGATTTGATTTTATAATCTGTGTGGATTCATTTACTAATACTACAACCTACATGCTAAAGTGAATCAATGTTTCCGGGAATTTCCCGCATTATAAACTGCGGGAATTATTCAAATTATGCGCAATCCCGCGCCGAAATTCGAGCCCTGAATTGGCTACATTCAAAAGCACAAAAGTATCGATACGGCAGCTGCTGTATCGATACGCGTATCGCCAGAGGTTCATGACGATATATCGTTGTATGGATATTCTGAGCACAGCCCTAACCGAAAACATTAAAAATGAACATATATCAGCCGATAACAATATATCATGTAGCCCTATTTTTTTTATTTATCCTTGCAAACGTCTCTCTCTCTTCTCCCGCAGGATCATGGGTCTGTACGTGTCGGTGGTTCTGGTCATCGGTAAGTTTGTGCGAGGCTTCTTCAGCGAGATCTCTCACTCCATCATGTTCGAGGAGTTGCCGTGCGTCGATCGCATACTCAAAATATGCATAGACATTTTCCTGGTGCGGGAAACCGGAGAACTGGAGCTCGAGGAAGAGCTTTACTCCAAACTCATCTTCCTCTATCGCTCTCCAGAGACCATGATCAAGTGGACGAGAGAGAAGAATCAAGACTGAGAGGGTTTTGTGGGACTAGAAGCTTCACTGCTTTATATAAGCTGGACGAACAGCGAGTCTAAAGCCGTTTCTCCAGCGCTTCGAAGCCTTGCTGATGTTATCGGCTTCTTTGCACTCAGAGGTTTGATGATGGAGGTCGTCTGTTATTCAGCAAAGCTTGAGGATCAGCCCTGTGACGGATTCAGACGCTAGTGAACGCTGGGAACGACACAGCAGGACCTTCCAAGTGGAAATACAAACACTATAGGAGTGAATCTCACTAACCTCCGTCTGGGTTATATCTGACCACCCGATTACAGGGATTTTCCCAAGTAAAATAAGCCTGTTTTGTGGACTATCAATACTTTCTCCAAGTAGGATTATTAAGATTGTTCTAGAATACATTCTGAATTATCCTCATTACTATAATAATTTTCTAAGCATAACTTAGAGGCAAGCCCAACAAATACTCATAGTGATAAATATTCCACAACTGATAATTGTCATGAAAACCAATGCAAATAAACATAAATGTTCATTTTTATTATGCAAAATATCAAAATATAGTAACAAGTGCATATTTCTATTAATCAGGGTTCATACTCATTTTATCAATACATTTCCATGATCTATATAAAATAATAACAAGCATCCATGTTCAAATTTATCATAGCATGTCTTAACTAAAATGAATGCTGATTGTTTGCTTGCCCTTGGTTCTAATAAGTACAAGCATAACGTCACATGACTGAATGCCAGGATGTGGAGTTATTGTAATTAGTTTAATTATCAATCTATTATCAAAACTTTCTGGTTTATTTGTTTTTCCAAAACGTTTCCAGGCCTTTTTCTTCATTTATTCCGTTGTGTAATTATGAGGTGAAATATGACCCAGACTTGATGGATTTTGTGAGATTTGAACTTTTTTTTGTTTTTTGTTCTGATACTACAGTAAAAGTGTTTACAAGCCACAGTATCTTAGGATGAGAGCCATTCATATTTCATTCCTGGTTTTACAATTTCTGATCAAACACTTGAATCATAAGAAAGACTAGAATCCGCTACATATTACAAGAGCTGTGATGTTTCAACACTCTGTATTGTGTGTGTTAAACGCACACGTGTGTAATAATGAGTGTGCCAAAGCTCGTCTGTAATAATCACTTCCACTGTATGCTTATGCAGAGAGACATGAACTCTGTGCTTTCTTTTTGTCTTCAGAAATCAAACGAGCCTGTAAAAATTCCTTGCAGTTTGCTAAATTAAGAACTCAAGAACGATGCATTATTATATTACTGTACAAACAACTGAATATATAAAAGGTTATGTTGATTTAAATGGCAGGCGACATGTTCACTGATGATATAACACAAGCCAAATGTGCTCAAGCAACAACAACAAAAAAACGTGCTGCTATAAAATGTTTAAAAATTATATCTTTTCTTTTATTTACTTTCAAACGGAGACAAATAATGAAATTATTACAATGCAATACTTTAACGATACGGCTTTAATATCTGCTAGTCGCCGTCCTCCAAAAGATACTCGCTGATTTCCATCTTCATCAAAGCTCTGTGGGAAGAAACCGTAGACATATTCACATGCAAATTTTGGGATATTGCATAAAATTTAAAAATGCTGGATGGAAATGCAAAGATGCACATCAACTCTAAAAATGTACATTAAAAAAAAACTTGTGCTCAAATGAGATTTTTCTCTTGTTTCATCTGACAACAACATGCATGAACTACGCTGGAAACACATTACAGAATAAATGCACATCCAAAAAGTCATGTGACTGTGCGACGTGACGGCATAACAGGACTAGCCAGCGGACCAATCACATCACAGCATCTCAAAACGTCAAAGCGGTTCAGTGTGATGGTTAGTGTTCAGTATAAAGCGTTTACTCGACTGCATTTACTGGATTCTGCAGCAAGTCGTTATCTATCAAAGAAATGCAGCAACTAACATTTTCTCTAGTGATATTTGCCACCAGTTTATCAGGAAGTGATGTTTTTGTTCTATGATTTATTACAATTTTGCGCATTAGATAAATTGGCAACTTTGGGTGTAAACATGTCGAGTGACTCTAAGGCGGTTCACACTTCGGTTTTCTTGATTCTTTTGGTCCGAATCAAAAAATAAAATGATAATTTAGTCCTGGTTCGCGTAGCGTTCACACTGTCATTCTTAAAGGGATAGTTCACTTTGAAATTATTTTTTATATGTTTTAGCTTACCTCAAGGGCATCCAAGATGTAAGTGTCTTTGTTTCCGCAGTAGTTTCAATTTTGATATTTTTAGGTCAAACCGTTCTTGTCTGTCAGTCATATAATGCAGGTCTATGGTCACCACCTCAAAGAGCATGCACAGAGAAGTCCAAATTAAACATGATTTAATGACTCGTAAATGTAAGTACACATTGATGGCCTAAGACACGAAACGAGCGGTTTGTGTGAGAAAACCAACAGTATTTATATCGTTTTTACCTCTTGTAAACACAGCCACGTCCAAGTGATCTGAGGGCGCCGGCGCTTCGGTCTGTGCGTTACAAGAGGTAAAAACGATATAAATACTGTTGGTTTTCTCACACAAACCGCTCGTTTCGTGTCTTAGGCCATCAATGTGTACTTACATTTACGAGTCATTAAATCATGTTTAATCTGGACTTCTCTGTGCTGCTCTTTGAGGTGGAGACCATAGACCTGCATTATATGACTGACAGACAAGAACGGTTTGACCTAAAAATATCAAAATTGAAAATACTGCGGACACAAAGACACCTACATCTTGGATGCCCTTGAGGTAAGCTAAAACATATCAAAAATTCATTTCAAAGTGAACTATCCCTTTAAGACCGAACCTAAAGATTAAGGCTTTTATGACGGAACATCTAAAACAATCCTTTGTGCCAAACATGCTCGTTGTGTGTGTGTGTGTGTGTGTGTGTGTGTGTACATGATGGTGTTTTAATCAGCTGCGATAAAATAGTTCTGAATATGAAATATTTCAGTCTTCATCTTATCAATTAACTTCTGCTTCAAAAGACTCGAGTGACCGGACCATTTCATATTTTTGAAACTCATTTAATCTTTAGTGTATGGAAAAGAGCGTCCCGGATATTAACATTTTGCGTTCCAAGGAGGAAAAGGATGATGTGAACAATGATGATGATGATTTAAGGTGACAGCGCAGTATTTCCCACCTTTTCCTCCGTTTCTCCGCCTCTGTCCTGATGTACGCTGGAAGAGTGTCGACGGATTCCTGTGGGAAAGAGGAACGTCAGAACATTTTCTGTGTGTAGTTCACTAACACATGTTCTAATGTTGGGTTCATTTCTTTTTCCCACTGTAGGGCTATTAAAGTGAACATTTATATACTTGTTTAAGGTGCAGTGTGTAAGTTTTAGCAGCATCTAGTGGTGAGGTTGTGAACTGCACCCAACAGAAGTTACGGTGGCCGACAGGAAGTGATGTCATCGTCTGAGACAGCAGAGAGTAACCATGAGGTTCTTTACAAAGATAAATTAATAAATTATATTTACTTTATTATTCAGTAAAACGATGTTATTGCGAATATTATTATTACTTGTTCATCATTGTGTCGGTGTTTTATTCGCTAGATCTTTACACGAAGAACAACATAGTGGCGAAACGTGTTTGTCCGTTCAGGGCCACCGTAGAAACATGTGGATGTGTGTGTGTAGAGAGAAATGCCTCATTCTAAGCTAATAAACACATAACGCTTCATTAAGTAAGGTCTTTATACACCACTGAACACATAGTTATGTATATGATATTGCATTTGTCAACAGATCCTCCTAAATATTACACACTGCACCTTTAAAGCACCCCAATAACAAAGTTATATTATGCAAAATCCTCTTTTTTTTTGGACATAAATGTGTGTTGGCTGTGTGTGAACACAATCAGCAGTAATGATGAAAATATTGTTACATATTATTCATTACATGGCAGTAATGAAAGAGAGAGCGCACACTTTATTACAGTTCATACGAGTCGTTTTATGGATATAAAGTTTATCAGTTTATTAAGCACCTCCTGAAAAGGCATAAAGTGTGTATATATTTGTCAGCTGTTCGTTGTAACGAGTGTTTCGGTTTAATTCGCTGTGTATGTTGATGATAAAGAAAGGGAGAGAGAGAGTTTATGGACAACACTTTAATGCACACTTCTTATACTGTGTTTTATTCAGTGATTTTCTGGAGTGAAACGTATGATTCAGCTTTTGTGTGATGGCCTAAACTTTATTAATACGTTTTATGAAATTTATTGTACATTTATTGTATTAATACTGGATAAAAGCAAGATGACAACCTACACCAGTGCTTCTCAAAGTCCGGACTCCGGTCCGGATCCGGACCCGCCTCCATTTCGTATTTCAAGAGCCCTAATTGTGTGTAGGGATTAAAAGTCTGGATTTCCTATTTTGATAAACGCATGTTAAAATCATTTGTTTATTTTTTATGATGGTCCAAAATTATTATATATTTATAATAATAGAGATATTTAAAGTTTTCCTCCGTGATTTAGTTGCCATGACATCCAGTGAGCGTGTGACTTTTGACGTAATCGGGCGCAACCACGACGCGACACTTCCCGGCGTAAGCGTTTGAATGGGTGTGGAGGATGTCTTTGTCCAGGAAAAGAAAAGTTGACGAAGAAAATAGAGTTTTCAAAGATGATTGGACAGAGAGGTATGCGTTCACAGATATCCCAAATCTCCCGGAAGTTCCAGGAGTCTCCCGCATATTGATAGCGGCTCCTGATGCCCGCAAATTAGTTCAAATCTCTCGGAATTTAAAGCTCGCGAGCTCCAAACCGTGCAGCGCGCGTACAGCAGAGAGGGAGAGAGCGAGAGACCTTACGTGTGTGTGCAAATGCGCGTGTGTCTCATGAAGCGCATGTAAGACTGGAAAAATGTTGCCTGGTCTGATGAGTCTCGATTTCTGTTGAGACATTCAGATGGTAGAGTCAGAATTTGGCGTAAACGGAATGAGAACATGGATCCATCATGCCTTGTTACCACTGTGCAGGCTGGTGGTGGTGGTGTAATGGTGTGGGGGATGTTTTCTTGGCACACTTTAGGCCCCTTAGTGCCAATTGGGCATCGTTTAAATGCCACGGCCTACCTGAGCATTGTTTCAGACCATGTCCATCCTTTTATGGCCACCATGTACCCATCCTCTGATGGCTACTTCCAGCAGGATAATGCACCATGTCACAAAGCTCGAATCATTTCAAATTGGTTTCTTGAACATGACAATGAGTTCACTGTACTAAAATGGCCCCCACAGTCACCAGATCTCAACCCAATAGAGCATCTTTGGGATGTGGTGGAACGGGAGCTTCGTGCCCTGGATGTGCATCCCACAAATCTCCATCAACTGCAAGATGCTATCCTATCAATATGGGCCAAGATTTCTAAAGAATGCTTTCAGCACCTTGTTGAATCAATGCCACGTAGAATTAAGACAGTTCTGAAGGCGAAAGGGGGTCAAACACAGTATTAGTATGGTGTTCCTAATAATCCTGTAGGTGAGTGTAAGTTATAACCGTGATTAAACTAAACTACCCGTTCTCTCTCCATACGGCATATATTACATCCGTACAGTTTCTGAGATTTTACTGCGTGAGATTGTCTTGTTTTGTTGCCACCAGTATAAGCTCTTGAAGCCCCGCCCTCTTCTTAAAAGGGGGCAGGGCACAGCACCACATTTGCATTTAAAGAGACACACACACACACACAGACAAAAGCGGCCATTTTAACATGCTATAAACATGATCTGTGGGGTGTTTGAGCTGAAACTTCACACACACACACGCACACGTCAGAGACTTACTTTACATCTTATAAAACATAGCATAATAGGTGCGCTTTAAATCTGTAATTTGATTTGGTCTCTCATGAAACTCACCATGTCCTTAACCGTGAGTCTACAGCTGTAACACAACAGTGTCTTCCAGTCCTGATGTGCAGGAACCCTGAAATGCATCCAGAAAAGCAGAAATAACATCAAAAGCACATCGTCTACTGACTCGGCTTATAATAAAACTTCAGAGAGAATAAATACGGCACCGGTTTGAGGAGCAGCCGCCGGTCCCACAACACTGAGTCTCCGCGCAGCGCAGTGCATCATGGGACACGTCCTGAGCCTCCACGCAGCGCAGTGCATCATGGGACACGTCCTTGGGCTTGATCTGGGACAGCTGCTCAGACACCAGAGTGGCATGGAAAGCCGAAGCTTTATCTGCAGAGAAACAGTTATGTCAGGCTCATGTTTGGTGTTGGGCGGGTCCACCCTAATCATCTGGACTAAAGTCGTTCTCACACCTGGACGTCCGAACCAAAGTTCATGTTTGGATACATTTCATACATTCGGTAAGTTTTGGTTTGGTTTCACATTGCAAGTATGCGAGCGCACTAAAGAACTCTACATGACGTCCTGTCGTCATCATCTATGTGGGCTGCATCTCGACTCTGATTGGCTTGTAAACGGACGTGCGTCTGACGTCAGCGTGTCGTCAGTTCGGCGGGTAACTTTGACAAGAATGAACGAACCGACGCATATCGTTGCCCAGTGACGTGCGGTGATGTCTTAAAGAGGCTAGGCACTGAGTTATGAAAGCCAGATTACCTGATTTATTGTTTAGGCTAATAATACGTAATAACAGTAAACGTTACGCACAAGCGCAGCATAACAATGTACAAATCAGGATGTATATTGTGTACACTCACAGTCTCTCTCTCTGTCTCTCGCACATACACACATACATACATGCACGCACACACACAAGCCTGGCACAGCGCACACACACACACCCACACACACACTCACCCAAACACACACACACACTCACCCACATCAGTGTCGAGAGCGCACACACACACACACACACACACTCACCCACATCAGTGTCGAGAGCGCACACACACACACACACACACACACACTCACCCACATCAGTGTCGAGAGCGCACACACACACACACACACACACACACACACACACACACACACACACACACACACACACTCACCCACATCAGTGCCGAGAGCGCACACACACACACACACTCACCCACATCAGTGTCGAGAGCGCACACACACACCCACATCAGTGTCGAGAGCACACACACACTCACCCACATCAGTGTCGAGAGCGCACACACACACACACACACTCACCCACATCAGTGTCGAGAGCGCACACACACACACTCACCCACAGTAGTGTCGAGAGCGCACACACACACACACTCACCCACAGTAGTGTCGAGAGCGCACACACACACACACACTCACCCACAGTAGTGTCGAGAGCGCACACACACAGAAGGCATTTAGACGCAGGTTCAGTTGCTTCACTTCCAGAAGGTTTGACTGTGTGAAGCTTCTCACTCGTTCTGCAGAGGAAACATCAAGACAACAATGAAATGTAAAACACTGAAGTCAGAGCTGTTGTTTCAGAGGAAGATGAAGAGGAAGATGAAGTGGAAGATGGAGAGGAAGATGGAGAGGAAGATGAAGTGGAAGATGGAGAGGAAGAGGAAGATGGAGAGGAAGAGGAAGATGGAGAGGAAGAGGAAGATGGAGAGGAAGATGAAGTGGAAGATGGAGAGGAAGATGAAGTGGAAGATGAAGAGGAAGATGAAGAGGAAGATGGGAGAGGAAGATGAAGGAAGATGAAGATAGAGGAAGATGAAGGAAAAGGAAGATGAAGAGGAAGATGATGAAGAGGAAGATGGAGTGAAAGATGATGAAGAGGAAGATGGAGAGGAAGAGGAAGATGGAGTGGAAAAGGAAGATGATGAAGAGGAAGATGGAGTGGAAGATGAAGGAAGAGCAAGATGATGAAGAGGAAGAGGACCTGTAGATGGTGCTGACAGTGGAGGGGAACTCGGCCTGAAGGTTGGTGACGAACGCCTCCGTGAGTCTCTGGATGCTGGCTTTATCCGGAGTCTGAAGGAGAAGTTCAACCGCAGGATCAGAGTCACGTCTACAGTAATCCAGACATCTGATCAGAGTCACGTCTACAGTAATCCAGACATCTGAACAGAGTCACGTCTACAGTAATCCAGACATCCGATCAGTCACGTCTACAGTAATCCCGACATCTGATCAGAGTCACGTCTACAGTAATCCACAACATCTGATCAGAGTCACGTCTACAGTAATCCCCAGACATCTGATCAGAGTCACGTCTACAGTAATCCAGACATCTGAACAGAGTCACGTCTACAGTAATCCAGACATCTGATCAGAGTCACGTCTACAGTAATCCAGACATCTGATCAGAGTCACGTCTACAGTAATCCAGACATCTGATCAGAGTCACGTCTACAGTAATCCAGACATCTGATCAGAGTCACGTCTACAGTAATCCAGACATCTGATCAGAGTCACGTCTACAGTAATCCCGACATCTGATCAGAGTCACGTCTACAGTAATCCACAACATCTGATCAGAGTCACGTCTACAGTAATCCCCAGACATCTGATCAGAGTCACGTCTACAGTAATCCAGACATCTGATCACAGTCACGTCTACAGTAATCCAGACATCCGTCACGTCTACAGTAATCCAGACATCCGATCAGAGTCACGTCTACAGTAATCCAGACATCTGATCAGAGTCACGTCTACAGTAATCCCGACATCTGATCACAGTCACGTCTACAGTAATCCCGACATCTGATCACAGTCACGTCTACAGTAATCCAGACATCCGTCACGTCTACAGTAATCCAGACATCCGATCAGAGTCACGTCTACAGTAATCCAGACATCTGAACAGAGTCACGTCTACAGTAATCCAGACATCTGAACAGAGTCACGTCTACAGTAATCCAGACATCTGATCAGAGTCACGTCTACAGTAATCCAGACATCTGATCAGAGTCACGTCTACAGTAATCCAGACATCTGAACAGAGTCACGTCTACAGTAATCCAGACATCTGAACAGAGTCACGTCTACAGTAATCCAGACATCCGATCATAGTCACGTCTACAGTAATCCAGACATCCGATCAGAGTCACGTCTACAGTAATCCAGACATCCGTCACGTCTACAGTAATCCAGACATCCGATCAGAGTCACGTCTACAGTAATCCAGACATCCATCTGATCAGAGTCACGTCTACAGTAATCCAGACATCTGATCAGAGTCACGTCTACAGTAATCCAGACATCTGATCAGAGTCACGTCTACAGTAATCCAGACATCTGATCAGAGTCACGTCTACAGTAATCCAGACATCTGATCAGAGTCACGTCTACAGTAATCCAGACATCCGATCAGAGTCACGTCTACAGTAATCCAGACATCTGATCAGAGTCACGTCTACAGTAATCCCGACATCTGATCACAGTCACGTCTACAGTAATCCCGACATCTGATCACAGTCACGTCTACAGTAATCCAGACATCCGTCACGTCTACAGTAATCCAGACATCCGATCAGAGTCACGTCTACAGTAATCCAGACATCTGAACAGAGTCACGTCTACAGTAATCCAGACATCTGATCAGAGTCACGTCTACAGTAATCCAGACATCCGATCAGAGTCACGTCTACAGTAATCCAGACATCCGATCAGAGTCACGTCTACAGTAATCCAGACATCTGATCAGAGTCACGTCTACAGTAATCCAGACATCCGATCAGAGTCACGTCTACAGTAATCCAGACATCCGATCAGAGTCACGTCTACAGTAATCCAGACATCCGATCAGAGTCACGTCTACAGTAATCCAGACATCCGATCAGAGTCACGTCTACAGTAATCCAGACATCCGATCAGAGTCACGTCTACAGTAATCCAGACATCCGATCAGAGTCACGTCTACAGTAATCCAGACATCCGATCAGAGTCACGTCTACAGTAATCCAGACATCCGATCAGAGTCACGTCTACAGTAATCCAGACATCCGATCAGAGTCACGTCTACAGTAATCCAGACATCCGATCAGAGTCACGTCTACAGTAATCCAGACATCCGAACAGAGTCACGTCTACAGTAATCCAGACATCCGATCAGAGTCACGTCTACAGTAATCCAGACATCCGATCAGAGTCACGTCTACAGTAATCCAGACATCCGATCAGAGTCACGTCTACAGTAATCCAGACATCCGATCAGAGTCACGTCTACAGTAATCCAGACATCCGATCAGAGTCACGTCTACAGTAATCCAGACATCCGATCAGAGTCACGTCTACAGTAATCCAGACATCCGATCAGAGTCACGTCTACAGTAATCCAGACATCCGATCAGAGTCACGTCTACAGTAATCCAGACATCCGAACAGAGTCACGTCTACAGTAATCCAGACATCCGATCAGAGTCACGTCTACAGTAATTCAGACATCCGATCAGAGTCACGTCTACAGTAATCCAGATATCCGTTCAGTCACGTCTACAGTAATCCAGACATCCAATCAGAGTCACGTCTACAGTAATCCAGACATCCGAACAGAGTCACGTCTACAGTAATCCAGACATCTGATCAGAGTCACGTCTACAGTAATCCAGACATCCGATCAGAGTCACGTCTACAGTAATCCAGACATCCGATCAGAGTCACGTCTACAGTAATCCAGACATCCGATCAGAGTCACGTCTACAGTAATCCAGACATCCGATCAGAGTCACGTCTACAGTAATCCAGACATCCGATCAGAGTCACGTCTACAGTAATCCAGACATCCGATCAGAGTCACGTCTACAGTAATCCAGACATCCGATCAGAGTCACGTCTACAGTAATCCAGACATCCGATCAGAGTCACGTCTACAGTAATCCAGACATCCGATCAGAGTCACGTCTACAGTAATCCAGACATCCGATCAGAGTCACGTCTACAGTAATCCAGACATCCGATCAGAGTCACGTCTACAGTAATCCAGACATCCGATCAGAGTCACGTCTACAGTAATCCAGACATCTGAACAGAGTCAGGTCTACAGTAATCCAGACATCTGAACAGAGTCACGTCTACAGTAATCCAGACATCCGATCAGAGTCACGTCTACAGTAATCCAGACATCTGATCAGAGTCACGTCTACAGTAATCCAGACATCTGAACAGAGTCAGGTCTACAGTAATCCAGACATCTGAACAGAGTCACGTCTACAGTAATCCAGACATCTGATCAGAGTCACGTCTACAGTAATCCAGACATCTGATCAGAGTCACGTCTACAGTAATCCAGACATCTGATCAGAGTCACGTCTACAGTAATCCAGACATCCGATCAGAGTCACGTCTACAGTAATCCAGACATCCGATCAGAGTCACGTCTACAGTAATCCAGACATCTGATTAGAGTCACGTCTACAGTAATCCAGACATCTGATCAGAGTCACGTCTACAGTAATCCCCATAGATTAATCCCATCATGAAGACGGCGGTTTCCTTTAAAAACACTCCGTCCAGAAACTTTTGGAAAACGCCTGAAAACGCTAAATTCACCTTTACTGCGCATGTGTAAAACCTCACAGAAGCTCACTGAGATGATACTGACAGAGAAATAGATCATAAAGTTATCGCGCAATTCTTCTGACAGGATCATTTTATTTAGCAAAATATCTCAGCATTCACTGATGGTCAGGTCGCACTCACTCACTATTATATATTTGGTCTAAAACTGCTCATGTTTCGCCGCAGGACAGCAGATGTGAGTGAATTCTGTCATCTTTGCAGGACTGTGATATGAAGAGTGTGTGAAGTAATATATTTTAGTAACAGTGTGAAAGTGAATCGCACATAACAGGCACAATACCGCTATAAACATGAATATCTATTGGTACAATATGCGTCACATGACTAAACTTACGTCATCGTTTTTAAATACCTCAATTTTCCCAGTCCACACTACAACGCGAACACGGCGTTTTCAAAAAGCTTTGTTTTCATGAATAAAACGGCGTCTCAGTGTGAATAGAAGACCAAACGCAGAGAAAAAGATGCGTTTTCAAAGGAAAGCGTATCAGTGTGTTAGGCCTGAGGACACACACTCTCACCTTGGTCTCCAGTCCCGGGATAAAGACGGACGGCACGTGGAACATCCTACAGTACGCGGCGATCTCTTTAGAGGAATAATCCCTCATTGGCCGCACGACCACCACATCCCCGAACCGAGGATCACAGAAACCCTACGAGACAGTTCATGGAGACATGTGACCCTGGACCACAAAACCAGTCACGTCACACGGGTGTGTCTGTGGCAATAGACAACTACACATTGTATGGGTCAAAATTATCGATTTTTCTTTTATGCCAAAAGTCATTAGGATATTAAGTAAAGATCATGTTCCATGAAGATATTTAGTAAATTTCCTACCGTAAATGTATAAAAAATATATTTTTGTAAATGAATGAAGCCATATCGTGAACATAAATGCACAACTTTAAAGGAGATTTTCTCAATGTTTTGATTTTTTTGCACCCTCAGATTCCAGATATAGTCATATCTCGGCTAAATATTGCTAATAAACCATACATCAATGGAAAGCTTATGTATTCAGCTTTTATGTGATATATACATCTCAATTTAAAAAAATGACTCTTGTGACTGGTTTTGTGGTTCAGGGTCACATTTGCCCCTGTGTAATTATTCATCAATGAAGGAACAGAATTATAAAGTGTTATCCATAGATGATGACGACTATAATGCAAGCACACACACATCTCAGTAGCAGCTCTGAGGTCGTCATGAGGAACCGTGGGCTTGTTCTAGTGGCGCTCCTCACCGTGTCTGAAGCCAGCGCTGCTCCGCGACCCAGAGCGATGTTACTCAGCAGTTTCACAGCCAGTCGAGAGCAGCTTTCCCCCATCATGACCTTCGAGAAACCGTTCTCTCGGGCGACGTGCAGGATCAGGTGAAGCCTGTACCAATACACACACACTCAACTCTTTACACCAGGGCCAAGCTGAACTCTTGATTATGATTGGATCAGGGACATTCCCATGTGTTTGAGGTCAATGGTGGCATTCTGTAATGACCATCAGGGTTATTATCGGTAATTAAGTTGACACTTTAGTTTTGCGCTGTCTTTGTTGCACGTTACTTATTAGCGATTCAAAGAGAGTAGCAGTGAATCGAAACTGAACTATTAGGGATGCACCGATATGAAAATGTTGACCGATAACCGATAATTCTTTATATTTGAAAGCCGATAACTCTTTATATTTGAAAGCCGACAATTATTTATATTTGAAAGCCGATAACCGATAACTCTTTATATTTGAAAGCCGATAACCGATAACTCTTTATATTTGAAAGCCGATAACCGATAACTCTTTATATTTGAAAGCCGATAACCGATAACACTTTATATTTGAAAGCCGATACCGATAACACTTTATATTTGAAAGCCAATCACCGATAATTCTTTATATTCTAAAGCCAATAACCGATAATTCTTTATATTTGAAAGCCGATAATTCTTTATATTCGAAAGCCGATAACCTGTTTTTTTGTATATTTGAAAGCTGATAACCGATAACTCTTTATATTTGAAAACCGATAACTCTTTATATTTGAAAGCCAATAGCCGATAATTCTTTATATTCGAAAGCCAATAACCGATAATTCTTTATATTCGAAAGCCAATAACCGATAATTCTTTATATTTGAAAGCCGATAACCTGTCATTTTTTATATTTGAAAGCAGATAACCGATAACTCTTTATATTTGAAAACCGATAACTCTTTATATTTGAAAGCCAATAACCGATAATTCTTTATATTCGAAAGCCGATAATTCTTTATATTTGAAAGCCGATAACCGATAACTCTTTATATTTGAAAGCCGATAACCGATAATTCTTTACATTTAAAAGCCGATAACCGGTAATTCTCTATATTTGAAAGCCGATAACCGATAACTCTTTATATTTGAAAGCCAATAACCGATAATTCTTTATATTCGAAAGCCAATAACCGATAATTCTTTATATTTGAAAGCCGATAATTCTTTATATTTGAAAGCCGATAACCTGTAATTTTTTATATTTGAAAGCCGATAACTCTTCATATTTGAAAGCCGATAACCGATAACTCTTTATATTTGAAAGCCAATAACCGATAATTCTTTATATTCGAAAGCCAATAACCGATAACTCTTTATATTTGAAAGCCGATAACCTGTAATTTTTTATATTTGAAAGCCGATAATTCTTTATATTTGAAAGCCGATAACCTGTCATTTTTTATATTTGAAAGCCGATAACCGATAACTCTTTATATTTTAAAACCGATAACTCTTTATATTTGAAAGCCAATAGCCGATAATTCTTTATATTCGAAAGCCAATAACCGATAATTCTTTATATTTGAAAGCCGATAATTCTTTATATTTGAAAGCCGATAACCTGTCATTTTTTATATTTGAAAGCCGATAACCGATAACTCTCTTTATATTTGAAAACCGATAACTCTTTATATTTGAAAGCCAATAACCGATAATTCTTTATATTCGAAAGCCAATAGCCGATAATTCTTTATATTTGAAAGACGATAATTCTTTATATTTGAAAGCCAATAACCTGTAATTTTTTATATTTGAAAGCCAATAACCGATACCTCTTTATATTTGAAAGCCGATAACCGATAATTCTTTATATTTGAAAGCCGATAACCAATATATTGGTCAATAATTCTACATACAAATTTATTTAATTTTTGAGAGCCTGATTACAAAAAGAAAAGCCTCACCATTAAACATCCATGTCTCAAGCACTCAAGCATTTTCTCAGCAGGAAACCGGTGGAATGCCAACTCCAGGTAGGGAATGAGCTCTTACCCCAAGTGAAGGAGTTTAAGTACCTCGGGGTCTTGTTCACGAGTGAGGGGAGATTGGAGCAGGAGATTGGTCAATTTTTGTTCCTACCCTCACCTATGGTCATGAAGGCTGGGTCATGACTGAAAGAACGAGATCGCGGGTACAAGCGGCCGAAATGGGTTTCCTCAGGCGGGTGGCTGGTGTCTCCCTTAGAGATAGGGTGAGAAGCTCAGCCATCCGCGAGGAGCTCAGAGTAGAGCCACTGCTCCTTTGTGTCGAAAGGAGCCAGTTGAGGTGGTTTGGGCATCTGGTAAGGATGCCTCCTGGACGCCTCCTGGACGCCTCCCTAGGCACGTCCAGCTGGGAGGAGACCTCGGGGAAGACCCAGGACTAGGTGGAGAGATTATATCTCCACACTGGCCTGGGAACGCCTCGGGATCCCCCAGTCAGAGCTGGTTAATGTGGCTCGGGAAAGAGAAGTTTGGGGTCCCATGCTGGAACTGCTGCCCCCGCGACCCGACCCCGGATAAGCGGATGAAGATGGATGATGGATGGTCTCAAGCACTAAAATGTTCTCATTATAATTTAATGTAGTCTATATGACAGACTTGCACATGTTGCACTTTACTGTATTTTCCTTTTTTGAAGTGATTCCAATCATATTACAAGCAATTCAAAACCATCTTGTTCAACAGTGCGCATCTGAAGTGTAATAATAATAATAATAATAAAGGAAATAATCCATTATTTATCAGCTTTAAAATGTCGGCCAAATTTTCTTATCGGGCCGATAACGATAACTTTAAAAATGAACATATATCGGCTGATACCGATATGGTGGACGATATATCGTGCATCCAATATAATTATGTAATTAAAAAGTTATTATAACATTATTATGATGTTTTGTAATTTAAATGGAAGTAGCCCAATCAAATCAGTTCATTTTAACCTATAATATTATAGTAATGTACCAACTTAATCGATATCGAGTCAAACTGAATCAAAATTGAATCAAATTGCAAGCTTGTGAAACAAAATCGAAATGAATCATTAACTCTGTTATATAAACATTAGGGCTGGGAATTGAAACAAAGTTGTCAAAATCAAATACAGAGACTCAAATGAATCAGTTTTGTGGAAGCATGCAGTGAAATGAGCAATTTTTTCTTGAAATCAATCAGATTTGAGAGATCTTCGAGAGTGATTTCTAAAGAGTGACTCACCTGAGTGTGTGTAGCATGTCCTCTTTCGCTGTCAGTGTGTTCAGTGATGAGAACAGGCTCTCCAGCGCCAGCTTGTGTTCAGGAGAGTAAGCCGAGTCCTCTACAGTGAGCCGAGCCACAGCGCTGGCTGAATCCTCTTCTGTCCGCTTCTGCTCCTCTCGGATGAACTGGTCCACAGCGAGTTTATAGCTGGGATTGGACGGGTCTGGATCAGAAGTGACCGGCACCAGTACAGAGGCGGGCAGAGCGAACACCTGAGAAACGTAAGAGCAAAGCATTACAACAGTCAGAGTCAGGGAGTCCAACATGTAGTGTAGCTACCAACTATTTTCCTAGAGACACTGTTATAAATATTAGAAGATTAAACATTTTTATTGATTTGTTTATTTTCATGTAAAATTTGTATTTGTATTCATTTTTATTATTATTAATTTATTTAATTTTTTTTATTGTATAGTGTTATTAATGCTTTGGCAATGTGTGAGCGAGTGAGTGAGTGAGTAAGAGAGTGAGTGAGTCATTGAATGAGTGAGTGAGTGAGTGAGTTAGAGAGTGAGTGAGTGAGTGAGTGAGTGAGTGAGTGAGTGAGTGAGTGAGTGAGTGAGTCATTGACTGAGTGAGTCAGAGAGTGAGTGAGTGAGTCATTGACTGAGTGAGTCAGAGAGTGAGTGAGTGAGTCATTGACTGAGTGAGTCAGAGAGTGAGTGAGTGAGTCATTGACTGAGTGAGTCAGAGAGTGAGTGAGTGAGTCATTGACTGAGTGAGTCAGAGAGTGAGTGAGTGAGTCATTGACTGAGTGAGTTAGAGAGTGAGTGAGTGAGTGAGTGAGTGAGTCATTGACTGAGTGAGTCAGAGAGTGAGTGAGTGAGTCATTGACTGAGTGAGTGAGTGAGTGAGTGAGTCATTGACTGAGTGAGTCAGAGAGTGAGTGAGTGAGTGAGTCATTGACTGAGTGAGTCAGAGAGTGAGTGAGTGAGTCATTGACTGAGTGAGTTAGAGAGTGAGTGAGTGAGTGAGTGACTCAGTGAGTCATTGAGTTAGTGAGTCAGAGAGTGAGTCAGTGAGTGAGTGAGTCGTTGAGTGAGTCAGAGAGTGAATGAGTGAGTCAGTGAGTCGGTGAGTGAGTGAGTGAGTGAGTGAGCGAGTAAGAGAGTGAGTGAGCGAGTCATTGACTGAGTGAGTCAGAGAGTGAGTGAGTGAGTCAGTGAGTAAGAGAGTGAGTGAGTCATTGACTGAGTGAGTCAGAGAGTGAGTGATTAAGTCAGTGAGTAAGAGAGTGAGTGAGTCATTGACTGAGTGAGTGAGTGAGTCAGTGAGAGTGAGTGAGCGAGTAAGAGAGTGAGTGAGCGAGTCATTGACTGAGTGAGTCAGAGAGTGAGTGAGTGAGTCAGTGAGTAAGAGAGTGAGTGAGTCATTGACTGAGTGAGTCAGAGAGTGAGTGAGTGAGTCAGTGAGTAAGAGAGTGAGTGAGTCATTGACTGAGTGAGTCAGAGAGTGAGTGATTAAGTCAGTGAGTAAGAGAGTGAGTGAGTCATTGACTGAGTGAGTGAGTGAGTCAGTGAGAGTGAGTGAGCGAGTAAGAGAGTGAGTGAGCGAGTCATTGACTGAGTGAGTCAGAGAGTGAGTGAGTGAGTCAGTGAGTAAGAGAGTGAGTGAGTCATTGACTGAGTGAGTCAGAGAGTGAGTGAGTAAGTCTGTGAGTAAGAGAGTGAGTGAGTCATTGACTGAGTGAGTGAGTGAGTCAGTGAGAGTCGGTGAGTGAGTGAGTCAGTGAGTCATTGAATGAGTTAGTGGGTCAGAGAGTGAGAGAGTGAGTGAGTCAGTGAGTGAGTCGGTGAGTGAGTGAGTCGGTGAGTGAGTGAGTCAGAGAGTGAGTCAGTGAGTCATTGAATGAGTTAGTGAGTCGGTGAGTGAGTCAGAGAGTGAGAGAGTGAGTGAGTCAGTGAGTGAGTCGGTGAGTGAGTGAGTCGGTGAGTGAGTGAGTCAGAGAGTGAGTGAGTCGGTGAGTGAGTCGGTGAGTTAGTGAGTCAGAGAGTGAGTCAGTGAGAGAGTGAGTGAGAGAGTGAGTGAGTGAGTGTGTCAGAGAGTGAGTGAGTCAGTGAGTCGGTGAGTGAGTGAGTCAGAGAGTGAGTGAGGAGTCAGAGAGTGAGTGAGTCGGTGAGTGAGTGAGTGAGTCAGTGAGAGAGTGAGTGAGTGAGTGAGTCAGTCAGAGAGTGAGTGAGTCAGTGAGTCAGAGAGTGAGTGAGTGAGTGAGTGAGTGAGTGAGTGAGTGAGTGAGTGAGTGAGTGAGTGAGTCAGAGAGTGAGTGAGTCAGTGAGTGAGTCGGTGAGTGAGTGAGTGAGTCAGTGAGAGAGTGAGTGAGTGAGTCAGAGAGTGAGTGAGTCAGTGAGTCAGAGAGTGAGTGAGGAGTCAGTGAGTGAGTGAGTCAGAGAGTGAGTGAGGAGTCAGAGAGTGAGTGAGTGAGTCAGAGAGTGAGTGAGTCAGTGAGTGAGTCGGTGAGTGAGTGAGTCGGTGAGTGAGTCGGTGAGTGAGTGAGTGAGTGAGTCAGTGAGTGAGTGAGTCAGAGAGTGAGTGAGTCAGAGAGTGAGTGAGGAGTCAGAGAGTGAGTGAGTGAGTGAGTCAGAGAGTGAGTGAGGAGTCAGAGAGTGAGTGAGTGAGTCAGAGAGTGAGTGAGTCAGTGAGTGAGTCGGTGAGTGAGTGAGTCGGTGAGTGAGTCGGTGAGTGAGTCGGTGAGTGAGTGAGTCGGTGAGTGAGTCGGTGAGTGAGTGAGTCAGTGAGAGAGTGAGTGAGTGAGTGAGTCAGAGAGTGAGTGAGTCAGTGAGTCAGAGAGTGAGTGAGTCAGAGAGTGAGTGAGGAGTCAGAGAGTGAGTGAGTGAGTCAGAGAGTGAGTGAGTCAGTGAGTGAGTCGGTGAGTGAGTGAGTCGGTGAGTGAGTCGGTGAGTGAGTGAGTCAGAGAGTGAGTGAGTGAGTCAGAGAGTCATTGAATGTCTCTCTCTCTCTCTGCACAGAGGGAAGGAGCTGGGTCCGTTTACCTGCTCCAGAGGAACTATAAAGTACGGGAAGCCCGTGTGTGTGAAGATGCTCTTCAGTTGATCTACAGATCGCTGTCGCTCCTCTTGACTCCGCCCACAAGCGCCGCCGTCTAACACACACCACACACACACACACATCAAACCCTGTTTAAAATATCACCAAATGCTCAATGCTGAAGCATCATTTTGAGATACAGGAATAATGCCCTACTGGTCTGAGTCAAAGGGCTTTACCATCGATGTAAATGATTCCTGGCATAAATCGTAACTTTTTGGGAGCATCCCGACTCAAGCCCTGAACAAATAAAAGCAGAAAGTCACTTTATTTATCTAGTGCTTTATACAAAACAGATTGTAAAAATACATTTACACACACACTCTCACTTTTTTTGTTTTTTATCTCACTTGTATTTTACCTCTATAACTTGTGAGAGCATCGAGGAAGAGGCGGCGCCACCAGAAACAGCCAGAAGAACCTAAGAAGAGCAAGAGTGTGACGGTCAGTGACCAAACAATTGAGTCAGTGTGGATGCTGAAGGATTTAAGGATTTTTAAAGTGCCCTATTATGGCATTTTAAAGAATCCTAATGTGTTTTGGCGTCTCCTACAACAGGTTTACACGCATCAAAGGTCAAAAACACTTTAATTTCCTCATAATATACATTACAGCATCAGCCTTTTCTCTCAGTGTCTGAAACTGATTGATAAAGCATTCAGTCTCTGTAAGCTCCGCCTCTCTGAGAGCTTCCTCTGCTCTGATTGGTCAGAAAGCAAGCGCTCATTATCATATCTGAATCTCAGCTCTTGATCACAGTGATACGAACGTGGGTTTCACCGTATCAATCTCATCAAAGTGGATTTGCTTTGTCAGCAGAAAACAGCGTCTTCTCGACACGAACAACACGAGCCGAACTCTCCAGTCTCAGATTCACTACAGTGTTTGAGGGCGGAGCCAAGAGACGCTGCTCAGCCAATCAAGAACAGAGGCTGGAATTATGCAAATTAGCTACATTGGTTAGTAACAGGAAGTGAGACTGGAATTACTGACGACTCGTTTCAGCAGTTCAGAATCAATTCTTTCTTTTAGGAGACAATAACTTTATTTGTGTGTGTGTGTGTGTGTGTGTGTCTTTACATGCATTGCATTTTATTTATGCTTATATATTCATGTAATCATTTATAAATCAAATATTTATCACTCCATAATTGTCATTTTATTATATTTTATGTTGCTTATTATTTCCATGTTCTTGCGATGCTTGCTATTGTTGTTTAATATTATGATTGTGTGGTTCATGAGTTATTTTTTGGTTTGGTATGATAACAACACTTGTTGGATTTGTGCTGGTCAGACGAAGTCCACATTTAAATATTTGAGACAAACAGCGGTTTAAGGGAAGATGATTTAGAACAGCTTTTCTATTGAGAGTTTGTTTAATATGAAAACAGTTTTCAATCTATGGATAAAAGAAACTGATGCTTTTTTGCAATACTCTCACTCATTGATGATGAATGCCATTGATATTATAATATAATAATGATTATTAATGCTGATAGATATATTGTGTCTGGGGAAAGCCATGTAGTGTTATTAGGCTAGTTTAATTCATTTTTCACGCATTATAGTGTCATAATTTTCCATAATTCCACTAAAACTGAGGATATTGTTTTTATATTCACCTTCTCCTGGGGAAATATGACTCGATTCTTTCCCAGCATGGCCCGAAACTTGTGTATGAAGTATTCCTTGAAGCAGGACCTAGTCGAGGACAGAGAGTGTGTTTTTGGCGAGACTGCATCACTTAATGAAGCGTAATTAAAACACGGAGAAGATTAATGATCACCTACCGGCAAAACGCATCACTGACACGAATGATGAGCACGGCAGTTCCCTCCTTACACTTCATACACTTCCTGTCGAGCCGGAAAAATATACAATACAATTTTATTTGTATAGCACGTTTAAAAACAACTGGTGTTGACCAAAGATAGAAAACACATAAAACAGTAAAGCAAATCAAAGAACTGGGAACTGAACTTAAAAATAAAAATAAAAAAGCATGAAAATGTTTACATTTAAAAGATTTTGTGTAATTTGTTAATGTGAATAAAAATAAAAAAAAGTGAGTACCAGCGTTTTCTTTACCGTTTGTTTGTTTTCTTTTGTTTTTTGACATTTAAAAAAAAATCACGACTTCATCTGAATGTTATGAAACTCTGTGACTGTTGTGGTTGTAATAAAAAAAAGTCGCACTTTTGTTTTTCGCGTTCAAAAATGACTGCCATGGGAAATATGCAAAAATATGAATGCAAGAACTGACACTTCAAATGAACATTTAAAAAAAAAAATCTAAACCTTGACAAAAAGTAGCCTTTAAGAATGTCTAAATATATATCAAAATCCAAAAACTAATAAAAGTAAGTATTGATCTCTAACTAGAGAATGTATACGCCTCTTATATTGAGCTATATATGAATCTAGGGGTTACACCACAACATTACATACGTTTTTCTTTTTTACTTCCGACCAGATGGCACTAATCTGCCTTCAAAAAAATGATTTTAAAGGCAGTCTCTATTACAACATGAAATACTGCTTTAATTGAGAAGCAATAAAAAATATATTAGAAGGAAATATAATTTCAATCGGAATAAAATCATATTTACAACTTAGATACTAATTAGTACCACGAATTTCTCGCAAAATACAAAATAAAGAAAAAAAATATTGAACAAAAATGTATTACATTGTTTTTACTGTAAAACCTAAAATGTAACTTTTGGCGCTCCAGCGGTTAATAAACAGAACTGCATGCGTCTTGCGGAAGAACATTATAGCCGGAACTACTTCTATCTGTTTATGTCTATGACGAGTCACGCAGGTACTGTGCTACTCCGCAGCGGTTGATGTCCCACTCGGTCTTAAATAGTCCGAATATAAACTAATTATAGGCGTAGCGTAGTGATTCAGGATAAGAAGAAAACACGGGTTGGAAGATGGATTCACGATGTAGCCGCTCACATCTCCACAAAAAAAATATAATGGTACAATCATCATTATTGTCCAAAAAATGGTTCTTATTTCTGACACACACACACACACACACACACACACACACACACACACACACACACACACACACACAGCGGTTGTTTAGTTCAACTCACGTCGGCACAGGTATCTTCTCCTGTTTACACTCCAGACCATTATAATCCTCTTCAACTTCACACATGACGGCTTCAAACTCACAGACTATATGAAAGGAAACACACGATGTCACTCGTCCAACGATACGATGCTCTTTCAGCCTGTTTAGAAGCGAAAGATTCTCTCAAAACTTATTCAAGAGAATCGTCAAAATCACACATATTTCGTACAAGCTTGTTTTCACGTGTGACTGTGTAGAGAATTTTCCTGACCCCTTTTGATGACGTAAGAGGCCACGCCCATATGTTTGCTTTGAGCATCGTCTGACATTGATTTTTTTTTTTGATTATCTTAATGTGTAATGTTTACTTTTTGTGTAAACACCGTTAAATACCACATACACATGCAAAAATGAGCTAAAAGAAAAGCCCCTTTTTTTTTTACACAGAACAGAAGCATTGTGATTAGTTATTTTTTTTATTTTTTTTAATATTAATGTCTTAACGTTTTCGGTCAAAAATATATATACATATAAATATACTATTTTATACTATATAAAATATATACGTTGACAACCTTATTTGTTACAATCGCTACATTAGTTTTGCGCCATCTATCTATGCTCCATGGAATTGTTCTGAATGCGATGTCTGGGAAATGTAGTTCTATTGAACACCCGCTCTGCGAAAATGAGCGGTGTAAAGAACTACAACTCCCATCTTTTTGTTCGCCTAATCCGTTCTGTTAAAGCTACCATGTAATGTTTACTTCTTTGGAACAACGGCGTGTCCTCCTCGGTTAGCAGTGTTGGGAGATTGCAGATGCGGTATCTAATGTCGTATAAATCACGATACGTTCGTTAAAAACTCGGAATCCTCTTCGCTTCGGCAGTATTAACTTAGTGGTTCGTGATGGCGATGTTCCGCAGTTTTGTTTCGGCTGCTCAGATCAGGCAACATCAGCAGCAAAATGGAGCCTCATCAGCCGCACCTGGAGAGAGTCTAGAGAGCCAGTTCTCCTGCCCAATCTGTCTGGAGGTTTACCACAAGCCTGTCAGCATCGCCAGCTGCGCACATACGTGAGTAAACTGGCCTTTTAACATGTTCTACATCATGTTCCTTTGTCAGGCTTAGGCAATGAAAATGATGCGTCTTTTCATCTGCTTGTGCATTTCGTGATCATAAAATGTTCTAAACCGTTTTGACAAAATATAAAAACATCATATATCCGTCAATAAGGGCTTTTATAGTTTCACTTCCCAACTGTACAGGAGAACAAAGCGATAATTTATGTGATGAGGATGATGTCTGTTTCGGTTAATTTGAAAAGAATCATTCGAACCGAATCGCAAGCCAGACCGAATCTGTCTGGAATTCGAGTGAATCGTTTATCGACTGATCGTAGCTTTTTGTTTTGACGTGTGCGCGTTGTTGTGGTTGTAAAATGCGTTTTCCTCGTTAGAATTGGACACTTGTGATGCAAAGCTTGCTATTGGTAGCATGGGTTTGTGTTTTTAAGAACCTGAAATGAGCTTGACAGCTGACAGGGGTATTTACGTGACAAACCGTAAATATAACCATCCTCCTCAAGCTTGAACTATGAGATTGATCACTGAATCGGTTCCTAAAACGATTCTTTGAAACGAACGTTCAAAATAACGGGATTTCCATTCATTAAAAAAGTATTGGTTAAAGCGTTATAAACCAAGCATCTACAAACCTAAAACTTTGATTTCAAGCAAAAATTTTTTTTTTTTTTTAATCGGACCAAAATAAAATGGTGAGGGAAAGAACTACAATCCCATGAAGCATTGTGAACAGCGTAATGATGGAGAAATAAAAAATACTAATTTAAAAATGTTGATTAAATAATATATTTTAAGTTTATTGTAAAATATGCTTATTTATTAAAATATTTAAGTGTTTTGAGAGCGAGTCGAATACGTCATTTGCAGTCATTTGCAGTCTTTTGGCATGTTTAGCTTGTTTCGACTCTGATTGGTGGAATTTCCTTTACAGCATTATGGGTAATAATGTAGTTTTCCACCACAAATTCCACTGTTAAACATGATTATTTTAAAACCAAGTTGAATTAATGCCGGCTGACGGCTTCAGCAGAAGCAAATACCATCAGTTGAACTGGCAGCATCTCAAATCAGTTTTGATTTAACAGGTTGGAAACAGTTTTTATGCACTGTATTTTGTAAAGAGTGAAGCTTCACCTGGTGGTCCGTGTTTAATAAATTGGTTCTCGCTGAAACACCCAGGGATTGCCTTGCCCTTTTACTAACCTTTCAGGAAAAACTGAATTTTTGATGAGGGAAACACTGTAACCTTCTCACATCTGCTGTAAACATGAGGGATCCTTTCCCCCCTTTGATAATTGACGTTTAACCCTGTAAAGCCTGACGTATTATATTTGATACATCAGGCTTTCAATATATAGAGAATATGGAGCTCATATTCGAGGAGGAAAAACTAAAAACAGCTCAATTTTATTCTGAGGAAAAATATGCAGATGCTGATATTTATATGGACACAAAGTGATGTAAATATAATGGAAATCAATGAGATCTTTATAACAGCTACTTACATAAAATTATATAAATATCAGTCATCACTCTATATCTGCTAATAAAATGTCTAGTAAGATGATATTTAAATGTTTATTTTTATGATCAAAACATAATGCAATAATGATTTAGAGATTAAGTAATAAACCTTCCTCAAAACAAACGCCTGATGATCATATTTGAGATTATTTTAAAACAACAACAAAAAACATGTATTGATAATCAAGTAAACCTGAGTTTCTTCAGTCCAGTAACTTTATAAAAGTTTATAAAAATCAGTACAATTTTACAGCAAACTGACACGTGAAGCACGAGCTAAAGTTGGACATTTGTACAATTATAATAAAGGTTTAAGAAAAGTCTAAACTCAATCAGATGACAGATTGTGTGCGACACAGTTTTGATCATGTTGATCATTAGAAGCATTAGAAGTTTGTGATTTAAATATGATACAGCAGGCTTTATAGGGTTAAAATATACATAGGGCATTTTTTTTGGCCTAAAGATTAAAGAAAGTGTATTGGTTTTGGTAACTTGCGCTACTCGGCTCTCCGTGTGTCGTGTGATTGGCTGTTCACTGATGATGTCACACTGTGATTAATCACAAACCCTGAGTCGACAGAAAACGTTTATAGCGAGTGTTGTGAGCCCGTTAAACCCGATTGAATTGTGTGGTTGTGTAAAAAAGAGATAAGAGAGATGGGGCTGGGCGATATGGCCAAAAAATCATATCTCGGTAATTTTTGGTTAAATGGCGATATGCGATATATATATCTCGGTACTTTTTAAGTTTTTCTATTTGGATAAAGAAAATCTGTATTTAAAAAATGTTTGTTTTTTCACATTCTGCCCAATGATATCCTACAAACAATGTTGATATTGAAGGATATGGAAACAAATATAGTGAATGTAATGTAGGCTATGCAATATATTATGTGCAAAAAAAGATTTTGTTTTTAATTGACTAAAGGCTAAACTAAAAATGAAGATAAAAACAAAAGCACAAACTAATTATATCAGCCTGTATTTGATTACCCCATTATAATGGTCACTTTCATAAAAATATAGGCCCTACTTGTAGGTTTAAAATTCCATATATAGTACATTTATTGTCTCCAACAACAAATATTTTAGCAATATGTTAATTTTAGTCAGAATTATTGCGCTACTCTTCTATTGTGCTCCGTCTGTTTGACGCGCATGCGCGCGGCGGCGCTAGTTCACAGAAGCTTGGATTTTAGCGGAGATTCACTTGCAGAAGCTCGTCCTCTCCTGACAGTGAAATGGACATATTTGTTTGACTCTAACATTTACAGATGGAGAATATACCTGTGAAATGTAAGTTGAGCACTGAGGAAAGCACCACGTCTCAAACGCATTAATCAGCGCAAGTATTTATCTGTCAGTCAGCAACAGTATCTGTCAGAGCATCTGACAGGACAAGCTGTTTTAAACTCGTTAACTATATCTTAGGCTACCAGTTATTTTGAAGCCCTTAATATAAGCTTGCGTCATGTTTAGGACAAATTGTACCATGTTCTTTCACTGCAGGAGCTCACACTGCGACCTCCGCTATTTTTCAGATGTGCTCATATCAAACTACTGTATCGATATAAACGGTATTGCCTCATTCCATATCGTTTAAAAAAAGTGTAGCGATATATCGTACAAACTCGATATACCGCCCAGCCCTAGAGAGAGATGAAAAATGGCCCGACAAAGACCAAGTTAAAAAGCCCCCCATTTAGTAAAAATTGTATAAAACGCATCTTTGATCTGCAAAATGACACATTTAAATGTTTTTTCCTTGAAAATAATTCTTCATGCCTTAAAATATCTTGAATGTAACTCGACACCCTTGCCTCATTTAGTATGCGCGGTTCTATGAATATGCAAATGAGCCCCGCCTCCACTCACTCACTCAGCTCAGAGATCCACTGGTTGACGATCACACGTTGATCTGATTGGTTACAAGGTCGTTTGTGACGTCAGAAACACCAGCGATTTCAAACCGTGTTTTTGAGACTGTCTTTGGTTCACTGCAGAAAATACTCAGCAATGCTGTCGACTTATGAATTTACACATGGTTTGTCTTAAAGCGCATTAAACATAAGACATATAAACAACATTAAAAGCTTGATTTTCACCAAGTAAAAGAAAGCAACATGAAAGGGGAAACATAAAGGCTTGAAAACGGATACATCTTCAGGCATATGCCTCCTACTCCTGAGATGAGTGTGTTATATGAATTTGTTATATGAATGTGATCTATATGAGTGTGGGCAGTTTTGTGCAAAACCAAAGACGCCGTCAGAAACTCCAGCCCACATTATTCATGAGGGTTTAATCAATGAGCAACGATCTCACCTGCATCTCTGGAACATACGCTGGTGTTGGCACAGCGAGATAAGGATTAGGACTGTTATTTTAGTCCACTTATAAAGCCATCTAATCTGTATTCGGCAGGTAGAGCAGGCGATGCATTAGAAAATGAGTATTTACCAGCGTGGCTCTTTTTAGCACATGCCTAGAGCTGCTTCCACTTCTGATTTAGTTGCATGAAACTCACTAGAACTCAGATTTCCCAATGCTAAAACTAGTCTAGCATCAAATCTCTAACCCTATATTAGGTGAAAATCCAGCTTTTAATGTGGTTTATATGTGTATGTGGTGTTTTTAATATGCTTTAAGACAGTTAAACTGACTTCTTTTCAGTTAAAGGAAATAATCCACTTATTATCGGCTTTAATTTATCGGCCAAATTTTCTTATCGAGCCGATAACGATAACATTAAAAATGAACATATCGGCCAATACCGATATGTCGGCCGATATATTGTGCATCCCTAAGTGATAGTTTAGTAACATGATAACTTAGTAGCGCCGCTTCGGATTTAAGAGGTTAATAATTAATATTAAACAGACTTTTTTTCAGTTGAAGGAAATAATCCACTATTTATCGGCCAAGTTTTGTTATCGAGCCGATAACGATAACATTAAAAATGAACATATCGGCCAATACCGATATGGTGGCTAAAATATCGTAACATGATAACTTAGTATATTTAAGAGGTTAACAATTAATAGATTAATTGAATGCTAATTTAAACAATGATCGATTTTAGGAATTTATGTAAATTGACATCCCAGATCATAATATTACAAATTTCATGCAAACAGGCGTGAGTAGGTTTAGAGTATCGTGGGATTATATTGTATCCATCCCAGTTTATTCGACTTATTTTGCACATTTGAGCAACTATGGTTCGTCATTTGGGAATTCCACGCATAAATTGTGCAAAATGTGCACTTGAAATAGCATTTGAAACAGTCCCAATGATGAAATCTCTGACGTCTCTCTTTGATGTCCCGCCATGTATGAAAGAAAGCTCGTCAAATCATTGTCTGTTATTTCAGACCATCAAATTTCCTGTGCAAGCCCTGTCTGGGACAGCCGGTCCAGGAGTCGTTCTCTCTCCCCCTGGTGTTTACTGAGCTTTGGGAACCGCTGTATTCCCCAAGGGCCGGCTTCATGCTCGGCTTTACACAGGGAAATATGGGGATTGTTGGGAAAGAGCCTCGACTCGCCCCCAGCACCGGCTTCCTTTTGCTCTCATTGTGTCTGTGATACTCAACAGCAGCTCGATGGAGCAGGAGCGAGTCAGCAGCACTACACACAAGCTCAACTCTCTCTCTCTCAGTGAAATATTCTCCTTCAAATCGAATGGTAAAATAAAATCCCACCAAAAATCATGAATTCTGCTCCGCCGATATTCTTCAGTGGCCTATGTTGGTACCGATATCTAAAGAGAAGAGGTGTCAATGGCCAATTATAGTGATATTGGCTCGGATTTTTTTAAAATCCATGAATATTTTAGTAGAGATGCACCGATATGAAAATTTTGGCCGATACCGATAATTCTTTACATTTGAAAGCCGATAACCGATATATTGCCCGATAAATCTAAATCCAGATTTTTATATAATTTTTGAGAGCCTGATTACAAAAACAAAAGCCTCACCATTAAAAGCCACGTCTCAACCACAATTATAATGATGTTCTCGTTATAGTTTTATGTAGCCGATATGACACATGTTGTACTTTACTGTATTTTCTCTTTTTTGAAGTGATTTCAATCATATTTCAAGCAACTCAAAACCATCATGTTGAACAGTGCGCATCTGAAGTGTCTCAGCTGAAGGAAATAATACATTATTTATCGGCTTTAATATATCGGACAAATGTTCTTAATATATCGGCCGATACCGATATGGTGGCCGATATATCGTGCATCTCTACTGTTTATTTCTGTACTTGTCGACCACAATAATGTATTTTCTTTTTCGAAATGTCCTTTAATCTGTATACTGTAATCAACTTTTTTTTGTTGTAGTTTAACAGCCCTAGTTTTAAAAAATAAAATGGTGAATGCTGCTGATTTGACCAATGCGGTTAAAGACACTGTTGGCTCTATGAGTTTCCAGGAATCTTGCAAACGCAATGCTATACGCTTTAGGACTGACCTTCGCTTCCAGTGCGCGTGATCAGTCAGTGTAGTTTAAGTGTGGACAGTGATGGACCGGCTCTTCATCGGCCCAGGATTCAACAGTGCTATAAAACACGGTGCAGAAAAAGCCCTGCGTGAGTCATTGCCTTTACAGTCCCGTAAACTCGTGCCTCATCCGTCAGAAAGTGACAAGGCACCGCGAGTTCACCAGCCGCTTTCTGCTGACGCGCTCGGACCCGATCTGAGTCACGCCAGCTTGAAAGGTGATGGCCAAATAGTCTGAACATCAGCGTTTATTCAGCCATCCCGAGTTCAGTGGTTCTGAATAGTGGGTTTGCATTCTTGACATGCACTATCATATAAAAAACAGTCATCAAACTGACAAAGTCTGACATTTAAACACTTACCGCTGAATCCTTTTCACAGTAAACGTCTAAATACGGTATTACATTGTGAAATATCACAGTTAAAGCCTGTGAAGTGGTAATAATGTAATTTACTGTGAAATATTACAGTTATATCTTGTGAAATCCTGAAATATTTTACAGTGTGTGTTCCCATGATCTTCACTTTAGAGACTGATCCAAATTATTAGTAGTTCCTTTAGAAGGATGTAGTAACACTTGACCATTACCATATATTATACATTATGCATAATTAATATTAATTATGAACCTGTATATAGGCTAGTAGTTCTTAGTTCTTCAGTGAGGTATGAAAAGTAGTAGTTACTGATTAGCTAATAGTGAACTAACACATTCATCTGAGCGCTATTACTTAGCCTACTACTTTGTTAATCAGAGTTTCTTGTTAGTTAATAGTAGTTACTAGAGTGGGGTCCTTCGGTCCAAATGGACCCGAAGCATTTAAATAAAATAAAAAGTAAAAAATCATAGCTTCATCGGAATGGTCCGAAATTTGGTGACTTTGTTGGTACTTGGTAAATCAACACCCAAAAAAATTGGGGACAGGATTTGAATAGTCTAAGTGGTTGTAAAAAAAATAGTCACACTCAGGACCTTCGGGTCCAAATGGACCCGCATAGGAAATGAATGGGAAATTGTCAAAAATATGAAAACACAGGGTTTTTTTGTGTGTACAATCTACAAATCAGCCACGATCCAGAAAAAAAAGCACACAACAGTGAAGGGGTGAATCTATAAAACATCAAGAGTGCAAAACAGACACACACACACAATTCGCAAGCCTTTCTACAGAGTGCTTTAAATCCACTAGTGGTAAAAATGTGCTATTGCGTGATAAAAATGCTCAGTGTCCCCACCCCATGGCATCCATCTCATTTAAAAAATTGCTTTCACGAGGCCTAGGCTTGACTCTAAAATGAAATACAGCTTTAATAAAAAAATAAAATAAAATAATATATATATAAAAAAATTGGGTCATAATTATTGCATAAATATTAATTATAAATCATAAAAGGATCTCAAAACACCAAAAAAGAAAAGAAAAAATATTATAAAAAAACAAGTAAAAAAAAAATGTTATGATTTTTTTTATTTATATTAATCCTGCCCTCCGTATCCATTTGGACCCGAAGGTCCTGACTGTGACTGCTAAATGAAGGACCCCAGAGGGTTAATAGTGCGTTACTCATTAGTTCCTGTGTAGTTCTTCATTAATGAAGGAACGGTATTATAAAGTGTTTCCCATAAATGATTACGACTAATCATGCAAGAATTCATACATTTCAGTAGCAGCTCTAATGTCAACATGATGAACCGTCTAAGACATGCCGCACTATAATCTGTGTGTGTGTGTGTGTGTGTGTGTGTGTGTGTTCACAGTTTCTGTGGGGATTGTCTCCAGCCGTGTCTCCAGGTCACATCTCCGCTCTGTCCGCTCTGCCGAATGCCTTTCGATCCAAAGAAAGTGGAGAAATCCTCCAGCGTGGAGAAGCAGCTGTCGTCGTATAAGGCGCCGTGCCGAGGCTGCGGCAAGAAGGTCAGTCGACAAATATTACATTACAATATTACAATATTACAATATTACATTTCACGATTTAACCCTTCTGGTGCTCTTCACTTGTCGGTCAAAAATGACCCGAAATGTATTTTTTGATTTCAATTAAAAGAATGTACTATATTTTAGTTTGAAAATGTTTTTTTTATGTAATATTTTGTATTTTTTGATGGTACTAAATTATATTTACACTGTATTTATAATCCATTTATTCACTTTTTGAGCATAGACCTGAAAATTTAATTTCTAACTTAAACTGTGGTAAATCTTGAATGCTTTAAATCACAGACTGAAGTTTGATCTCTTTTCAAAGACGACACTTGGCAGATTATTGCTGAAGTGAAAAAAGTTTAAAAAAGTGAGCTTAAAAAAAAGTTACAGGATTTTACGTTTATTGTTATGAAAAATACTATTTTAAATTTTTATATGAAATATATATTTTCTAAAACTGTGAGAAAATCAAAGACACAAATCTAAACAAGTTGTGTTGCACAGTTGAGTCTGATCTCTCAGTAAACGAGCGTTCAGTGAGAGTGTGTTCGGCTGCAGTACCAAACGCTTCCACTAGAGGAAACTCGCCTCACGCTCATTTCCAGTGCGCTCGTGTTTGACCGCGAGGAGCACAAGTGTGGCTGTTTAACCTGTTTGAAGCACGTACATGAATTTTATTAGAGTTTTTTTTCGCATTGCAAGTGCCAAAACCTTTACTAAGTTTCGTCCATTCCGATGACGAAAAAAACTGATGTGAGATGTGAAATGCACTACACTCTAAATGACCCATATTTGGGTCAAATATGGACAAACCCAACCGTTGTGTTAAAAAATGTAATTAAAAAATGTAAACCAATGGTTGGGTTTGTCCATATGTGACCCAAACATGGGTTGAAACAACCCATTGTTTTGAGTGTATCGAAACTTAAATGGTTGTAATTCAAGAATGCTTTGGAATATTATTGCCGAAGTAAAAGCACTTCAAAAGAGAAAGTATGAAAAAGTGATTTACTGTGAATCAAATGTACTGTACTAAACATTTTTTATTATATATAAAATATATATTTTACAAAATAATTTTTACCCTAAATAAAACCTATATATCTAACCAAGTTGTGTTCCAAATGTGAAGTTGATATCACATTGAAGTTTTGAATTTTGTTTTGGCGCTTTACCAGAAATATCCACCGGGTGTGTCCCACATCCCATTGAATTTTGTTTTACGCATTTTCCTGTTACAAATTAATACATATCTGTCCACATATCACTTCTATCACATAATAGTCGGCAAATATGAAACCTTGAGACTCAGACCTTTCCGACGATCTGTGTTTTGATTATAATGTAGTTAAAAAAAAAATTTGTAATATGAAACCGGACGACGCCCACTAGGGGAGGAGCCAGATAAAAAATAAAGTACCATTTCGATGGTAACACAATGTCCAATTTCAAAATGGTCTTCACAGGGTGAATTTAGAGTTCGTAAGCTTTCGAATGATACCTATAATTTTAATTTATGATGATTATTTAAATATGTGATGCAAAAAAAAGTGTAGTGGTGACATTTATGGGGTTAAAAGAAAAAAATCAGTCCCTTTGACAACACTGAAGCCAAATAATAAATAAATATAATATTAAATAAATGAGGTAGGTATATTATGAAATGTACCAGGTTTATATAAAACAAGTCGATAAGCAGTTAAATGTGTCGAGTGTACGTTGAAATCTGGAACGTGGAAAATGACGTCGTGAGATGTCCTAAATTAACTTAGAGACCACTAAACCCTTTATTATGTTTATTATCCAGGTTTTTTTATTCTGTTTTTGCTCACTGTTGATTTGACACAGCAGTTTTGTAGATATTTTAGTTTTGTAAAGTCAGCAAGACATGTTTGCTGGGTTTAAACACATGACCAGCAAGGCTCACATGTGCACTTTACAGTACAGTACAGTAAATTCTCTTAAAGGGATAGTTCACTTAAAAATGAAAATTCTGTCAAGTTGTTTCAAAGCTGTATGAGTTTCTTTCGTCTGCCGAACACAAAGGAAGATATTTTGAAGAATGTTGTAACCGAACAGTTGATGGACCCCATTGACTTGACCTAGCTTAGCACAAAGACTGAAAGTAAATGGCTCCAGCTAGCATACTGCTCCCAATTAGTGACTGAATAACACTAACATTTTCCTATTTACATGTTGTGATTTGTATAGTCACAGTGTGTACAAATAACAAGGTCATATGAATATACTAATTGGGAGCAGTATGCTAGCTGGAGCCATTTACTTCCAGTCTTTGTGCTAAGCTAGGCTAGCGGTGGGTGCGTTGGACAGAGTTACGGCACGCACAGAGATGAGAAGGGTGTGTATGGGCTTATCTAACTCTGGCAGATACGGGGAATAAGCTAAAGTCCCAAAAAGTCGGCGTGTTCCTTTAGGTGAACTGTCCCTTTAATCAAGGTGGTGTTTGTATCAAGCTCACGTTGCTCCATCGTGTCTCTGTGAATGTCTCAGGTCACCCTGGTCAAAATGCGGTCGCATATTTCATCTTGCACAAAGGTTCAGGAACAGATGGCCAACTGCCCGAAGTTCATGCCTGTGGTCCCGACCTCACAGCCCATTCCCAGGTAAGGGTCAAGGGTCATATTCCTCAGATGACTCTACATTATAAGCCTGCCTTATATCTCGCATTATTACGTGAAAAAATATGCATTGCATTTTTACTGTTCCGTACTATTTAAAAAACTAGGGTTGGGCAACGATTAATCGCATCCAAAATGAAAGTTTGCGTTTACATAATATATGTGTGTGTACTGTGTATAATTATTTTGTATATATAAATACACGTTTGCATGTATATAGTTAAGAAAAATGTGTTATTTATATATAAAATATGTATATTTATATTTTATTTATTTATAAATATATATACAGATGCAAATATTTCTGAAATGTATACATGCATACGTAAATAATTTATAATGTACATATTTTATATATAAATAACACATTTTTCTTAAATATATACATGCATGTGTGTGTATTTATATATACAAAACAATTATACACAGCACACACACATATATTAGCCTATGTAAACACACTTTTATTTTGGATGCAGTTAGTCGTTGCACAGCCTTAAAAAAAAAACATTCAGAAATCATAAAAGAAGCATTCTGCTATTGTGAAATCACAAACTCTGATTAAATAAAATAAATATATGCGTTTTTTGCAGTGGATTTTGCTGATGTCATCGTTTGCATGCGTGGAGCTCGGGTAACACACTCCAGCTCTGCATATGCTGAGTCTGTGTTGCTTATAATGTTCATCTGAGAGCATAATGTGTCATTTCAACAGATTTGTAACGTAAATCATTTATAAAACATACGCCAACACAGGAGAATACATCAATGTTTCTAAATATACAAACTGTTGTTTATCACGATTTCAAATAAAGGTTTAACGCTCGCTTGCATGTTTTGTTGTCCACATGAAATTACAAGTGCATTTCTATCGTACAGAAGTGTATGATAATATTCTTATTGACTGTTATAGTATTTTAAAGTCCCCCTGTGGTGAAAATCCAGCGTTTAATGTTGTTTATGTGTCTAAGGTGAAGGTGGTGAGGAAGGTGAAGGTGAAGGTGGTGAGGAAGGTGAAGGTGGTGAGGAAGGTGAAGGTGGTGAGGAAGGTGAAGGTGGTGAGGAAGTTGAAGGTGGTGAGGAAGGTGAAGGTGGTGAGGAAGGTGAAGGTGGTGAGGAAGGTGAAGGTGGTGAGGAAGTTGAAGGTGGTGAGGAAGGTGAAGGTGGTGAGGAAGGTGAAGGTGGTGAGGAAGGTGAAGGTGGTGTTGAAGGTGGTGAGGAAGGTGAAGGTGGTGAGGAAGGTGAAGGTGGTGGTGAAGGTGGTGAGGAAGGTGAAGGTGGTGAGGAAGGTGAAGGTGGTGAGGAAGGTGAAGGTGGTGAGGAAGGTGAAGGTGGTGAGGAAGTTGAAGGTGGTGAGGAAGTTGAAGGTGGTGAGGAAGTTGAAGGTGGTGAGGAAGGTGAAGGTGGTGGTGAAGGTGGTGAGGAAGTTGAAGGTGGTGAGGAAGTTGAAGGTGGTGAGGAAGTTGAAGGTGGTGAGGAAGTTGAAGGTGGTGAGGAAGTTGAAGGTGGTGAGGAAGGTGAAGGTGGTGGTGAAGGTGGTGAGGAAGTTGAAGGTGGTGAGGAAGTTGAAGGTGGTGAGGAAGTTGAAGGTGGTGAGGAAGGTGAAGGTGGTGGTGAAGGTGGTGAGGAAGGTGAAGGTGGTGAGGAAGGTGAAGGTGGTGAGGAAGGTGAAGGTGGTGAGGAAGTTGAAGGTGGTGAGGAAGGTGAAGGTGGTGAGGAAGGTGAAGGTGGTGAGGAAGGTGAAGGTGGTGAGGAAGTTGAAGGTGGTGAGGAAGTTGAAGGTGGTGAGGAAGTTGAAGGTGGTGAGGAAGTTGAAGGTGGTGAGGAAGTTGAAGGTGGTGGTGAAGGTGGTGAGGAAGGTGAAGGTGGTGAGGAAGGTGAAGGTGGTGAGGAAGTTGAAGGTGGTGAGGAAGTTGAAGGTGGTGAGGAAGGTGAAGGTGGTGGTGAAGGTGGTGAGGAAGGTGAAGGTGGTGAGGAAGGTGAAGGTGGTGAGGAAGTTGAAGGTGGTGAGGAAGTTGAAGGTGGTGAGGAAGTTGAAGGTGGTGAGGAAGTTGAAGGTGGTGAGGAAGGTGAAGGTGGTGGTGAAGGTGGTGAGGAAGGTGAAGGTGGTGAGGAAGGTGAAGGTGGTGGTGAAGGTGGTGAGGAAGGTGAAGGTGGTGAGGAAGGTGAAGTGGTGAGGAAGGTGAAGTGGTGAGGAAGTTGAAGGTGGTGAGGAAGTTGAAGGTGGTGAGGAAGGTGAAGGTGGTGGTGAAGGTGGTGAGGAAGGTGAAGGTGGTGAGGAAGGTGAAGGTGGTGGTGAAGGTGGTGAGGAAGGTGAAGGTGAAGGTGGTGAGGAAGGTGAAGGTGGTGAGGAAGGTGAAGTGGTGAGGAAGGTGAAGGTGAAGGTGGTGAGGAAGGTGAAGGTGGTGAGGAAGGTGAAGTGGTGAGGAAGGTGAAGTGGTGAGGAAGGTGAAGTGGTGAGGAAGGTGAAGTGGTGAGGAAGGTGAAGGTGGTGAGGAAGGTGAAGGTGAAGGTGGTGAGGAAGGTGAAGTGGTGAGGAAGGTGAAGTGGTGAGGAAGGTGAAGTGGTGAGGAAGGTGAAGTGGTGAGGAAGGTGAAGTGGTGAGGAAGGTGAAGGTGGTGAGGAAGGTGAAGGTGGTGAGGAAGGTGAAGGTGGTGAGGAAGGTGAAGGTGGTGAGGAAGGTGAAGGTGGTGAGGAAGGTGAAGGTGAAGGTGGTGAGGAAGGTGAAGGTGAAGGTGGTGAGGAAGGTGAAGGTGGTGAGGAAGGTGAAGGTGAGGAAGAAAGTGTATGATAATATTCTTATTGACTGTTATAGTATTTTAAAGTCCCCCTGTGGTGAAAATCAAGTTTTTAATGTTGTTTAAATGTGTCTATGTGGTGTTTTTAATACGCTTTAAGACACACCATGTGTAAGTTCATAAGTCGACAGCATTGCTGAGTATTTTCTGCTTAAAACTGCAGTGAACCAAAGACAGTCTCAAAAACACGGTTTGAAATCGCTGGTGTTTCTGACGTCACAAACGACCTTGTAACCAATCAGATCAACGTGTGATCGTCAACCAGTGGATCTCTGAGCTGAGTGAGTGAGTGGAGGCGGGGCTCATTTGCATATTCATAGAACCGCGCATACTAAATGAGGCAAGGGTGTCGAGTTACATTCAAGATATTTTAAGGCATGAAGACATTTGTTTTCAAGTAAAAAACATTTAAATTTGTAATTTTGATGATCAAAGATGAGTTTTAAGGGATAAAATTATTGACTACAGGGGGACTTTAAGTGTCAGTCAGGACAAACAATGGAATTACGTCAATCGAAACTTTTACGCTTGGTTTGGACGGTGTTAGAACAACGTTTTCTTTCTTTCTCCCTACATTAAAGCACAAACAATCCCACAATTCCCTCTCATGCAAACACTGCCTTACTCTTCGGGACAACAGTCAGAACGCTTTAAAATATGGATCCAGGACACGTTTCATTCTTAAGAGATACTCGTAGACACACACACACACACACACACACACACACACACACACTAGTGTAGGTGTGCTTAGATCTAGAGACTGATGTCAAACTGATGTTTGAAGTTTTGCAGACAGGAATCCGGTAAAAGTCCAATCGGATGACTTCAGGTTGAGTGTGTGTGTCAAGTCAAGTCAAGTCACCTTTATTTATATAGCGCTTTTTACAATACAGATTGTGTGTGTGTGTGTGTGTGTGTGTGTGTTTCTCTTCCGGCGCTTCAAAGGAAGAGTAAAGAACGACAGCGGGAGGAGGATGAGTTAATTGGCTCTTCAAAGCAGAGCATGTTGTGTTCACACTGTGTGTCTGTGTTGCATCACTGATATGTATCGTAATCTTTGTGGAAACATCACACAAATGTTGTAGAAGTATGTAGAAGTATCCACCAATGCAGATTTCTGTCTCAGTGAGTCAGGGGTTTAACAGACAGTGTTTGTGTATGAAGGTGGTGAGGAAGGTGAAGGTGAAGGTGGTGAGGAAGGAGAAGGAAGGTGAAGGTGAAGGTGGTGAGGAAGGTGGTGAGGAAGGTGGTGAGGAAGGTGAAGGTGGTGAGGAAGGTGGTGAAGAAGGTGGTGAGGATTAGAAGGTGAAAGTGGTGAGGAAGGTGAAGGTGGTGAGGAAGGTGGTGAGGAAGGTGAAGGTGGTGAGGAAGGTGGTGAGGAAGGTGGTGAGGAAGGTGGTGAGGAAGGTGGTGAGGAAGGTGGTGAGGAAGGTGGTGAGGAAGGTGGTGAGGAAGGTGAAGGTGGTGAGGATTAGAAGGTGAAGGTGGTGAGGAAGGTGAAGGTGGTGAGGAAGGTGAAGGTGAGGAAGGTGGTGAGGAAGGTGAAGGTGAAGTGGTTAGGAAGGTGGTGAGGAAGGTGGTGAAGGTGGTGAGGATTAGAAGGTGAAGGTGGTGAGGAAGGTGAAGGTGGTGAGGAAGGTGAAGGTGGTGAGGAAGGTGAAGGTGAGGAAGGTGAAGGTGGTGAGGAAGGTGAAGGTGGTGAGGAAGGTGAAGGTGGTGAGGAAGGTGAAGGTGAGGAAGGTGAAGGTGGTGAGGAAGGTGAAGGTGGTGAGGAAGGTGAAGGTGAGGAAGGTGGTGAGGAAGGTGAAGGTGAAGTGGTGAGGAAGGTGAAGGTGGTGAGGAAGGTGGTTAGGAAGGTGGTGAGGAAGGTGAAGAAGGTGGTGAGGAAGGTGAAGAAGGTGGTGAGGAAGGTGAAGGTGGTGAGGAAGGTGAAGGTGGTGAGGAAGGTGAAGGTGGTGAGGAAGGTGAAGGTGGTGAGGAAGGTGAAGGTGAGGAAGGTGGTGAGGAAGGTGAAGGTGAGGAAATGCAAAGAGTCCAAGACGAACATGAGTTAAAGTTCTAATCCAGAAGCATTTAATAAAAGAATAAACGCTAACTACTAACATGAGTTAACAATGAGCAATGCATTTGCTACAGTATTTATTAATCTTTGTAAATGTTAGGTAATAAAAATCCAGCTGTTCATTGTTAGTTCATGGTTACTTTAACTAATGTTAACAAATACAACATTTGATTTTAATACCGTATTAGTAAACGTTAAAATTAATATTATTCATTCTTAGGTCATAGTTAACTAATGAGCATTATTGTAAAGTGTGATCTGTACTTTGACATGTTTTCCTCCCTCAACAGCAATATCCCGAACCGCTCCACGTTTGTGTGTCCGTTCTGTGGCGCCCGGAACCTGGACCAGCAGGAGCTGGTGAAGCACTGCATGGAGAACCACCGCAACGACCCCAACAAAGTGGTGAGTGTGAGTTACCTTCAACTTCAATTCAATTTCAATTCACATTTGTTTGTGTAGCGCTTTTCACAATACACAATCATTCCAAAGCAGCTTCACAGGAAGTGCACGAGTCCACGTTACAGTTTAAGCAGGGGTTCACCCTGATCACGTAATGTGTGTCGCATCACAGCCAGAGCAAGACCAGCATTAGTGGTTAAAAGTATATAAATGTGTATTGTGTTATAAATGTCCGCTGGTTTGTCTAGATCAGACTCTTATTCCTCGGCTGGATCGTGTCGAGACTTTGAAGCTGCACTGAAACTTGAGCAGTCGCTCATTATCATTTAAAGAGACATGCACCGAAACGGGTCGCTGTGAACGGAGCTGTTTTACCTTTGAGGAGGTGAAAGGGTGTTGTTTTACACAACCATTGAGGAATTTTAACCAAAGTATGTTACAAACTTTACATGAACAACACCCTAAAGAATCATACTAACTTGTGGAAAATGGGCATCCGACGACCCCTTTAACGATTAATCTTGCAGCTCTAATGCCTACAGAGATTGAGTTAAAGGTGCAGTGTGTACATTTTAGCGGCATCTAGTGATGAGGTTGTGAACTGCACACAACAGAAGTTACGGTGGCCGACAGGAAGTGATGTCGTCGTCTGAGACCGCAGAGAGTAGTTAACCCTCTGGGGACCAGAGTGTTTTTGGGGCCCTTGGGATGTTTTGACATGCACTGACATTTGTGCTTTTTTCAGTTATTTATAAACATATTAATGGCAAAGGTGTAAATTCACTCTATATAGCACAGACGGGACTACCATGATGAGTGAGCAACATGTATGTACATGTTTGTATTTTTAATAGAATAATGTTTATGCGTGGTTATTGAAAAAAATAAAAATGAAAGTTTCTGAAATAAGACCACAAAACACATATTGATTATTTCTTCACAAGACTTTTGAAAATTGTATCACATAGTCTAGAATATTTGCTCCAAAACTATGTGAGAATCATCCTGACTACTCATTCAGATAAGTCAATAAAGTCTTTTACATTTTTTATGACGTGTTTTGTTTGAGAAAGCTTTATGCAGGAGGCGTGATCTCTCATTAATATGTGTGGCATTCCACACCTGAGAAAGACAAAGACCCTCCCCATAATGGCCCTATTAGGTGCTATCAGGCCATATCATTACAGGAGCCTTGCACAAAGAATGAGGAGATTTAAAAAAGAATAGCTTTTAGATTGTTTGGATTTATATAAGGAAAATACAGGGTGCATACGTCTGGACACTTCTATCACACACCCTTCACCATATAGACATGGTTTTATTTCAGTTCAAAGGTCAAAGTTAGAGTTGGAAACATCTTGAAAAGAAAATTGTCTTTCTCCATAAATGTCTTAGTTTGATCATACATATTTCAAAGTTGAGGATTCATTATTTTGATATAGCTTGAACAAACACTATAACATCTTAGTTGATTAGTTTATTGACAAAACATACTATATATTTAACATATGAGCAGAAACTCCTAAAAAAAGCTTATTTGATGTCTATTTTAGAGTAAAAACTTTATCCAAAACGAGTCAACGAAATGTTGTCTGTTATTTAGTCTGTAACAGTGCGTATCTGTGCGTTCATTCATTCATTCACACACACACACACACACACACAAACATGATTCACATTTAACAGTATGCTATTTTTCCGTTTACAGACACTACGTTATTCTATATCGCGATTAGAACAAAACACTTGCAAAAAACACTTACTTCTCAGCTGAATCTGTTCATCCTCGCAGTGAAAATAAACCCAGTGGTAAATGTCCCAGGATTGTTCCTCATATAGCCACGCAAGACGACAGTAGATTAATCTGACTAAAAAATAATGTGTGTTTTCAGAGTTTATGGGCGTTAACGCGTCTCAATGTGTTGCTTCACATATTTGCGTTTGAATAGCGCGTGCTCTCCGTGGGCGTGTCACATTACCAGGGATAATCAGCTGAGAGAACGATAATGAGACGGGCTGACACGTCTCTCTTTTTATATAGATAACATAAACGGAGAATATTATTTTTAGTTTTGAATCGGATCATTTAAAAGTACAAACTCAAACGATTTAAAAGATATATTGCTTATGGCTGGGTGAATAGTATTAGCTGAGTTGTGTTGAAGATTAGAGACGTGCTCCAGAAAAAAAGTTCACGGTGACGAGAGGAAGAACGCACACCCTGTTTATTTTCTTTATTTTACAAAAGCACAATATTTTATTTCGATTGTATGTGGGCACATAAAAAAGTAGACATTTAACAGATTATTTTATCATATTTCTTAACTCTATATGAACAGAAATGATGGTAGTACTTTAAGTCTATTTTTCTGCTATGTGAAAAAAAACGAGCAAAACGCGCCGGCGCGTTTCTGGTCCCCAGAGGGTTAAACAATGAGGTTTCTTTACAAAGATAAATTAATAAATTAGATTTACTTAATTATTCAGTTAAACGATGTTATTGCGAATATTATTGTTACTTGTTCATCATTGTGTCAACATAGTGACGAAACGCGTTTGTCCGTTCAGGGCCACCGTAGAAACATGTCGATGTGTGTGTGTAGAGAGAAATGCCTCATTCTAAGCTAATAAACACATAACGCTTCATTAGTAAGGTCTTTATACACCACTGAACACATAGTTATGTATATGATATTGCATTTCTGTCAGTATTACACACTGCACCTTTAAATAATCAAATGTAAATGTGACTGTAACTCGCTGGTAAAGTCTCTCCTCTTGTGTGTGTGTCCCGCAGGTGTGTCCGGTGTGCTCAGCGATGCCTTGGGGCGACCCCAGCTATAAGAGCTCCAACTTTCTGCAGCATCTTCTCCACCGGCACAAATTCTCCTACGACACATTTGTGGTGAGGAGGCGTAAACTTTACACTTATACATCCGCCATTGTGTATTCTAACGCTGTCCTGCTTTCTCCTGCCTACGTCTGCCGAAGAGAGGAAGCTCGTACAAAACCTCATCACAAATAAAACAGCCGTTCATTTTCTTTATGCAAAACATGAGCATGTTTAATGAGATTCAACCAAGGAGAGCAACTTTGAATCTGTTTACATTTCACCCCAAATTGCATAGAAAATATAAGATATTTTGCATACATAAAATTAGGAATATTTTTTTTATTCCATATATTTTATATTTATTTATTTTCCCCTTCAAAATGTTAATTACTGTACTGCATATCTGGACATGTTTTTTTTTTGTTGGTTTTTTGTAATCCCCACTACTCTCAAAGGTAATTTCTTTACATTTTAATGCAAGTACTTTACAACTGAAATGCAAAAATTTATAATTTGTCGTTTAACCACGATGGTTAATGATGTCACGCAGGTGATGGAGAAATAACTTATTTTAATTAATCTTTTTGAGATTTTGAGATTAATGCTAGTTTGGACATGGCATCTGAGGACCAATTCTCATTTTTCTCAGTTATTTTTATTTTTATTTTTTTCCAGATTTTTTTAGATTCAATCAACCATACAACTATGGTTTCGGGAAATGATCATGCATTTACATGCGTTTTACCAATTTCACAATTTCCTATTGCGCTTGAAAGGACAAATACACAAAAAAATATATCCAACTTTTAATTTTGGTGAGTATTAATTTAACAGTCGGTTATGTCTTTAGTGAAAGTAAACGATTGGAAGAAAATCGTATCATTGGATCCGTGGATTAGTTCTTAAAGTGACAGTAGCCTAATAAACCTGCTGCTGTCTGTCATTAATGTTACTTAAAACAACCAAAGACAAAGAGAAAATCACTCGTTTCTCTCGGCTGAATAACTTTAGTAGCTTTAATAAGGAAGACTATTTTACATGTGATTACTTACTTCAATTTCTGTAGGTATTAGAGCTGCACGATTAATCGTTAAAAGACCACAATCTGTGTTACAAATATTAATATTATCAAAGAAGTACAGGGATAAAAACACTGATGTCTACAGTAGCGATCAAAATAGATTAAATCACCATTTAATTGTATCAATTTCATCGTTACGCCAGTAGGTGGCGACAAGTGACTGTTAAAATATGTATTTGTCATTGAATTAATCATTCAAGATAGTCGTTCAAAAACACTGATTCATCCAGTAATGAAACGAGTGATGTATTATTGAGTGAGTCATTGAATCATTCACTCAACCTGAGTTTAAGTAATTCAGATTAATTAAATATTTTAATTGAGAGCTTGTCAGAACCTCTAGTAAATTTACGTTGTTTTGTTTAGTTGTCCGTTCAGAATCGCTAAAGATATCGTTCTAAAAATCTTTCTAAATATAAAAGAGTAGCACAACTATAACAATAACGGCACATATCGTTGGAATCACTTTCAAAACGATTTTTTCCCAGCTGATGAACGATAAAAACATTGACAGCCAATCAGAATCATTCCTGGTTTAATGAGCGTGAGCATTTAAAGAGACAGGCGACAAAACTGCAGAATAAACAGAACGATATCATCCGCTAGAGTGAGCGCTAATATAGTTATCAGTCTTGGTTATTTCATTTGTTTCTTTGTCCTGTTGTATTTTTTTTTACTCACTGTTAAAGGTGAATGTAAACCTTAATCTTGGCTATCTGAACACCTTCATCAAACCAACAGTAACAGTTGTTTCTCTGTTTGTGAACGCAGGACTACAGTATTGATGAGGAGTCAGCACTGCAGGCAGCACTGACCCTCTCATTGGCCGAGAGCTGAGAGTCTGACATCATATCCTGTTGCACAAACATGTGAAGGATCTTCTCGCCCGTCTTGTTTTAGGCTTTCCTTGTTTCTCTGTATTTCCTCTCACTCTACCTCTCTTCTGGTCTATATTTCTGAGCTACACTCCAGCTTGATCCACAAGTAGCTCTAGTTCCATCAAACCAACAGAAACAGTGATGTATGCAAAAGGTCAGACGAAGGAATAGATAAATATCACCATGCTTGTTCTTCCTGTTGTGTTCTATCCAAATGTGAGCCCGGCACTGCAGTGAAATCGAGTACGGAGGGATCAGCGCCACGTTATCTGAATTATTAAAACTATGTTGGGGTTTGCTGTCCTCGTGATGAACTCTCATCTTTAGGCAATACCAATACAGAAAAGAGAGAATCTCATTATCACTCATTTAAGGAATGCTGAAAACCATCCGCCCTTTTTTTTAATCAAGAGTTGATGTGAACACTTGCACTCGTCACAGTTTTCTACATGTCTGAGTTCTAGTATCGTTGTTCTTTTATAGTTCAATAACAGAATATCGACCGACACGACTGCATATACTCTCCTCTTGACTTGCTACAGTGATATTTTCTAAGAAGCATCGGATAAGATTAAAGTTTATATTTTTGGAAAAAAGTTTCCGTTTTAAATGGTGCACTGATAATAAGACGGCGAGCTTCTAGAGATGCGCCGGATCGTTGGTACTGTTCATCTGCATCACTCACTAGTGCTGACTTTCATTTACCAGTTCAGGAATCGTACTTGCGATGTGACGTTGGTTGGAAATAAAGGGATGCGTTTGGCATATTCCTTTCTCTCTTTACATCGGAATCTCATCAGAGAATTATGGGAAATGTCATTTTGTATTTAACGATTGGTTAATTAGCATGATTCCCCTGCTGGTAGTTGCTGTAATTACACCCTGTGCTTTTTAAAAGCACCTTTTTCCATTAATGGCTATTAGAAAATGTGATGTGAATTAGTTGCAATATATTATGATCAATACCGGTTTGCTTCCACCATGATTCTGTAATTGACACCCACTAAATACGATCATTTACGATGTAACTTGAAGGCAGAATTGATATGGAGAAACTTGAGAACGTCCAATAGACTGTACAAAAAGATGGACAAAGTGTCTCCCACTTCTTTCCACTGTAGAAAAATGAAGCCAAAATATCCGAGAAACGGTCGTTAATTTATAGCATCAAATAAACATGAATGAACATCAGAAGGTATGTTGTTTCAACGGGGGAAAGACGTTTTTCAAGTTCAAGTCCACCGACGTTAATCTACTTGCTCTCCTGAATGCTTTGTCGGACAAAATGGCGGATTCGGTGGATGGCGGATTATGATTGGTCCGATTGCCTGTCAATCAAAACTCCCTGCGCAGCATTAAATAACTAACTAAAACCAAACTTATTGAAGAAATGAACACTTGAACATACGTCAGCATGATGAGAACTACCTAAAATGACAGAAAGCATATTCGAGAAAAAAATAATTAGAAGTGTAATGATTGGCTCGCGTCCCATTCAATTACATGGAAAGGGGGTGGGGTTTATAACCTATACTGCAGCCAACCACCAGGGGGCGATCGAAACGTTTTGGCTTCACTTTTCAGGACGTGGAACAGTGTGCAGATTCCTTTTCTTGTCGTTTACTACTACTGATAGTGGGGTTCAGTACTTTGTACATGTTGAATCCAAGCCTATGAGCGTTGTAAAGGAGCACTGATGCATTGGTGTGATAGGCTTAGGCATGTGTTATAGGACTCGGATGTCTCCACTATGCAGACGTACCCAATGGTTCGGTTCCTTTCCCCGTTCTTCTCAGCCACAGAGTGTTATATATGCCTGGAGCTGAGCGAAACATGCTCTACACAAGTACACTAATGTGAATGTTTGGCCAAAGCATTGGGCATTGAAAAAAAGCATTGAAAGTCCCTTTGTATGTGCTTAACGTGATGCTTGCTTTACTTTCTTCAATCAACGAAGCATTAAAATATCTAAAAGCAATGTTTTCTTAAGCCTGGGTCAGACTACAGGAGTTTTAGGCCAATTTATCCCCTGATTATCTCCCGACAATCTGAGGAAAGTGGAAGTGTGGCTACAACTCGACTGCCAAACCTAACTATTTAGTTTACATCCGCTTCCCCGTGAGATCATGTGAGGATCTTAATATCTTGTAGTGTGTGCATGTCTGAGATTTGAGAGAGGACAATCTGTAAAGATCCTCCTCGTGTGTGGGATGCATAATCATAATTGGTTAGGGTTTAAAAACTCCTGAAGCCTGAGCCCATCCTGAGGAGTATTCAGTAATGTTGTTTATTACAGTGGATTTACTCAAGAACGCATTAGTCACATTTACATTTCTGTGCTATTAAACTTGATGTTTAGTATCTAGCTATGAACATGTTGACGGTTTAACAGACTTTACCTAACTTAACGCAACGATATTCTTAATCAAACTGTAGTTGACATGAATGAAAACCCTAGAAGAAAACAGTTTATGCTAATTAGGGATGCACCGATATGAACATTTTGGCCGATACCGATAATTCTTTATATTTGAAAGCCGATAACCGATATATCGGCCAATAAATCTAAATCCAAATTTTTTAATTTTATCCGTTTTGAGAGCCTGATTACATTAAAAGATGTCTTAAGCACATAATTATAATGTTCTCATGATAATTGTATGTAGCCGATATTACACACTCGCGCTGCACATGTTGCACTTTACTGTATTTTCCTTTTTTGAAGTGATTCCAATCATATTTCAAGCAATTACAAAACCATCATGTTGAACAGTGCGCATCTGAAGCGTCTCAGCTGAAGGAAATAATACATTATTTATCAGATTTAATATATCAGCCAAATTTTCTTATCGGGCCGATAACATTAAAAATGAACCTACATCAGCCGATACCGAAATATCGTTTATCCCTAAAATTTGCTTTCTGGCTCATTTCGAGAAACACAACGTGTGATATTGAGCTAGCATTGAGTCGTTTGCGTTCATGTACTTGTATAGAGTGTGTTACAGATCTACAAGCTTCAGTTTGCTGGATTTGTGTGATACTGGTGCATCATTTCCCATTTGATACAGCTTTGATAACTCTACCAGATACAGTGTTTTTGATATATTTAGAGCCCGTCGTGGCGGAAGAGTTGAAGACCATTAGGGCTGCTTGGAAACGTTTGTTTTTGAAATTAGCAACTTTTTTAAAAATAAGATGATGTGCTTTAACTTGTGATTCATCTCTGTGTTGATAAACGGTGTGTTTGTTTAATCTGTCGCGATAGAGTCATTGTGATTATCTCCATTTTGTGAACCACTATTTTAGCAAGGCTAAGCGTGTCACAATCATCGTGTAATCTGAAACTCTCAGACCAGGAATTAAACCGGCAGTGTTGGGTGTACCGCGAGTTACGTAATCGGATTACTTTTTCAAGTAATGAGTAAAGTAATGCATTACTTTTCAATTTGAAAAAGTGTTTTCCCATTTAGCATTCCTCAAAATGAATAAAAACAGTGAAACGCAAACTCCAAATATTACGCAAACCGGCAATAATTAAATATTACATAAATATACTTTATGCATTTAATCTCACTTTATTGACCAATGTCTTTGCTGCTGACACTCAATGATCCAATTCAACCATACTTATAATACAAATGACTTTAGATAAACACATTTATGAGGAAAAAGTAGCGTAACGCATTACTTTACATAAAAAGTAATGAAGTTACGCAATTAGTTACTTTTTTGGGGAGTAAAGCAATATCGTAACGCATTACTTTTAACAGTAACTTCCCCAACACTGTAAATCGGTCTGATTTCTGTAATGGTCTGAGGCATGGAAGTGACTCAACATGACTTGGGGGAAAAGGAGCATTTATGAACTTCTATAAATGTCCTGCCGTCGGTTTCTAATCATTTAGAAAGTTTATTGTGTAATCACTTAGAGTGATCATTCCTGTATGGTTTTCTTAAAAGCCATCATAGAGTTTGTATTGATTTCTTTGAGAATAACGCCGTGTCCTAATGGCATGACATGCATCTCTTCTGTGCAAATCTGAGTTTTTGTCCCGACAGCTTTGAGTTTAATATCAGAGTTGTCGTCTCGTTACGGTAATCCCCTTAGAGCGTGAATTATCAACAAAAGTTGCTTTTCACTTTCTGATAAATGTCTTGGCTGGAAACGTCACGTCTCGTTAGGACACGGCGTTAGATGTCATTTGTCTTTTGATGTACGTTTGTACTGAATACGGGGCCGTTTATAATGTGTAAGGCCTTCTGGGTAATGTTGGGAATGTCCTTGTTGGTATTTATTAAGAGGCCCGTTAAGAGGCTTATACATTCATAGTATAAGTGATGACTTTATTCTTTTGTTTTATGGTTAACTTGTACATAAAATGGCAAGCCTGCCACGTTTTCTTTGGTGGCGTACGCTGAGATTTGGATTGAGGTGCGATCACCTTTCTGCGAGGAAGCATGTTAAAAACATTGCACTTTAATTAACTCAAATGTCTTTTGATGATCGAGTAGGAATTTTGTTCCAGTTATTTAGTAACTTACTGCCAAATGTATTCGACAAGAGGCAGATGAATTTGTCATTGTTCATGTCATTGTTGTGTGGAAAAGGTGGATCAAGTTCAACAAAACATTTTCAGAAACGCTTTTCAGTTATTGATAATATTGTTATTATATTTAAAACAAATCCTAACTTAAAGCAGAAGTAAAAACTGAAAAATTGCCTACTGAAAATGTGTTCTTAGTATTTGATGGCGATGTGTTTCTGAGTGTCGGTATTTAACGGACTTGCTCTGAAAGAACGATATTGAGGAGTAGAAAGTAGAAAAAGACAACTAAGTTTCCCAGTATCCCAATGTTTTTACTGTTTTTTTTTTTAAGTGTCTAAATATATTGCTCAAACAATATTCATGTGCACAGCTGTAGCATAGTATGTAATTTTTTTTTTTTTTAGTGAAACTTTTGATATTGTACAACACAGCTCTCTGAATCCTGATACCTTTGGGAATGACCTTAAAATGTATATTTTTCACTCTTTTTGTATTGTAACATCAATGCACACTGTCACATAAACATACAGGACTTCTGCATTTCTTGTGTTTGTTGACGGCTCTCCAGAAGAACAACGGATGGCTTGTGGTGTGTGTGTATATAAAGGAGAAATGAAACCCTCTTAAGGACTCAACGGGTTACAGCAACTTTTGGGAACATGTTGAAACCGTAATTGCGGATGCTTGAAGGAAACGTGCCAGACTCTCGGACATGTTCTGGATTCGGTTGTGAAACGCACTCATCTGACCAGAGGAACGCTGTGTTTCTGCGCTGCCACAGGCAGGGGGCGCCAGTGTTTGTGTGGGGGCTTATTCATGGCTATGAATAACAACCAGATAACAGTAATAACAATGCTGATGTTAATGATGGTGTGCATTTATGAAGCTGTAATACTGACTGAGGTTTAATAAGATACTTAGTGTATTTGTAGCAGTTTTCCCCTTAATAAAAACACAGATGCACCCATCTTTAATAGCCTTGTCCTTTGGTGTAAACACTTTTTCTGCACAAACAATTTGGGGCATGATATATATATATATATATATATATATACAGGTGAAACTAAAAAAAATTGAATATTGTGCAAAAGTTATAATTTTGATGATTATGGCTTAAAACAAAAACCCCAAATTCAAAATCTCAGAAAATTAAAATATTACATGAAATCAATAAAAAAAGGATTTTAAATACAGAAATGTCAGCCCTCTGAAAAGTATAATCATGCATATGTATATAG